AGCTCAAGGCTAAGCTTGTATCCCGCTGGGCTGCTTCTATATTGGACTGCCTCAAACACTTGCACCAACCCCGAAGAGAGAGGAAAAAAAGAGGGTATAGAGAAGGAAGAGAGAGATAGAGAGAGAGAGAGAGAGAGAAAGAGAGAAGAGGCAGATGAGTTAGGACTTATGGAGCTCAAGACTAAGCCTATACCCCGCTGGCCTTCAACACTTGCACCAACCCCGAAGAAAGCGGGAAAAGACTTGGTATAGAACGAGAGAGAGAGAGAGAGAGAGAGAGAGAGAGAGAGAAAGAGAGAAAGAGAGAAGAGGCAGATGAGTTAGGACTTATGGAGCTCAAGGCTAAGCCTATACCCCGCCGGGCTGCTTCTATATTGGATTGCCTTAAACACTTCCACCAACCGCGAAGAAAGCGGGAAAAGAGATGGTAGAGAGAGAGAGAGGAGGCAGACGAGTTAGGACTTATGGAGCTCAAGGCTAGTGTTTGAGGCAGTCAATACAAAACTCGGTGAGAATTACCGATGCACATGAGATAGGAAGCAGCCTGATCAATTTCAAGAGTTTGTCCTAACTCATGTGTCCTTGCGCAAGGTTTGCTAGAAAAAATCTAGGCTTGTGCAATTAGAGATAGGAACTAAGGAAGTTAATTTCAAGTTCTTTTCCTAACTCATGTAGTCTGCTCTATCATGGCGTTCCCTGCTTTTGAATTTCGCATGATGCGTGACTTGATGCTCTTTGTGGATGTTAGGAAAAAACATGAGATAGGACCTAGAGGCGTACGTGACTCCTATCACATCCCTGCTGGAACCATTAAAAAAATACAACTTGAGCCTCGGCAGCACAAGAGTTAGGAGCCCGCCCCAGGGATAACCCAACTGTCTGGAACAGCTAAATCCTAACTCACCAGGACCTAGTATAGTATCATATCATTATGTATCATTAAGATATAATATCATACCACATGACTTGGCCCTGGATGCCTGCTGTGCCGGACGCTTTTTGAATCGCTTCGTGCTCGATGACTGCAGCTATTTGCCAGGTGTTGACAAGTCTGCTCCAAGACTGCTTCAGTGCAGACCGCGGGCGGATTGCATTGGTGATTTGTTTACCTCCGACTGCGCCAGACAGAGAGAAGGTCCTGACTGTCTTAGAGGCTACGGCATAAGAAACGCCCATGAGGCAAACTTCTACGGTGATGGTAGGTGTATGACATGGTGTAATGTGTGCCAGCCACGTTGACACAGACACCTCTGATCAGGCGCTGGGCTTGCGACAGAGCTGGGTGGAAACTGCCGAAACTCGTGCCGTGACAGAAAGCCGGCAGATCTGAGATCTGGATAGATCTGGGCAGATTTGGGTCATGGTCATCAAGTATCATCAAGTCATCAAGGCCACAGAGGACATGAGACACTTGGGATATCTTGGAATATCTTGGGATGAGGGATGGTGAACATTGGTGAACATTGGTGAACATTGGTGAACATTGGTGAACATTGGTGAACGATGTAAATCATGGTGAGAGAGAAGATTCTCAGGTGCTGAGAGAAGATTCTCTCCACCGCAACCATTGGAGCTACCTGGTCTCCCCAAGTTGCCACCTTCACCTGTGTCACTTAGATAGCAAGTCAGTGCACGTCGCTGCTCGGAGAGAAGTTCATGGAATGTTACCAAATATTGGTGGTTTTAACATGTTTTATCATGTTTAATTAACACTTCAGGACCTTCAGTTGCTAGTCTTCATTAGTCTTCTATAGTTTTTCTCTGAGGATTCGGTGATTTTTTACGCTCTGAAGCATTTTGAGGTTGTTGCAGAAGATGGCCTCTTCACCTGTCGCACCTGTCCGATGCTGAAGTCTTGGACATTTGCCATCTTTACACCGGACCCGCCATTTTTTGAGTCGCAATAACCTACTGTGTATATAACTGTATAACAGAGGTTAAGCTAGGACAATATATGCATAGATGGGTGAACTGTTAGTGACCTTCAATATCGACTGATGACTGCATTTTGGATGCGCTTATATGCAATTTTAGTCAATTTTAGACCTTTAGGTTGGGTCAAGTACACCTGCCTACGAAGCAAACAGGAGCCTTGTATGGTGTACGAGACCAAATCGATTGACTTATAATATCGTATATTATATATTATTATATACAGTAATTTATGATATATGTTCAGCTTGATTGTTGTTTCCAGCCTTGTTCGATCAACTCAGCAGCTTTGGGAAGCTGAGCCATTTCAGCCATCAGCTGCTTCACAATCTTCACAGACTGCGGATACTCTGAGGCCTCGCCCAAGAATTCGGTTCCGACGAGCCTCAATCAGCAGAACATAGCTTGGACGACTTTGAAATGTAGGCGCTGCCAAAAGTCTGGAGAAATTGTATCAAATTGTATCAAGTTATGAATAGTTATGATGAACACGTATGCAATGATTCCAAAGATAAAAGGACACTAATCAAGCATGAGCCATTTCTACATATTTCTACTGATTACCGCGTGGGACTTGCGATCTACTACACAGAAACGAGAAGTGAACCGACATGTGTAACTGCATGACCCAATGATACTGTCATCTTGATGTGCTTTGTAGGCACCCATTAGGCACCCGTATTACCATGTAGCACTAAGGAATGATGCGTTTGGGTTGCTCTCCTTCGACTCAAAGTTGTCAGAGGAAGACCTATGAAGAAACGCAGGTCCCGGCAGTGAGCTTGTAATTGGTTTCGGTGTTGAAGTATCTTGGTTAATTATGGTTAATTTCTGGTAATGTTCTTGTTTAACTTCGGCTTCACAGCCAATGGGGCTTTGTATGGCTTTGTGATTGCACGGTAGAATGCCAACGTACAAGATACATCAAGGCGGGTCATGTTCCAAGAAGAACTTGACCAGCAAAAGCAGTTGCATGGTGTTGCAATGTCTTGCAATGTGTTGCATGTACATTGTACATATTGTACTTATGCCGCATGCCGACCCGTTTGGTTGGCAGAACTTGGTGCTTCAGCAATGCTGCAATGCTGCACCGATGTCTCACCGTCCTGCAAACTCGCAGGCCGTGTCAAAAGGGCCGCTGAAAGCTGTCCAAATTTTGTAGGATGTATCCCTCCAGAGCTGCGACCCATTGCAACCTCCCATAAATCAATCCAAATCAGAGATTCAGCCCAAGCATAGCCTAAGCATGAAGGTGAGTGAGAAATCATGTCAATCACGTCAATCGCGATGAAAGATCCTATTGTAGCTAGACTGGCTGGCAAAGCTTGCATGATGCTTGCATGCACGCCTCACATGGGTTGTTCCACTCAAGCCTTCAAACGGCTTGGCAATGAAGAAGCAAACATCCAATGATCGGAACACATAGGAACGCAACTGGAACTCACGACACAGTCGTGTCGATTACAAATGATTGCACCCATTGACCGATAGAGCACCATTGGACCATAGATTCCGATGCATGAACAAATGGAAAGAAGCCATATTATTTCCAAAGACTTGTAATTCAATGCGCATGTTTTGTGATGTTTGGCATGCTTGGCCATTCCATCAACATGCTCAACAGTCACCACATGTCACCACATTAGCTACGACGCCACTTAGCGGTGGATGATGGGCCCGGATGTCGGGACGCGGAAAAGGTGGCAAGTGTGCTGCCAAGGGCAAGAGCTATGAGAAGGGCAGAAGCCCTGGCAAGAGCTTGGGCCTTGGAACACTCTTGGAAGACTCTTGGAACACTTGGAAAATGTGCCCCATAGTGATCTACAAGCAGTTCTCTACATGATCATCCAAGGGTGTCACCAAAACAACGAGCAACAGTACATTGCCTTATTAATTGCCATCAAATTGCTGTAGGAATGAGCTGTTCATAGCTGTTCTATCTTGTGTGTTGCCTCATACGCTCCACCTGCATTGAAAGATATTGAAAGGTTCGCCTCCGGACGACTATTTTGAGCTCAAGAACAGCAAGGCATTGCCGCTTGCTTTTCCCATGTCAAGCCGGCCTTGAGAAAAATCTATGTGCTTGTTTGGGCCTTCACACCTCGAGCGTAGCACTAGCTTTGCAAAGTTCTGGTGTTTGATTTTCTTGGCTGGCCCATATGTAAGATCAATTTGCAATATTTTGTGGTCATTTGTGCATAGATAGATGGACACACACACACATACACACAAATTTATATACTGCATGTATGTATATATATATATATACATAATAATATATATATATACATGCATACACGCATTATTTTTTCTTTGCCAGACTCTGGATGAATCTTGTTTTATCGGAGGTTACGCTTGGAGAAGACAGCCGGGATGAAATCTTGGCCTTGATTGCAGCTTTCAGACGAGGCCGGTCAGAGAGTAGATTTTAGGGATATCTGGGTTGGGTTTTGAGTCTGGACTCTGGACATGTCTCGGAAATCCTCCATGTGGGAGGCCCCAAGGCTGAAAAGCCCAAGGAAAGAGACGGTGTCGGCCTTATTGATTTTAAACATATTGAACCATATTGAACCCTGAAACATCCTGAAACCAATCGTTGCATGTCGTTGCTGTAAATAAAGGCTTGGAAGATGAAGGCGATTCGGGATGTGAGGAGGAGGCATCAGTTCCAAGCTGTAAGCGCTCACAGCCCGGAAGATTTTGAAGCGTTAAAACCCTCCACCAAGACGACATCTTTATACATCTTTTTCTGTGTGACGTAACAGCCATATGTCACATACGTCCATATTTACACGATGACAATGCGTTGGACATGCTACCTGTAAAGGAGTCGCCGACCTCCAACCGGCAAAAGCGGAAAGAGCAGATCCGTCCAGAGCTACGCTTTCTCATGTCAAAGTTGATAAAGTTGACATGATGTTTCTTGATGTTTCTTGATGTTTCTTGATGTTTCTTGATGTTTCGCGCTTTCGTTGAATTCCACTTGGGGTGAGTTGTGCCTCATGCCTGCCTGAGGTTTGAAGAAAAATCTGATGAAGCAGCTGCTTGAGGAAGACAAACGCGAGGCAAGTAGTTTCCCCCCTTCACATTTTATGGTATGAATGCACCCAACCTTGCGATCGAATCAGGCCGGTGAAGACTTGAAGGGGGGCAGCTTGGCTTCTGCCATGCCTGGCAGCTAATGTATGCATGTTATATGCTATTGTATACTGTAGACATCTCTAGGCTCTTTAAACTGTATCAATGTTGGATGCGTTGTGTATTTGACTAGACAATAGATTGTACTTGTGTGCTTGGTCTGTTTGGTATGTTGTCAATCAGAGTGATTCTTGCACTGGGACGGTCAAAGCATATTTGCATACAGCAAGGAGCATGCTTCCTTACACTCAGAACTCTCAGCCAATTCTTATTGAACTCTGCATGCTTGCCCGGTTGCCCTTTTTTGCACGTACCCTGCGAGTTACGCAGCTACCTCTCAGGAAAAGCAACCAAGAACTCCAAGCCGGATTCGTCACACGTTCAGGCACCATATCTCTACAATATAGAACGCGTTTAATGCTATAGGATTGTAATGGATTGTATATCTTATTTGTGAACAATGGGGTTCTAATGAGTGCTAATGCGGTGTCCTGGGTTCTTGATCTAGCATGAGCGTGCAGCAGGTGCGAGTGTCCTACCGTGACGAAGCTGAGCCACAAATGGATTACGGTCGAGTACAGAGACCACGCTGTCTACATTGTTGGAAATTGCTGCAACATCTGGAACATGCAATCAGACTACATCATACTACCAATAGTTTGCACCTTCCCTTTAGATCAGAAAGATATTTTTTTTGAGACCCTTGAAAGAATTACAATTCTCAAATCATGTTGCTTGTGGCTGCACTTGTTGCGATTTGTGGATCATGATGGCCATTGATGGCCACCCGTGCTATTTGTCGCCAAGGAAAGGAAGCCAAGCGACAAGCCAAAGGGGCCAGTACTTATTCGCAGAGGTGCTGCAGATGCAGTGGAGGTGTGGGCTGAAATTCTTGTCGAACCGCAACCTAAAAGTCGTATCAAACATATGCACACACACATATATATATTTATATAATATATAATATATAATATATATATATAATATATAATATATAATATATAACATATATAATATATATATATATAATATTTATTTATATATATATATGCACAGAGAGAGAGAGAGAGTGTATTTGCTTCATTGCAAGCTTATGATATCTTATGATATCTTATGGAAGTATGGAAGTATGGAATGATGGACAGCGCGAGGACATGCTTCTCCCCGGCAGTAGTACGGTCCGTTTCGTTCTAGATTCTAGGTGTTTTTCAAGTTTTCGCCATCCTATGCCATCCCTACCCAAATGCAATGCAATGACATGCCCTGCTCCGACGTGTTGCGTCAGGAGTTTCTGGATTTGGTAAAGCTCCTCAGTGCTTGCAGCCACTGTTGACGTAGTTGCAGCCTTGAGCATGTCAGCATACATTTAAGACCAACCAATGGGTAGCTTATACCATGCAACAGTATGCACAATGAAGGCCAAGAAGAAGTTGAACATCAACGGGAAGACTCTTAGTGGCAGTCGGCACTTGAAGGTCTCGTCATCCTGAAGTGAATGGAATGGCATATGTACAGACAACTTCCACCTAGACTTCATCAATAAACAATCATTATCCAGCTTTATCCAGCAAATTCATGCCAACACTATCCATAGTCTACAGGATGGTCACACATTTTTTGTAGTTAGAGCTCATTTGCGCACCGATCATCGCAGATCCAAAACATTTTGTCTCAGGAAGAAGCTGTGGATCTACAAGCAAGGCCTTGACATGATATACATGATGTCTGGAATTTCATGACGTGTTTCAGAAGATTTGATGATGTTTTGATGCCATGACACTGTGGATTTCTTCGCATACTTACTGCCTCTCATTGCCTCAGGCGATGTGCAAGTGCCGCTTGAGCTGGCCTTAGAACCCCAAAAGACATGGTACCTAGCAGGTCCTAGCAGTCCAGGCGTTAGCATCCGGAGCAGGAGAAGCTTTCATTGGTTGCATTTTGTTGGAACTTCTACCTGAGTTGCGAAGTGTGTCATTTCTCAGGAGCTTTGACCCTGGGATTCAACGGGGTTCATGCGAGGGGTGCGCTGTCAGCACTGTTGGCCCAAATTCAAAGGCTGGCGAACGAAGCTAGTAGGGCCAATTGCAATTGCCACCAAAGCCCCGGAGATCAGTCCACCAGTGAAAACAGTTCCAACTCGACGTCGCTTAACAATGCTTCAATACAAACACGGACTGAGCCTTAAAATATCTTGAAATACAATATTAAAGTGCTTTAAATCCAAACAAAGACAAGAATACGGCAACAGCCACCTGGCTGGGAGCAGTTCCCCAGCAGACTAGCTCCAGAGCCATGGAGAACGAAGAGGATGCACAAGTGAATTATTTCAAACATGGCAGGGCTGCCACTTTCCAGTTTTAGATCTTCGCATTTGCCATCCAGAAACAAGTTCGCCCGCAGGAGATGAACAAAGGCGATGAGGCCAGCCAATCTTATGTTGAGTCGTTATGTCATGTTGTAGGTGAGCTGATGTTGTAGGATGAAGATGGATGAAGGCCTTCGAAATCTCAAAAGGAGTATCTATAATTATCCTTTGCTCATGGCAGCTGATTGGGCAGAATGACATGCATCCATTCTTCAACGGTCTGTCATTTGCAATAGATTATAGGAGTGTTCGATATAGTATGACCTATGATATGAATGTATACATATATATATATATAAATACAAATTGTTAATAGATAGATAGATAGATAGATAGATAGATATAGATAGATATAGATAGATAAAGATAGATAAAGATAGATAAATATAGATAAAGATAGATAAAGATAGATAAAGATAGATAAATATAGATAAATATAGATAAAGATAGATAAAGATAGATAAAGATAGATAAAGATAGATAAAGATAGATAAATATAGATAAATATAGATAAATATAGATAACGATAGATAAAGATAGATAACGATAGATAAAGATAGATAAAGATAGATAAAGATAGATAAAGATAGATAACGATAGATAAAGATAGATAAAGATAGATAAAGATAGATAAAGATAGATAAATATAGATAAATATAGATAAATATAGATAAATATAGATAACTATAGATAACTATAGATAAATATAGATAAATATAGATAAATATAGATAAATATAGATAGATATAGATAGATATAGATAGATATAGATAGATATAGATAGATAGAGATAGATAAATATAGATAAAAATAGATAAAGATAGATCAAGATCTAAGATAGATAAAAATAGATAAATATAGATAAATATAGATAAATATAGATAAATATAGATAACTATAGATAAATATAGATAAATATAGATAAATATAGATAGATATAGATAGATATAGATAGATATAGATAGATATAGATAGATATAGATAGTTATAGATAGATATAGATAGATATAGATAGATATAGATAGATATAGATATAGATAGATATAGATAGATATAGATATAGATAGATAGATAGATAGATAGATAAATATAGATAGATGGATATATATATATATATGCTAGGAATATGTAGGAATTAGTGGATTACAGGAGGCCACTCAGTAGGCATTTGACAGAAACTGCACAGCCACCTCAAGGTGGATCCTGAGACGCTCTTCAATGCAGATGAGTCCCCACCCCGAGCAGAACCAGCACTCCCTGAGAAGGACATGTCATGTCAGAATGACAATGGCTATTGATGGCTGTTGGCTGTATGGAAAGTGCCGTGCTATTAACTTTATGTATTTGCTATTCTTGCCCGCCATGAATCTTGAACTGATTGGCATGTGGATGCCGGTGGCATTGAACCTTATGTTCAAGCTTCTTGGTGTCCAAATGTTGAAGCGGCAATGTTTGCTCCAGCGAAGGAGAAGAAACAGAAGAAGGACAAGAAGGAGAAGAAAGAGAAGAAAGAGAAGAAAGAGAAGAAAGAGAAGACAGATAAGAAAGAGAAAAAGGAGAAAAAGGAAAAGAAAGACAAGACAGGCGACAAGAATGAGGAAGCCAAGCCTTATTTCGAGCCCCAGCCGGATCAGGAGCTAGCGAGCGTAGATCAGCATGTGTGTTTATGAGAGGAGGTGAAACCGTGTGGCCTTTCTTTGCGAAGCTCAGACATTTAATTCAGATTGTAGATGATTGTGGTTGATTCTGATCATTTGCATGATGTCAAGACAATCCCACGGTCATCTAAAACCGAAGCTTTGCCGGGAGGAACCTTCGGCTTTGGATCTGTTTGGGGCGTCCCCGAGCCCTGCTCCTTTGTTGCCTGAAGATCGACATGGATCACCTGCAGTGCAGCAAGCACCTGAAAGGAAGAAGGCAAGGGCTCAGAATGATTGAATGACCAGCTAGATATGTCTTGCCCCAGTAACCTGATGGTACATGGTGGCACTCAAAAACATTTGCGTCCATCAAAATCGGCTTGAAATTTGAAATGATTCCCAGACTCCTCTCCGACCCAAGCGTACCCAAGCCATTGCTCTGGTTCAGGATAGGCGTGGCAAGCGAGAGAAGGGGGAGAAGCCACATAGAGAGGAGAAAAAGGACAAAAAGGACAAACGGGAGAAGAAGAACAAAAAGGACAAGAAGGACAAGAAGGACAAAAAGGACAAAAAGGAAAAGAAAGATAAGAGAAAGCAGAAGGCTCAGGAGTTGGAGGCGGCTTTTGGGCACCTGTTTTCGGGGGTTGCCCTGTGAGAGGTCTGAGTGCTTTTCTTTGGGTTGGCATGTTGCCCAACTGTTCAATATCGATTCGTCTTGATGCTCTCTTTTTATCTCTGTTTTTCCAACCTGCATTGGGCCCGCCCAGAATCCCCGCAGAACTCCTGCTACAATGTCCGAAGATGTCCCAAGCATGGGACCAATCAGTCCTTGAGAGGGAACTATAGGGAGCCGCATCAGATTGGTACCTTTCCGACAGGAAGATCCTCTCGCCGTGTTCGGCGCTTCTCCGAGTCCCGCCTTCTTCGATGCTGTGTCTCCCAGTCCGGCCTTCATGGGTGCTGCGTCTCCAAGTCCGGCACCCGACAGAAAGGACCCGAGAGTTTCCATTGCCACGCCACACCACTGTGTTGTGCTATGTGAATCTATGTAGTTGCATCTTGTTGCACAATGTTCATCAATGTTCCACCATGTTCCATCTGTTTTGTGCAAACGTGTTTTCCATTTTTTTTGAACATGTTCATCATGTTCAAACATCTTGGACTTTTTGCGAGTTTCCACAGGATAGGAGGGGCAAAAGAGACAAGAAGCGGAAAGCCAAAGAGCTTTCAGGTCGCACAGAGCAAGGTGCACAGGACCATCGATTGCAAGTCACTTTGTGTGTACTTGACCTCACTGTCAAGATCAAGCAAGTTCCCATTACGAATTGCACGGATGAAGGGAGCAAAGGGAGCACTACACGATACTGCACTAGTGGCCACTAAGTTTTGCCACTTACTTCAATGTTTTGAGGGTTTAATGTGGAAAGATGCTGTTTGGACCCCTGATTCGGTCAGGACGACAATGTCTACAAGGACATCCTGCAGGAGTTTGAAATCCAGGATGGTTCGGCAAGAGGCACTCCATCGGCAAAAGGCACTCCATCGGCAAAAGGCACTCCAGCTATTGCCACTCCAGCTCACAGGCCCATAGATGCCGTAGCTGCCATAGCTGATCGCCCATCTCACTGATATTGTTCTTGCATCCTTGTAATCCTGCATCCTTTGATGACCTTTTCTCGAGTCCATTTGGTGTGAAGCCATTGAATATGGTATTTGTTGTTGCGGTTGCAATTGATGTGGTTTTTGTGGTTATTCATGCTTATTCAGAGTTGTTATGAGTTGTTTCATGTCGTTCCTCTTCTTTTGTTCTGGCTGGGCTGGTCTGCGTCTATGTCTGTAATTATCTTTCTCCCGCGGGGTTGCCTCAAATCCTACTGTAGCAAAGAGTTGGGTTTTCCTGGGGTTTGTCAACACCATGTTGCCCGTGTTTGGAACCCAGAACCATGAAGAGCCCAACTTTTACAGTGACGCAGGTCCGTGAGCCCTCATCGAAGAAGGAGAAGGAGAAGACATGAGCCAGATGCAGAACATGACGCCTGGTATCAAGTTTGATCAAATTTGGCTACGCAGTCGGTATGTCCAGCAGCTATCAGCAGCTCAATCACCACCACACTTGGTCCATCTTAGATCTTGGTTCTACTGGTTCTTTGACATCTCACAATTCCCAAATCACGAAAGGTAGCGTCAGCTACCTGAGTTCTCCGTGCTTCAGCACAAGCATAGGGGGTATTGGGGGGCCAGCCCGGGCCAAACGTGGAATTCTCGCCGTTATGTATTGGATATCAATTATAAGGGGGGGGGGCCCCTCTAAAATGGTCATGGGTTCAATTCCCACGGGTGACGCGGTCACGGGCCCCCACATTAGAGGCACACTCTCCATAAGGGAGATGTTCCTGTAGTCCAGCATAATTGGTTTGCTTCAGCCTCAATAACAGTTGCTGCAAGGGGTCTTAAAAAGGGGTTTTAAATAAAGCCCTTTTCGTGCATCATTTCACGCTGCACAAGACACCGTATCATGCAGTCATGCTCTGGATAAAATCATCTTAGACTGCGCAAAAACGTTTTTGGTGTATCATCTTAGGGGCGCAGCATTTTGATACCACTCCTCTCCCACTACACTACCTTTCGTCCGCCTCCGCCTGCTCTCAAGTAGTGTATGTCTACCCCCACACATTTCACATCACAGTGCCTTGAAGCCAAGTCTTTGTCCGGACATGTCCTGACGAAAGCGGACTCGGCTTCATACTCACAGAAGCGAGTGCATACTCGAATGCTCGAAGATATTTCACAGAAAGTTGAGACCTCATCCTCCCATCCCATGCGATGCTTTTCATTTGATGATTCAGATGATTCATGGTCTCATGGTCAAAGCCTTAAACATGTCTTAACAATTCTTAACATGTCTTAACATGTCATAACATGTTTGCATAGGGATTTATATACTCCTTTCACAATGTCAGACATGTCAGACGAGAGTGAGGCTAACTTGAGCAGGTTGTTGAGTCGATTTGAGTCGGGGCTCAGGAAGAGAAGGAACTGGATCTCACAACTCAGTGGGCTCAAGTCATGGAAGCCATCAAACCGCGCAGGGGCATCTTGGCGCATCTCAGCATGTAGCTTGTGATATCCAATTTATGCATATATGCATATGAATGCGATTTAATAGGATTTAATGCGGCACATAAATATATATATATATACATACACACACATATATATATATACACATGTGTGTGTGTATGTATATATATATAAGTAAGTATATATATATATATACACATGCACACACGTGGGTTGGACACGTGGTGGCATATGTCGCCACGTCAGTCGGTCAGGTCATGGCCATCCGTCGTCATCCGTCGTCATCCGTCGTCGTCCGTCGTCGAGTTTTGATGTGAGGTCTGATCATCAAAGATGAAGAGGCCCACGCCTTCGTGGAAAGTTTCATTCAGAGAATGGAGTCGGCAGCGAACCAGGATCTGGAATTGTTTCGGATGAACAAACCCATGGTCAAAAAGCTGGAGCTGTTGCCTGAAGCTGTGGAAGTCATGGAGAAATACCAATTCACCGATGCTTTCATTACCTATGGGGGCTGTAGAGTCTTGGCGCTGTGGTTGCAACATCTGCCGAATGGCTCCCTGCCCTCGGTGCATCTGCGTTCAGCTTTGTTGCGTTGCATGGAGCGATTTCCAATCACCAAGGACGCCTTGAAAACTGCAGGTGAACCTCTTCTTGGGAAGATCGTAGCAACACTTCAGACACACCCAGAGGAGACCATGGCGAATCGAAAACGTGCACAGGGCTTGGTGCAGCGTTGGCTCCGTCAAATCATCGCACCTGAGAATGCCGCCGACAGCTTGGAAGGTTTTCTGGCGGTTGGAGAGAAGGTTGGGACCATTCCAAGGCCCTTGCCAGAGACCGAGGAAAGTTTGGCAAAGTTGGAGGAGGAAAGTGCCAAGCGCTTGCATCCTGCCGTCCCAGTGATCCAAGCCAAAGATTATGTCATCCAACCAGTGTCGACAGCACAACCCGTGATCCGAGAGAAACTCGCGTTGGACACCAACAAAGGGAAGTTGAATGAAGTTCTGAAAGTCATGGCCCGGCCCAACAAAAAAGCATGGAGGCCATATACGGTCTCAGTGGCAGGCCGGCAGTTAAATGTTGAATGACCAAATGGAGAATGTTGCAGCCAGAGGGAAAAACTCGCAGCGTGCTGGTTTATCAGACAAGTTCAGCACAACCATTCGGAGAGTTCAGCATCTGAAATAGTAAGAATAAACGCACTTGTACCGTCCCCACCGCTGTCACAGCAAAGATAATGTCAACGCTCAGCATTTGAGGACAAGACTTCAGATTTGGCGGACAACTCTGTCTTGGTAGTCTCCATGAGGCAGAGCATGGCAGAGCCAACTTTGGACACGTACCAGACAAGTGCAGCTGAAGCTGTCCCTCCATAATTTTCTTGGAGTGAAAGACTCTTTTCAATCCACCCGCGGAATGCCCCAAAGATTCCAAAGGATTTCAGCAAAACAAATGGATACGAGTCACGGACGTGCCATCCCCAAACGGCTCTTTTCTTTTGACTTTTGGCATTTCTGACTTGAGGGATGTAGCCTCCTCACAGCCAGTTGAGCAAGAGGCGGGCAGATGTGGACCTCACAGATGCAAGTGAGACCGCTTGTGAAGCTGATCGGGCCACTTAAACGATCTTTGAAACACAAAATTCATTACATAGTCTTAACATCTTGAAATCTAATGTCATAAATAATAATAATAATACTCATTATTCTTATGTCATATCAGAATCACGCCAAGTCATAGCTTTAATTATCAGTATTTGGGGATTCTGCGTTTAAACGTGTGACTGTGCCAGGAGCCAAGCGAACAGCCGACCTCGTTGAGTGAAGAGAAGGAGGCGTTCCAGAGCGCCCCATCGATGCCCGACCTGGAGACGGTCCGAGCGGCGTAACTTTGGCCGAAGGATCCGAAGCCCCTAAGTCCCTAAGTTGATCTCAGTCAGCATACTATATCATATCAGTATATATATGTATATATCAGTTCATATCACATCATGATGTATATTTATACCATTTTATACCCGCACACACATACACACACATATACATATATACATATATTTATACACATACATATATATATATACACATATGTACTGGTGTAGAAGCCCCATGTAGCCCCCAAGAAAAGACAGAATGGGTTGAATGAGCGCAAGTTTATAATTATAGGATAACCACTATTAGTCATTATAGTTTACCGTAAAATGTATTGGATTTTACTTTTCTATCTCTGTGGTGAAATAGCATTGGCTCCGAAAAATGACAGATAAACCGAAGGTGATGAAGAACATCCAAGGTTTTTTTCCATTTTTATTCCTACTTAGATCCACTTATATAGGACATACATGGACATACCTTGGATGAACATTTGGCAGTCTAGAAATCCAGCAGCTCCGCTCCAAGGTATGCGCAGCGCGCGGCATCGGCTGCCCCACCTCTGACTCCAGCAGAGCAGAAGTCAACCAGTGCACCGCCTTCAACGTTTGAATCGTCGTTGAATATTCTAATATTTGTTAGATATGATATTTAAATATGTTGAATTTGACCAAATGACACACGAATTTCTGAATGCAGATGCTGAGTGTTTTCAACTTGTAGGTTGGTAAGCCATTCTATTCGTTTCTCTTGCATACTGAAGCCAGATACAATATCAAAGAGCTGGAAAGGTACAGTATTTCGTGGATATTGAGAGTTGATGAGAGTTGCAGATGTTGACGTCCTGAGGCGGAGACCTTTTGCTCGCCTGGGAATCGTATCAGGACTATTTGCTGCCAGGCCCAGGTTCGAAATGTTTCAAGCTGACAGCCACTGAGGAGAAAAGGGACCTGCTGCGAGCCCGTGCTTCCTTGCCGGCAGCAGAGGCCCAGTTAATGGTTTTCAGTCATGGGGAGTGATGGGGAGAGCATGGGAGAGCGTGGAAAGACATGGTTGCGATATGTTGCAATATGTTGAGGCATTGAGGCTGAGGAATATTGCTGAACTGAATAGCTCTTGGACGCGGATCAGCTCCGTTAGAGGTTCGTTCTTCCTTTTTGGAAGCTCTGGATTCGAACCAAGTGGCACCTCAGTGGCACTTCAGTCCCAAGGTGCAGTTAGACGAAGATAGACTAAGATACACTGTCAATTTGAGGTCGTGGTAGCTGGCGAGACTGGCTCTGGGAAAACAACCCAATGTCCCAACTTCATATTGGAGGCGTGCTACATGTGCATTTGCTGGAGCATGTTGGAGTGTGCGCCGCGCCTTATTTTTATCGGGTGTTTTTCGTGCGCCTGCATGACAGACAGGCAGCATCAGCAGAAGGCCGAGGGGGAGAAGTGTCAATTGTTTGTACTCAGCTACTTGACAGATCTTGTTCGTGTCATTTTTAGTCTGACAAGGGCCGGCTATCAGACAAGGCTATCAGATAACACGTCTTGATCTCCTTGAAGCCTGGACTGAACTCTTTTCGGGTTGATAGACCATGAGAGACCCTTTCAAAATTGGCAGGCCGACAAGAATTCCAAATGTAAGAATAACATAGAATAACGCCATCTGTGCTTCCAACATGTGGGACATCAGTATATATCCGTCATGTTTTTCAAAGTTTGGGAGATCAATCAAGGTTGGTGAAGATTGTGTCCTTTTGAGCTTAGGCCTCGAAGAATTGCAGCTGTGGGAGTTGCAACTCGGGTCGCAGACGAAAGAGGCCCGTGACGAGCACATCAATCAGAGACACCCACTGTAGTAAACCATGTAAATATTGAATTAACGGTGCCTTCATGTCCGGGACACCTTTTGCAGAGGAAGTCAGCCAGATTAAAGAATCGACACAGTATATCAGTGACGTTCAGTGACTATCAGTGTATCTTCATTCAGCTTCAACCAGAGACCCAGTCCGGTGTACCCGGTGTTCTAGTTCAGTGCTTTGAAGGAACCGATTGGGACCAGAACCGCAGGAGAAAGTGTGGGCGGCCATGTGGGCTATGCTGTGCGACTGGATGCCAGAGCCACGAGGCCGATACGAGCGCAGTGTTTCAGATTTGATGAACTAAATTTGAAATTATACATATTTGTACGCCATGTTATACTATTATCATGCTATATCATGTTTTTTGATGAACTTTGACTGAACATTGATGACATTGAAGAAGTCTACCAGCCTTTCAGCAGGCAAACCACGGGAAAAGCAACGCCAAGAGTCCAAGAGTTTTTGCACTATATATATTTTTTTGCGTTTGGTCTTTGCACTGACGCTGTTTCGGCTGGATCTAGCAGGTACACTCGTCTTCTCTTCTGCACCACTGGTGTCCTGCTGAATCGTCTCAATGCCTCACCGGACCTTGAAGGGCGGCTTGTCATCAACTACAGGAATTGTGGGACCGGGTGCTGGTGCCGTGCGAATTCTTTCGACGCTCAGGGTCACCCACATCGTGTTGGATGAAGTGCACGAAAGGAGCAGTTGCAGATTTTCTGCTGATGTCTTGCCGCTGCACCATGCACTGGCCACATGCTCGATCCACACGATGCTTGGAAGGAGTCTTCACACCGACTTCCTTCTCACCATCCTGCGGGAATTACTGCACCGACGACGTGATTTAAAGCTGGTTCTCATGCCGAGGGCTTAATGACATCAGCACCATCAGCTATTCGACAGCTTCACGGCAGGGTCTGGCAGGGTGCCTTCTACTTCGATGTTGCCACGTGGGAACATGTAGTCACCATAGGTCTGCGACTATGCAGCAGAGCATTTTCTCGGATTACTTTGCTGGTCCTGGGCTTATGCTCTTTCGATTTCAATTGTTTTTGCATAACCAGACTTAGATCGACTATATCGACTATATCGCATTGATTCTATGATTCTATAATTTGTCAAGATGTGTTCGTGAGGTTTGGTTCAAGATGGGAAGGTGCCTGTCATCAATGTCTCGGGCCGCCACTTGGTTGACAGTCACAAACTCATCAGCCTAAAGGGCCTAAAGGCTTGGGAATAGCTATGACCAAATCCGGGGCCCTTTCCGGCAACCGAACTGATCAAGCTCCTGCACTAATGAGATATAATGAGATCATTTGCGGCTGGTGATTTTGGTGCAAACACCTGAGCTCAGCCAAACTGGACATCAGGAACCTACCCAGTGACCGTGCGATATGAAGGGCATGTGCAGGCGAGAATCTTCTGAGTATTTGAGTGTTGGCAGGTGACGGCAGTTTTCACCATCGCTCCGAAGTTTAAGAGGCAGCCTACAGTCTCTGCTAACCCCTTGGAACAGATCACATTTCCGAGGTGGCACCAACATAAATCCAGGATTGTTTAAAATTATTCATAGTTTATAATTACCACATTATACCATCCATTTCAAATGGGTTTGAAATGGGTGTACCACATTTCCATTTGTTGTGACTGCAATCCTTGCGTTTGGGGTCCGACGGCAGCCTGCCACAGGCTGCCTCCAAAGGTAGCCCGATGCCAGCTGCTTCCCCACCTGAGAACGTTGACGAGGAGCCTCATGGACTTGTCGGCTGTACCATGTCTAAACAACGACGGAGGTTTCCTTGTGAAATTCCTTGGCCTCTTCATGTTGGATCATGTTGATAGCCAGGATGCGGACTTTGAAGCGGAGGTGCATTGGAAATGCCGAAAGGGTGCATTGCATTCATGGCTTGTCCATATCTGTGCAGCTGCAGGTAAAGCGGCAATATGGTAGAGGTGCTAAGGCGAAGAGTGACACATGCTGCTGACGCAAGTTCTCAGTGCACAGATATTGAATAATCAACGGCCCGAGTATACAGTGGTACACACAATCCATGTGTACATGTTATATATATATATATATGTATGTATGTATGTAATGTAATGTAATGTAATGTAATGTAATGTAATGTAATGTAATGTAATGTAATGTAATGTATGTATGTATGTATGTAATCATAGTATGGGAACGTACAACATTCAGAATACATTAGTAGAGTGGTAGACCAGTAGAGTAACATTTTCTGCTGATGTATTATGATGTTTTGCTTTTTGTGTGGTTGCTGGATGTTGCTGTTTGTGACAGTGAGAGCTGATTGGGCCGTGCAAGCGAAGGGTAAGATTGACGGATGGGCTACCTGTGATCCTGGATCTCCTCTGTAGATACACGGCCTGTCACAGCACCAGTGGTTGCTTGATAGTACTTGCTCCTGACGAGTGCATGCAGGAAGTGCGCATTTCGCCAGCTGTCCGAAGCAGCAGCTCGGTTTGAACTTGGAAGGATGGGAATGAGATGTGAGCGTGGAAAGTGGTTCAAAGTTATGGGCTATTGCCGACTCAATATATAAAACTAATTAAAATTATATATATATAATATTATAATATTATAATATTCAAAATTATTCAAAGCATGCAGTGTCTGAAGAGTCTGAAGTCTTCAGTAAAGAAGAAGCAGGGAAGCTGTGCGCGCTCACATAGAACTTGAGACAGAGTTTGTCTTGTACCTTTGGACCGTACAATCTTGTGCCAGTTGTCACTGCAGTGGCAGTAAGCTTCCATAAGCTTCCCATAGAACAAATCCCCACTAGCCTGAATATGAACGCGATGAACTGCATGTTTGTCAACTTTGTTGGACAAGACCGGGTGTCCATTGGTGTCCATCCACCATTGCTGCACAGGCTGCGACCTCCGCCAGATCGCCAGCCTTTGTGCTACCATCCTCACAGGCTGGCGAGGGATGATAGATGCGTCTGGCAACGAGGTTAGTGCACACCTGTGGTGCTGCAAAGACACCATAAGACACCAAGAGTTCACTATACAGGAATTTACCTTCAGATATGATGTAAGAGTCGTCAAGTATTGATTTGGATGCTATGGGAAAGTGTCACAGACTGGAACATGCTAGAACAATCTCTCTGATTTCCAATTGGTGTCAGATGGGTAGACTTTCAGGATTGGTTGCCAGGAAACATAAATCATTTCATGTTTCAAGCTCTCGCACGCTTGTTGATTTTTGTGTGTTTCAATGGATGAGAGGATTGTGTGGTAGCGTAGGCAGTTCCTGTCGCGGCGCTGGAATTACTGATTTCGTGAGTTTAGTGATGCTTTCGAAAGTCGTTCTCCAGTGGTTCCCACTGCGGACAGGGGCCAGGGCTCCAAAGGGCGGAGAATATATCAAACGTTCCAAGGCGAAAATAGTGAAACACAAATTTTGCTGCCATGCAGGGAAGTATGAGCCTGATGACGAGAGTGATCGTGAAGGCTGGAGCCAAAATTGCACATTGCTTTAGTGTGCCAATTCTTGTGCTGTCAGCCCGCTGGCTAAGAAAGACTGGAGTCTATTGAATTAGAACCGGGTCAGGCGGCTCAATCTTGATCTTCCTTCCTGGTGCCAGCCCCAGAACATGTCAGTCAGTCAAAGCCGAGGTTACGGCTCTTGACACATGGAAGTGCGGTTGCGTGCAGTCAAAATATGCAGACTCCCTGCTGTGTTTTTGAACAATCCCTGATTAATTGCTGGGAGATGCAGCTACACCGAATTCAGAAGTTCTGAAGCTGTTCTTTTTCTCTCACCAGCTGTTCGTTTTTATTGCAGCATATTTCAGCAGCCGTGGCCCAAACAAATAGCAACAGCTGAGAACTTCCGCGCGTGACACTCTCATCCTCACAATGGCAATGATTTGGGAAGTCGTTGGTGGAGCAGACAAGGGTGGTATCATCGTCCGTGAAGGTTCGGTTCCTTGGCTCAAAATGGTCGGAGAGTTTGAGCCCAGTCAGCTTGAGTCGTCAGCTTGAGTCAGCTTGAGTCAGCTTGAGTCAGCTTGTCCCTTCATGCAGGAAACCTTGGATCTCATCTTGCCGGATACAATAAGATAGATTAGATGATTAGATAACTGATATATAAAAGCGTATAAAAGAGACCATCGTGCCATAGCCATTAGATATTTGATGATTTGATGCTTCAAGTGATGCTTGATGTGATGCTTGTCTTCTTGTGCGTTTTCCATGGCTTGAACTGACACTTTACTCTGACACTGTGACCTGAGGATCTCGGTTCTTCGATTTTTAGCAGTCGCCTGGCCACAGGGGCCAAGGTCAAGGAGGTGGAGATGGCTGCTGATGGCCGCCTTTGCTACGAATTGGTGTCGGGCACTGGCCCTACAAGCGGATGGGTCACGGTGAACCTCAAGGGCAAGGATTTGCTCGTGAAGGTTGAGGTGAAGGAAGCAGAAGTTGAGCCGAAATCCGAGGCATCAACTGATGCTGAGCAAGTTGAGCAAATTGAGCAAGTGGTGAGTGAGAGCAATGAGTCTGAGAGCCCGAAAGAGGTCTCCAGTGATGAGAAGAATGAGAAGAAGCCTTCTGGAGAGGAGAAGGAGGCCTTCAAGCAATACTTGGAGAAGTTTGGAGAGAACCGATCTGGAGGCAATCCGGGCTACAATCGCAAGTCCTTCCCCTGGGCTGTCAACCATGCAGCCAAGCGAGCCACACCCAAAGAGGCCATTGAAGCTGCGCTCGCAGCAAAGCCAAAACCTTCCACCCGCCGTCCAGCGCACAATGCCGTGGACTCTGATGGTGAGGAGGTTCCTTTGTGCACTCGATGCCTGATGCCAGTTGGGGAGTTTGCCTATGAAGGCAGGCAGGGCCGAGGAAGCTGCGTTCACGCCGAGTGCATGGCCCAAATCTTGGTGGAGGACGCTCAGCGCCAGGAGGACCGACGTGCTGGCTGGGAGAATGAGAAGAAATTGCGCAGCCGCAAGGAGTATGACATTGGCTGGCGCATGGACAGTGTCCCCAAGAATGGGCTACTGGCAGCACGCTTGGGCTGTGAGACCACCAGCCGTGGCATGTGCTGCTTGGTGTTGGATGAAGCATCGCGCACCGTGAAGGTCGCACCCACCTTGGAGCCAGCAGCTGCTGTGAACCTGGAGTATTTGCTCCTGGCCTTGAAGGTCCGCAAGACTGCATCCAGGGAGCCCCTGTTCTCCCTGGATCCTGTTGACCCGCAGAACCTGGAGAAGACTCCACAGAAGAAGGTGTATGAACCCAGCTGGCTGGCTGGAACCAGTGTTGGTGATGTCATGTTCCAGGCCGATTACTTCCTGAAGGAGCTGGCCCTTGGTGAGTATGAAATGCCAGTAGCTGGCATGTTGAGCGTGTTTGACTGGTCGGAGCTCTCTGACAAGGAAAGGACCTGGGCAGGCCGCGAATGGTTTGTGGTCAGGAAGGCTGAGGTGCGCCTGGCACAAGACAAGACTCTGGTGCCATTCGTCAAAATGGGAGTGGAAGCTCGTGAGCAGGTTGTCACAAAGAAGGGTCTGGAAGATGCACCTGTGACCGCTTCCACCCATCCATTGAAGAAGTTCGCGGATTCCTTCAGTCGACACTTCGACCTCATCGCTGAGCGCAAGAGTGTGGTCTTCCACCTTCTTGAATTGGCAAAGGCTTCGGTGATGGCCAAGTACTTGGTGGATTCGCATGTGCGTGTGGATCCTCAATGGCATCGTATCGCAGATGAGATTGTGAAGGGCACGCCATCTGAGGCCCATCCAGAAATCCCACAGCTGTGGAACATGCGTGGCAATTCCCGCATCCAGCTGAAGAACGGCCGTCTCATTGACATGTTCACTGGTGGGCAGAAGAACCTGCAGGCCATCTACGGAGGTGTGGAGTTTGGCTTGGATCGCTTCGAGTTGGCTCAGCGTCATGCCCTCCAGGGCCAAACTGGAATGCAGTTGGGTCAATCCGGCCGCCCGATGTTCATGCCTCAGCGCTTCCAATTGGGCCAGCGCGCTGAGATGCCTCAGGGTGTGGACCTGAACTTGGACAAGTTTGATCTCAGCAAACCTGATCGCTTCGGCTCCATGCCCCCGTGCAGTGGAGCCCCCGGCTCTTTGGAGACCAAAGTCACCTTGGGCCGTGCCTTTCTGCAGAGCCTCCGTGCCCGCAAATATGATGAGTTGAAGCCCGAGCACCAGGAAGTGCTGCTGAAGGTTTTCCAGTCGCCCCAGTGTGACCGCACACAGGAGGGCGATGCCTTCATCGTTCCCGACCCCAACATGGAGTACACCTCCAAGTTGAGGAGCCACATCCACGAGGAGAACTCCCTTCTGGAGAGGCGCAAATTGCACTTCTGCGACAAGGCATTCAAGGTGGGCAATGCTGGGCATGACTTCCCCAGGCGTGGGAGAGATTTCACATGGTTCCACCAAGTTCGATGAGTTTGCCATTTTCATCACCGTCATTTCACTTGATCAGGATGTGTGTGCTGATGTGTGCTGTGAGTTTGGTCCTTGATCTTTTTATATACTTGTTGAATCTTGTTGAATCTTGTTGATCCGGTTATGTATGTTCTCTATTTTTCTCTTTTGTTTTTGGCTGGTCAGGTCCTGGACATCCCGCTTTCAGATTGAGAAGGATGGCTTGGCGCCCAAGACTGAGGCATCCAACAAGACCGGCTTGGTGAAGGTGGAGATTGACAAGGCCTACTCGGCTTCTTTGGTGAGGGATGTCCTTCCCACTGCAGCACCTGAGTTCCAGGAGAAGACCGAAGATGGAACCTGCTTCCGCATCTACAAGATTGGCAGCTTGGAGATCCGAACCACTCAGGAGAGGTTTGCCGAGGAACAGATTGGTGTGGTGTACTCCAGCCGTGCACCCACCTGGAATTTGGCTGCGACTTCTCAAGAGCTCTCCGAACGTGAGAAGGTGGTGGAATGCAAGGTCTTCTTGGAGGCAGCAGAGGGAGATGTCGTGGGGAAGCAGCCGCATCACTTGTACATGGTGTGCATCACGGCGAACAAAGACGTCATCGTCACCGAGAAGTTGGCCAACGGCTCCACCATTTTCCTGGTGAACCCCAAGAGCTTGGAAGATCGCAACTCCTTGGCCAAGCAGCTCTTCAAGTCGGACTGCGTTGAACAGGCAACCGTGAAGGATGTGAAGACCCAACAGACCAACTTCAACAAGACCTTCGAAGAAGGTGTGACTCTGTCAGTGCGCAAGCAGTACGTGAAGTCTGTCTTCAAGCAACTCACTGGCAAGACCTTCAAGGGCAAATGGGGTGGTTTCATCCGCCGTTACGCTGGACCTTCCGTGTTCTTAGGTGGACCTTCCATGGTTCGTCCCATGGATGGCAAATCTGGCCTCGGCAATGGCTACTGGACCGCCGGCAAGAAGAAGTGAGGGGCCGGGAACTCGCTGGGAACAGTGAACTCGTGGAAGGTTGCGGCGTAGCGGCGTAGCATATATTATAGGGTACAGAGTCGCCGGACCTGTCAATTTTTTGGGCACAAGCAAAAAACACTTCAAACATCTTCACTGATCTCCAATTCACATTTATATAATTATACTATACATATATCTTAATTATCGGCCCCAGGCGGTTTCAGGCACTTCAAACATTTTCAAAGGTCGAATGGATGAACTGGTTCCGGCGGCGTCTCATTCTCCAGCGCGTTAGGCACTGATCGACATTCCCGTGAGATTCAACGAGACCACGGAGTCGAGAATCCACACACTTAGAGAATGGTAAAGCATGCAGTAACTGCTGTGACTGATTATTAATTGATATTAATTGCATAATTCATCATAATTCTACGCATATATAATTCTATGATATTGCAAAACATTTAATGTCAGGCCACATTGCAGATCATTTGAATCATTTGGTTGATTGTTCCTTGTTTTGAGTTTCCAAATGTGTGTCCTGCTTTTGCACGCGGCATGCTACAGGCAGAATGCCATCTTTACATCATGGACTCTTCTCTTCCGCATGGGTGGAAAAAGGCTGCAGCTGGTAGATGGCCGGTTCGTTGGGGATGGGCCGGTGGTTTCATGGCCGGAATGTTCCGGAAATTCTGGCGGCAGCGTCGTGCTGGCGATCTCTAAGCTGAGGCCATGCTGAGATTGAGAACTGCATCAGTCAGCTCCGTGGACAGCGAGGAGTAGGCGGGAAGTCGGAGATAGTCGGAGTGACAGATGAAACAGATGGCATGAGAAATTCTCAATGAAATTCATGGCCGCGGCTCAAAATGTAAGGCCCCGATCTATACCCTGGAGCCACAGGCGATCCATAGCCCCGATCCATACCCATGATCCATGGTCCATCCATCTGTTGGGGATATGATCCAAACCCTTGATTCATACCCAGCAATGACATAAAATGACATCACTTTCGTATACTTTCTCAATCTTTCTCATAGGTCCGGATCAAGCCTCTTGTACGCAACTCACTCGTTCCATACATCCGGATTTGGAAAGCTGGCACGTCCATCTCCAATGAGGTGAACGTGCCTGGATTCTGCCCCTGCATGGCTCCATGTCGGTGCAGCAGCAACAGCGAGTTTTCAAACGTCCACCGGTGCAGCTCCAAGTATGGGAGGAGAAGTGTCCATCGTGGATCATAAATCAAGCCGGATCAAACCAGATGGTAAACTATGGTAAACTCAAGAATGAAGGCTTTAGACAGGAAAAACGAGGTAGCTACTTGGATTGCCAATGCTAGTGCTGATCGTGCCCTTCTCTCTTGAGCAGCGATTTTAGTATACTCTGACACGATGGGATTGATCTGGCACATCAGAATCTATCGCCAAGGCTGGGCAGCGCAAGATCATTGCTTGGACCCAAGGGCAATCTAAATCCAACGTTGCTTACACAGTTTGAAGGTGTACTTTGTGGCAGAGGGTGATGCAAGAAAACAATGCAATGCACGGATTCATCATAGATTTGCAGTCTGGATTGCTTGTTCTATCTTTTTCTATTTGCCTGACTTGACTCCTGAAGGTTCAAGAGAAAACACATGGCTGTATGCAAACTTGAGCAATGAGCCTTGAGTACTACTACATTTCAACCATACCAATCCATATCATATTTCAATGTAATTATTTCGCCTATGTAACTGTGTGCGTGTAATATATTCACAATATATAAAGTGTGTAGAAGATTAAATAGCCCGTTCCATCATTTTCTGGCAGGTGCTCCTCATCAGCTCAACCCATGTCACAAACGAATCGCTTCGATTAGCTCACGCGATTCCATACGGAAAATCTCAATGGTCCAGCTTTGAAGCCATGGCTCCAGTGGCAGATTCCAATGCTCCAACGGTGGCCATATTCTATGGATCCCAAACAGGCTCCACACCTCTGAGGATGGGGAGAGTTTGGGGATGGTGAAGAAGTCATGCAAAAATCCGCATTTAGGATCAGTACCCAAAGCATTTCCAAACCAAAAACGGAGCTTTCATCATGTGTTCACAATTTTTCCATTATGATTTTACTGCGTATTTTCCATTTCCCGAAGTTGAGCTATAGGCGCGGGAGCCTGTTCATTCTGGTCGGAGGTTTCAAAAACCCGGGGGAGTATAACAGTAATTATAATAAGAGCATAATATACAAACAAACCAAGACAGACCCTTGTAACTCAATTTGTCACAGATACAGAATGAGCTGAATGAGAAACGCAGTACATAGACATCCAGCTCGGATTGTAGCATGTATATATATATTATATCTATTATATGTATATTAATCTATAAAATGAGAATCACATTCAATTGCGGACAATTGCGTGGCAAGGTCACCTCGGATTGTTTGCCCTTTACTTTTTGCTTAGGCACAGCCGAAGAGACAGCGTGGGAGCTAGCACGGGAAGGGCGGCGGAAAGGCTATGCCATGGAGCCACAGGCTATGGATTCTTGGCACCAACATGCCCCAGCTATCTCCAACTCATGCGCAAATCTCGAAACAGCCACACAGTGTTTGAGTATGTCAGTCTCAGTCTATGAGTATCTCACATTTGAATTTGTAACAATTTCTATCCATTTCTGGATTTGACATCATCGAATAATTTATGAAACTATGATTGCGGTATAGTGTATTGATTGATGTGTATTGCATCGTTCACAGTCATGCCGAAGGGTTATTCTTGTTAGGATTTGAAGGCACATGGGGTGCCTTTCAGATCTTGGATGTTCCGAATCTCAGCTTACATGAGCTGAGGATGAAATCAGCTTGCAAGAGCAGTGCTCTCAGAGAGCCAACTTTCGCGACATACCATGACTGCAGAGCCAAGATCCTCCAAGTAGAAATATAAACACCACAGGTAGTTTTTATTATTGGGAGGGGTATTTACTATTAGAGAACCACAGAGGACCCTAATGATAAATTAAAACCCCTAATTAATAAAGCTTGTTTTTTTCGATTTCAAAATCAATTTAAGTTCCTGTTCTCTAACGCAATTAAAATATTGCCAGAAATTGGATTTCGAAGCGGACCCTAATATTAAATTTAAATCCTTAATTAAAAAAAAACACTATTTTTTTTCGATTTCAAAATCAATGAAATTTCCTTTTAGAATGCAATGAAAATATTGCCAAAAAATTATTTTCGAAGCGGACCCTAATAATAAATTAAAAAATCTAATCGAAGGAAGTTTAGAAGTCAAACTTCCGACAATATGGAGAGATGAAAAGCAGAGCAGGGAAGAGGCAGAGAGAAGAGAAAGATTAGAAGAAAGAAGAGTAGAAGAGAAAGAGTATGAAGAAAGAAGATGCAGATGCGTGAAAAGGTCGGAAAGTCGCGAACACTGTGTTTTTCCAATGGTTTGTGGCTCCGGAGGGTCGAAAAGTAGGCTCGCTAAAGCGGCGGGTGCGGAGCCAGCTGGCCAGAGGAGAGATGAAAAATTGCACGCCGTTGTGGCGCGAAGCACATTTCGAAGTGAAAAGGTACAAAACACCTCAGCGTCGGACCACTTTTGGAAGTTGAGATGTCGAAAAAGTGCACGCCGTTGTGGCGCGAAGCACGTTTCCAAGTCAAAATGTACAAAACACACCAGCTTCGGACCACTTTTGGAAGTTGAGATGTTGAAAAAGTGCACGCCGTTGTGGCGCGAAGCACATTTCCAAGTCAAAATGTACAAAGCACACCATTCTCGGACCACTTTTGGAGGTTCAGATGTCGAAAAAGCGCACGCCGTTGTGGCGCGAAGCACATTTCCAAGTCAAAATGTACAAAACACACCATTCTCGGACCACTTTTGGAGGTTCAGATGTCGAAAAAGTGTCGAAAAAGTGCACACCGTTGTGGCGCGAAGCACATTTCGAAGTCAAAAGTGTAAAAAACTGAGGGTTTTGAGCCTTTTTTGACGTGAAGATGTCGAAAAGGTAGACACTAATTAACTCAACTAACTTGACTAACTTAACTAACTTAACTACCCTAACTTCGACGACACCAGCAACAGCAACAGCAACAACAACAACAACAACAACACCAACACCAACCACAACAACTACAACTACAACAACTACAACTACAACCACAACAACTACACAACAACTACAACTACAACTACAACTAGAACTACAACAACAACAACAGCAACAACAACAACCACAGCAACAACAACAACAACAACTACAACAACAACTACTACAACAACTACTACAACAACTACACTACACAACAACTACAACCACACAACAACTACAGCTACAACTACAACAACAACAACTACTACTACAACAACTACAACTACAACTACAACAACAAAACAACTACAGCTACAACTATATGACTGCAACTACACTACACTAATTACATTACACCACAACTACAACTCCACTACGCTACAACTACAACTACAGTTGCAGTACATCACACTACATCCAGCCGTTGTGGGTGAGGGGACCACTGCAACCATTGCAACCACTCCAGCAAACACAACTCCAACCACTTTTCGGTCAATCAGTGGCTTCGCCCTGCCATCCCTGATTCACAACAACCAACCTCTCCTATAGGTTTCCTATTTTTGAAACTTCCGCCACCACCTTGTGCGGTACTACTGGTATAAAAATCTATAATTTTCGGACGGGCCCCAATTATAAACACCCCGGGGTTAACTAGTTTTTATTATTAGGGGGTAAAGCCCACAAATAGATACAAATAGTAACTTTATTTTTAAATTGTTTTCTAAAGGGATCAATGAAAAATCAAATTGGCCAACCTAAAATTTTCCTAAATTAGAGATGGACCCTAGTTCCCCACCTGCCAGGTGAGGGTTGTTAGATTAGATTTTATGTCAGTTGCCTCCTCCTCCTCCTCCTTCTCCTCCTTCTCCTCCTCCTTCTCCTCCTCCTCCTCCGCCTCCTCCTGCCTCGTCCTCCTCTCCTCCTCCTCCTCTCGTTGTCCTCCTCGTCCTGCTCGTCGATCCACGTGTTCGCAACTGCGACCCGCGATCCACAGTGCCGGACCTCAACCACGACCATCCACGCCCAGTGTTCCCTGCCGGACCTCAACCACGACCAGCCACGCCCAGTGTTCCCTGCCGGACCTCAACCACGACCATCCACGCCCAGTGTTCCCTGCCGGACCTCAACCGCGAATATCCACGCCAAGTGTTCCCTGCCGGACCTCATGTAGGAAGATATGGGACAAAGAATGTGCAGAAGAAAGTTAGAAAGAATGTCAGAAAGAATGTCAGAAGATATGCCAGAAGATATGCCAGATAGAATGCCAGAAGATATGTCAGAATATATGCCAGAAGAAATGCCAGATAGAATGCCAGATAATATGCCAGAAGATATGCCAGATAGAATGCCAGAAGATTTGCCAGATAGAATGCCAGAAAATATGCCAGAAGATATGCCAGATAGATATGTCAGAAGATATGCCAGAAGATATGCCAGAAGATATGCCAGAAGATATGTCAGAATATATGCCAGAAGATATGTCAGATAGAATGCCAGAAGATATGTCAGAATATATGCCAAAAGATATGCCAGATAGAATGCCAGAAGATATGTCAGATAGAGTGCCAGAAGATATGCCAGATAGAATGCCAGAAGATTTGCCAGATAGAATGCCAGAAGATATGCCAGATCATATTCCAGAAGATATGCCAGATAGAATTCAAATAGAATGTCAGAAGATATGTCAGATAGAATGCCAGAAGATTTGCCAGTAAGAAAATGTATAAATGTCATGGTGGGGATCACACGAAGTAAAGTAATTTTTATTATTTTGGGGGGGTTAGCAATAGGGGGAAGGGATTGGTAATCTCTAGTATGTCTAGGTCATTGATAACATTGCTTGCACATCATTTCTTCTTGTGCAGCATGGGGAGACTCTGAACAGTCTCAGCATAGCACGGCCGGGGAACATGATATTAGCAATAATTCCTTCCCCCTATTACCAACCCCCCCCCCCAAATAATAAAAACTAGGGTCCATCTCTAATTTAGGAAAATTTTAGGTTGGCCAGTTTGATTTTTCAATGATCCCCTTTAGAAAACAATTTAAAAATAAAGCTACTATTTGTGGGTTTTACTCCCTAATAATAAAAAACTAGTTAACCCCGGGGTGTTTATAGTTAGGGCCCGTCCGAAAATTATAGTTTTTTATATTAGGGTTTTTCATTTATTTTTAGGATCCGCTTCGAAAACCAATTTTTGGCAATATTTTCATTGCATTCTAAAAGGAAATTTACAGTAATTGATTTTGAAATCGAAAAAAATAGTTTTTTTTAAATTAAGGATTTAAATTTAATATTAGGGTCCGCTTCGAAATCCAATTTGTGGCAATATTTTAATTGCGTTCGAACAGGAAATTAAATTGATTTTGAAATCGGAAAAAACAAGTTTTATTAATTAAGGGTTCTAAAAATTTATGATTAGGGTCCGCTTTGGTTCCCTAATAATAAATACCACCCTAGTAATAAAATGTAATAAAAACTACCTGAGGTGTATATTTGGGGGAGGGTCTTTTCAAGGAATTCTTGCGATTTCTGGGGCGTCTCACGTCTTTGCGATCCAGGCTACGTAGCATCAGTTTCGCCATCTTCGTGGTCTCTACCACTGGCCAAGGCGCGGAAACGATGAACCATGGGGAGTCGGGGAGCCTGACGAATCGGTTTCCAGGTGATCCACCGCTGAACATGCGGCGCCTGTGGCAAGAAATGCTACCAGCCACACTGCCGAACACGTGCCTTGGGTGAGGAAAAGGGGAGAGGCCGAATGTCCATATGATCGGATCATATCGGATCATACCGGCTAGTAGTCAGTGTGGCAAAATATGCCTGAATGATATCGCATATGGCATCATATCTCTTATGTCACTGGATCAGGGTGAAATCATGCTGCATCACAGCTCGTCCTAGTTGATATTGGCATATATTGGCATATATGATGGGCTGATGAAAAAAGATGGAACAAGAATGAACGATATGAAAAAATGTCACCTGGGCCAGGCTGCTTGAGAGATTGTCCTATGAAGTCTTCGGCCTTGGTGACCGGCGCTACCGTGAGTTCAACTATGCAGCAGCCTGGTGGAAGTTGAGCAGCTGGAGCTCAGCTGCCAGGTTTCCAACCGCCACACATCCATGTGCAGCATTTCAAGGGATCGTCTTCAGGCAGAAGATGCAGAAGCATCTTTATACACTTTATTTATATAATATATATATATATATATATAATATTATACATATCATATATATATATGGATACATACATCCTCGTGCATTCTTTCCCATTCTTTATGACATGATGTAATCCTTCCGTTTGTATCCGTTTGTCCCATGAGAGCAAGTGCTCTTGTAAAGTTGCCACTGTGGAGACTCAACTGGTGGTTAGGCAAGAAAGCTCCATGCACGACTTCAATCTCTGGGTGCCACGCCGTTTTTCCGTCTGGGCTTGGGTGATGACCAGCATGACTTCGGCGCCAAGCTCAGAGCTCTGCTTCTTGACACATGGCAATTCCTGGAAGATTCTGCTTGCTGCTTGCAGCTTTCAGATATAGCACATGCCTGGTGATTATTATCTTGCTATGTCTTGTGACAATTTGTCAGGGATGGAGCAGGAACTAGATGCTCAGCCGCAAAGAAGAACAGTACTTGGTGATCTTAGTGCTGGTATGTACTGGTACATTTGCTACTGGGTTGTGGCCATTTGTGGCCCCATCACCCGATCCCCTTGGCGTCAGCCCGATCAGGACCCATGGTGTGAAGGCATGTGGGAGGCTTTGAAGCTCCCGCCAGGGCTTCCAGATCCTGATGTCGACCTTCGTTATGAGGCGGGTGGATGGTGCAGGGGCACATGATACCAGATTCATCAGATGCATACCGTTGACATCCGTTGACAATGTAATGTGCCCTGATATAGGAGGTTCAACTCGTGGTTTTGACTAGGGGACAACAAATCGATAACAAATCAGGAACGAGAAGATTTTCCAAAGCAATCCAAAGCATGATCCATTCTGGTTGTGCAAACTTTGCTGACAAGAACATCAAGAACTCACTTGACCCCACCCTGACTTGAATATATGATACTAATTATATTTGGCTGGAATGATGCCAATCTCCCTTGACTTCATCCAAGCAACTGCTGCAATTGTCTCGAGGTTGAGGAGCTGGGCGAAACGCAGAATGGGCAGAATGGGCAGAATGGGACTGCACATGACGAGCCTTGGACTTCAGAGGGACGCGGCAGGTGTGCCCAGAGATGCCCAGGAGTGTGTGTGAGATGGGTGACTTCTTTCATTTTGACCCGAGAGATATATACCTGCATATACCATCATATACCTGCCTTTCTACGCTTTCTAGATCCTTCTGGTGCTGTGGCTTAGGACTTGCCCGAGGATGGCTTCCTGGTAGCATTACGTAACACCGTAACACCAATGAAACCTCGATAGGTCGCATGGTTTTCATATGTTTTCATCAGCGCATGTCCGGCGCATCTCAGGAAGTTTTTGGGCAGATCTACTGGACAAAGAGAGCCTGTGCACAGCTGCCTCGGATGTCGATGTGTGGAATATCCGGCTGAGCAACTCGGTTGACTCCAGCTGACTCCAGCCGTTGAGCCAAACCATCACCGGTCAAATCGCCAGAGCAGCCGCAGCATGCCGCAGCCAAGGGCTACCTCATGGCGAGCACTACGCAGCTGGAGATGTCTTAGTAGCATCTTTCCTGCAGATCCATTAGAGATATTAGGGGTTCCAATCACTTTCAATCACTTTATCTATCATAGTCTTTTAATATCTTTTATATTTTCTGTCCATATCATTCCATATCTATCCATTTCATTTTTGTTGCATATTGTTGTTCTTTTGCCTCAAACGGTTCAAGTTTGAGTGGCCAACTATGCCAAGATTTTCGAGGTGTGGCCCCGAACCGAGCCCAGCCTGGTGAAACGCTTCGTGGTGGATACCCTGGAGCGGTCCCTCAAGGAGCCCGTTCGCATTCGGCCAAGAAGTCACGGAGCAGCAGAAAATAGCAGAAATGTACTGTTCAATACTGTTCAATACTGTGCAATATACATAATATACATTGTGCAACACTGTTCAAGGTTCATTTATGTTCAGTTCTGTTCATGGTCATGTTGATTCATTTCATATCATTTAATGTTGATTTCTTATGATTATTGTTGCTCATCGGTCTCTTTTGTCCAAGATCATGCAAGCCATGGATGCGTTAGATCATGACCGCAAGAAGTGTCACAGAGGTCCATCGTCAGCATGTCCATTCCCGTCGCGACCGATCACGCTCGAAGAAATCTTCAGCTTCTCAGCCGAGTTGGCAAAAAATCCAAGATTTGAGAGAAAAGCATAGAAAAGGGATGAAAAGAGAATGCAAGGAGATGAGTGGTTCCATTCAACATATTTCCACATATTTCCACATATTTCCACATATTTCCACATATTTCCACATATTTCCACATATTTCCACATATTTCCACATATTTCCACATATTTCCACATATTTCCACATTATCACATATGTCAACATGATTGCACGATGTCTTGAGATGCTTCGAGCACATCGTTTCAATGGCAGCTCATGGGGATGCGACCACAGATCAAGGGCCGAGATGGGCTGAGCCAGGAAATGCCAGGAATGAGGAGGCTCATCGTCAATGCTTATCAGATTGAAACTAAATGAACTCCACAACCATTCATCATGCAACACCATGTAACACCAAGTAACACGAATATTGAATATGGATGAATATGGAAACAGTTGAGAAATCGTGAGAAGTGTTGACCTGAGAACTACCTGACGGGTAGCTCCCTTCCCATGTGCCAACGAAGCCATTGCGGGATTTGTGGGACTAGGTCGCTACATTGATGTCACTGCGGTGCCCAGCAGACACTTCTTCCACGTGTTGCTGAGTTGCACTCGCACAAACAAAGTACTCGTACTGTGTGTATCTGTATGTCAAATGATCAACCAGAATCAACCATATCAAATAGCAGCTCTTTCATGTGCTGCCAGATTCCAGAGACGCTCAGAGGCTTTCGCTCTATACTTCAGATGAGCTTCACAAAAAGAAACTCAGCATCACAGCTGCAAGACGATGTGATGAGAAGATGCGAGCGTCAAGGGACGCCGGGAGGCCCTTTAGGTTCCGAGTGGCGCATAAACGGTAGACCCGGTAGACGCAGGTTGCTGCTGCATTTTCGCTGCACGTCCAAGGTGAGTTTGCATCTCGCAGTCTCGAGGCCAAAGATGCCTTGTATGAGCTCCTGGATCCAAATTTTGGGTGCCAGGACTTTGTCACTGCATTGCTTTGCAGTTTCCATCAGTTTTCACTGTTTCCACACATCCACTAACTATGCCGTACATTTTGGGATTGGGGGAGTTTGTGGCGTGAGCCTGATAAGCTAAAAGGTATTGCAAGAGAGAACGTCGGTCAGCTGCAGAGGTGGCTTTGAGGCATTTGATCGGCTGCAATCATCTTGTCAAGACCAATCCAGACTGCAAGCAATGAAGAAGGCTTACAGTGGTTCATTTCCCTTCCTCTTATCCAAAATTGTTCAATTTCATCCTATTTCTATAGTTATTTTTTGCACATAGTCACATAATACAATAGTCCACATACGCCAATGTTTTCCGTTTATTCATTCGTTCATTGATGTACGTCCATGTCCTGAAATATTCCGAGGTAATGTGGGACTTTTGGACTGCAAGACCTCCGCTGAATGCTTTGATCAGTGCTTTGCCCTTGCTTCGGCCTCGGCGCTACTCCATTGCCTCCTCTCCTGGGTGTCTTGGACGGAATCATGGGTCATGAGTGAGGCAACATGAGGCAACCAAGTCTACCTGTAATTCCAGATATTTCCAGACTTAAATACTGTACTGTACATCATTGTCATATGAGTTCCAATGTACAGTATTCATCAGTTTTCCAGGGCCAATCTCCGCAGGTTAGTGACAGTGCCTGGTTTGTACTTTTTTTTTTTTTAAAACTCGTTTGTACACGCGCTCTTCTGACTCGTCCTTGCACGCGAAGGTTCTCCAGTCTTTATATAATCATACGTTGTCAGTTGTCATTTCTTTCTATTTTACTCTATCATTCTTTAATTTCCTCTCCGTTGTATCTATTGTAATCTACATTTAGCTAACCAACCCCAACCCAATGCATGGTGAGTGTGACAGACAGGTGGGCAGGCTGTGGCCGGTCCACAGCAGCCTGGTCGCTGCTGTCACGGCCATTTTGGTGGAAGGCTGGTATCAATCTCCAGTGCTGATGCATGACATTGGCACATTGCCATGACCCAAGTCAGCAAAGCTGTCACTTGTTTCACTTGTTCACATTGGTTGTCAAAACAAATGCCGATGTATCCTTCAGAGTGTGTTCCAGGCAACGACTTCTAGCTGTATGTCCCGGATCATGGCAGACATTTGGGGCGAACGTGCACCGAAAGGCCTTTCTGAGGATTTGGATGCTTGGCAATATTGGCAATGCCCGCTGAGAGTTGGGGGGGCTGAGCACAAGAGCTGTCATGATATCACGTGGGGCGCCCAGGACCTGTGTGTTGGCATCGTGAATTCTGTGACTCGCAGCAACCGAGAGGTGAAAGGCTTGTGCTCCTCGGCTAGCAGCGGCATGGACTAGCTTTGTGGCATGTTTGCAAGTTGGATCCTATTGGTGGTAGTGGTCTTCCACAATGTCATGCAGCTCAAAAGTGCTTTGGTTGCTGGTTTTGTTCATGTTTCACCCTATTGGGAATGGATGTGTCTTTGAGGCGGGTGAAACCACTAGCCAGTGTGATGCAGTGTGATCTGTCGCGTACCTACTTGTTGTACCCTGTCGTACCTTTGAGGCAGCAATTTCATGAAAGATGCCCTTGTTGGTTCGCGATTTCAGTGCAGTTTGGAGAAGGGCACGTTGCAATTGCCACCCCTGCAGGCAGTGACCCTGGGAATCCTTGGGATTTGTGGGGTTCTGCGCGGGCCAATTTTTGATAGAGTAGAGCATATTGTGTATCATAATTTTCCTATTGGAATAGCGGTTTTGGGGCATGTGTGTGTGGTAAACCCTCGGGCATGTGTATGTGGTAAACTGTCGTTTTATACAAACCATGACGCACCCGCATATTCAGTGCAGAACAACGAATCTCAGGTTCCTTGTGACACGCCTATATCAAGTACATGGAGGTTCTCCATGCCTGGTTTGCAGCAGGTTGTCAGTTGCAGCCCAATGATCTGTCGCTTCGAATAGATTTGCAGGTCCCTTTGATCTTGGTTTGCCCGGGCACTGGGCTCTCCCCGTGCCGTGCGCTGGTGCAAGAGAGGCCATCACAATAGCTGTGCACCAACTGCAACTTCACCGTGTGCTAGTTCTGAGCATGTGCCGGCATTCATTTGTGTATGCAAAATGGCGGCACCACCCTAGCCTTCGCCATTTGAACATGTCAACGCCTTTTTTTCGAGCGCGTGGTTGCGGGATATGGTGCATGTGCTTTCTTACCTCTGTATGTTGGCAGCTTCATTTGGGACAAGACAGTTGGCACTTGAAGCCAGCCAAGCATGACTTGCACTAAGAAGATCTAAGAAGCAGTGTCCCTGATGCATGACGCACAGAATCTGATATCCTGGCAGGCACCAGCAAGTGATGACAGCCAAGTCTCTTCCGGCAAGGTTTCAACATGGTCTCAAAGTGCGTGCCTCAAAGTCTTTAAGTCTTTGCATCCTTGTGTATATATTTTCTATGTTCTCTTTGAGGTCTTTTGCTGCATGCCTGTGTCACTTCTGAGTCGGTACAATTCCTGAGCTAAGGATCTGATGTTCCTGGGCTTTAGGCATCAGGATGGAGATTTCCTCTATGGCCAGGAATGGTCGACATTCAGCAGCTGGCTGTCAATCCACATTGCCTTTTCACGGGACCATGAGGACAAGAAGGCCGGGAAACTCATGGAGGATATGGACCGCCGAATAAAATCCATGGCATTTCTCCTTTGGCCAAGTCTTACAAAGTGTTCAGGAGAAAATGGTTGAAGGCATAGAAAGCATGCAGCAGATGGCAGCAATCTAATTGTATACTTTTCCATTGCAGTGGGGTTCAGCATCCTACTGCACGCACGTCGATTGGTGCAGTGAATCTGAAGATATCTGAAGGTGTATGTGCAAGACCTGATTGAAGAGCAAGGGCAACATGTGTGTAAGCTGCTCGATGCCTGGCTGAAGCGGCAACCCAGCGGTGAGTCCTGCCAAAGCAATGGCAAGATTGGGAACATATATGTAACTTTATATAACTTTATATGTAATTACTGTAGAACATACGGATATATATACTGTAACTTTTGGTATCTTTCTGCACCTTCGGGATTTTTTAATGTGAATGGGTTTGGTCTGTCCGGTTGACACGAATTGCACTGTCACTACACAGTACTAAAATAGGATGGTGGGAGCCTCTTGCTGGCGGCTTCTGCTTTGACACTTTGGACATCTTTGTAAACAATTGAGATAATTGAGCTAGTTTTCGCCTTGGAGCCGGGATGCGCATGATGATGATTCAACTAATTGCAGTGAAGGGATGATACAGTGAAGGGACACAGTGCTGTAGCCAGTGCGGGCACACCAGGTCCATGCAAGCTGTTGATGACTTCGCTCAGGATGCTGGTGCAATGATTTTTGTATGCGGACGTTCGCACCCAATGCCATCACAAGTCTTCGACGCTTTTGTGGAAGTCTTGGAGCTGAATGGCATGGCAAAAGATGCCGCAGCCAATAGGCTGCGAGCCATGCAACGAAGCTTGGTGCGATGTGCACGGGCAATAGGCTGCTTGCAGTTGAAATCTATGAGATGCCACATGATGTCATTGTGCCAAATGGTTTTGTCTGAAAATAAGGCACCCCCAATGGATCATCAAGGGTTATCATAATTTTCCCGATATATTATATATATATAATATTATATGTCTATATAAATAGTATATATATATGCGTGTGTGTTGCCATTTGAGGATATTTGGGGTAGTTCTACCATGGCCATTTCCAGACACCATCACCCAAATCTCCGTGATGTCAGGATCCCAGCTGTACATTTGCGACACCTGGGGTTGAAGCCTTTGCCTCCGAACTCTGTGGCTGCAGTACTAGTGCTGTACGTTGGTTTGGCAAGGCCGTGCGTTGCGCAGTACCGAGAACCACATTACCAGGAAAACACGCATGGAGAAAACCCGTGGACACTACATGTTAGTGGAGCAATGAGCCAAAAGTATTGGCAAACATGCAGTGGACGTGTGCTGTTGTGCACATGCCGCTTGCTTCAGACCATTTCAGACCCGCAGTTCCACTTGTGTGGAACCATGGCAAAAGACCTGGAAAGAAAGATACGCTGTATTCCGCTGTATTGAGTCTGACTCAAACCAACGTTTGGTGGCATTTTCACTCATTAAATCTAATTAAACTCTTTAGTACTGTTTTGGCAGATGGCAGATTCATGAAGATCATGCTGCGCCGAACATGCACATGCATATAGAATCATTATATATGAAAATAAATGATAGTTTTGCACAATGCCGGGCTCAGGTCGCAACGAACATTGCCAGAATCCCAGAACTCAGCATTTTTGCTGCCAGAAATTGCTTTGATTTGTGCTTGGCATGTGAAACACACATACTCCTTGTGAGACAGGCCGAAACCTCCATCACCATCGACGATGTCACTCACGTGATCGATTCCTGTCACGTCAAGGAAACTCGCTTTTCCCCGCAGAGCTCGACCAGTGTGTTTCTCGGACCCAAACCATGGCCATAGCTTCAAAGGTCAGCGGCTGTTCATCGATGCCAACTATTTTCATGGATCCCTCTAAATCCTTGGTATCCACAAAGAAGATGTAAACATGCCAAGGATTTGACATGATTTCACTCTTCAATAATCTTCTATCAGTTCTTGGGGTTGCTACACAACAGATATCCATTATCATAGATATCCTGTACAAACCTTGCGAGGGTTGTAGGTCAGTTTGGATCGTGGTGATCTCAGGTTCTCCACCGTTTGGGTGAGCCAGGCAGCTGCCAAGCAACGCGCTGGCCGGGCTGGGCGTACTCGGCCAGGTCGATGGTCGTTGCACGGGGTGGCCTGTGAAGGGATTCAGATGGATTCATGGACGCTCTATGAATGTATTTGAATGTTAATTCACAGAACATAGTGATAGCCAGTGATAGCATTACATAGCATGACATAGCCTCTCTCTCTCTCTCTCTCTTTCTGTATATATATATATTATAATTTAATATATTTTATTTGTGTTTATTTCTATGTATTTCTGGTTATCCCACATCTCAACCAGTTGTCGTATTCAAATGCCATTACTATTTGTAGCACCTGTGTGATTTGTGTGCAGTCAGCGGTGAGGTGTATGCTGGCGCTTGTGCCGGCAAGACTTCTTCGAAAAAGAGCTGCCAAAGCACACGTCCCTGGACTGTAGTAGGTGGATATTATATGAGATGATGTCATTCTTTGCCATCAAAGTTGTGTGTTCTTTACGTCTTAGAATTGGACTTGCCAACTGCCAACTTGGCTGCTGATGTGCTCTGAGGCTTTGTGAGATGCAGCGAACCCCTCTAGAGGACCCTGACAGTACCAGTAGTCAAGATATATACTGTAGATGATATAGGTTTGATAGTGAGATTGGCAGCAGGTGATGGCTTCGGGCTTTGGCATGTTGTCGCTTTTGGCAAGACGAACCCGGATGGCGATGGGATATTCTACTGTAAGGCCTACATCCGTTTGTGTAGGCTACATGGGTTAAACTTCGAGACCCTGGGCGCCACAAGAAAGGTTCATAGTACAGTATAGTGAACCATCCCAAATCCATCCCAATCTTGGACGATCTATTAGTATCTACAATTTACAATTTACCATTATCTTACATCACCTACTATCTACGAGAACACTTATGGAATAATAATGAATAATATGGATATGGATCACGGTCAGCAGAATGGGAACCATCCCAAATCCCATGTCAGGAGCTGGTGCTCCAACTGCGGCTGCTGCAGTTGGGAGACCACCCCGGTGACTTCCTGCGCCGCGCGCCCGAGCCCCCGGCCTTGGAGGCGCGGCATTTAACGGAACGACACTCGAGAGCTCGGGGCATCGTCTGATGGGAAAATTGCCTCGAGGCAGTGGAACGCGCCATTCGAGCTTTAGTAGCTTGGCATAGCTTGGCCGCATTGGCCGCGGTGATGGTCGCGGTGTCGCTGCCAAGATCTGCCAAGATCTGCTAAGATCTGCTAAGATCTGCCAAGGTGGCAATTGGTGCACTTGAGAACGACTCACAACTTCGACTGACTCCTTTGGGTTTCCATTTGGCTCACATGCCAGTGGATGTTCGCATTGGCAGCTTGCCAGCATCCATGCTGTTTGGCCAAAGGCTGAAACCATCTGAAACCACCCAACTCCAGCAGTCTTGAAGTCTTTTTGCTTTGAGGTAAGATGTTGGTCTACGGATCGCTTTGCAAGTGCTTGGCCCCGATTCTCACAATTGCAGCCTGCTTGTCACAGTACTTGGCTCAAAATTCAGCTGTCGATGGCTCTGGTGATTTGGTCTTCTTGTACCTGTGAGCTGCGCAAGGATGTACAGATCTAGAGCAATCTTGACATCTCTAGATGATTCCAGATATTTCCAGATTTCCAGATGCTTCAGCAGCTTAGCTGTTCACCTCACCTCAGGTTTGCATTTCACAGTATTTTGATGTGTCGGGTTCATGACTGAGGAGATCGCCATTCATACGAAACTTCAATCGGACAAAAGAGGTCTGCATTTTCTCAGCATCGAGATGAACATGGATGAACCATGATTCATGCCATGATTCATGCCATGATTCATGCTGTAAGATAACATTGTGACATTATGTGACAATGCGAAGCGGACAGGAACAGCAAGTGCAAGAACGGCAAAACGCATGGGGCGAACTGCACAGTGATCAGCTAGCCGCTGCAAAAGCTTATGAAAAGTGCCCTGGATTTAAAAAGCCTTGGGCTGTTGCCAGTTGTGATCTTCAGATGTGCATTTCGCATGCCATTTCAATTAAATTTATGTAAATTTCACTGTGGCCGTCAGCGGCCACTCAACAAAGGGTGGAGGCTTGCGCGATAGGACACATTTGGTTCCTTACTTTGGTTCCCGACAGCACGAATTCGTTGACGCAATGATGAATGAACTGCCCCTGTGCCATGGTTTCAGTAGTAATTATATAAGTGCACTGTATCTCCCTGCAAGATCCTGCAAGTTGTTTCATCTTTTGCTTGTCATCAGGTATCATGAGCAAAGACGGCAGGGCTCTCGTGAAAATGCTTGGGCCATTTGTGACCGCTTTGGTCTCTCTTCTTCGACTCTAGATGATGTTGCTCTGGCCTTACACATTCCCAAGGACCAGCTGGCGGAATACGGAATCATGCATACATCATGCATACATCATGCATATGATAATACATCTTATTATATATATATAATATACATATATGTGTGTGTACACATAATTGTACATATACATTATATATCATTATATGATATTGATCTATGATGTGGATTGATGTGCACTGTGCTTGAAATTGATGGACCCCGATGCAATATGGACATCCAGAGCCATAGCAAGGCGCAGTTGCGGCAGCAATTCCTTCGCCACCTCGCTGAGACGGGCTTTGCAAATGCTGAAGCGGGCGAGGACGGTGGCGACCAGGCCAAACATCAAACCATATCGGCCATATCACCAAAAACGAACCATATAATTACGTATATTACTAATTATAAAACACACACATACTACATACATATATTAATATATATATATATTAATATGATTATATGTAATGGATTAGTTATTGATATTTGGTACTTATTATTTTTTGGGGTAATTATAATTGGTCAACATGTGTTTTTTGAGTGATTCATGATAAATACCTATGGCAACGGGAACACCTTTGGAAGGATGAACAGAATGCAACTGAGGTTCACACTGTTCACCTGGCCACTGGAGTTCTGACCCTTAACCAGATGGGTCGGGATACATTTGCTTAAATCATAGTGCAGCATGTCGCGCTACCGTGCAGGTAAATGTTCATCAATACAATCTGTCCTTAGTGATGCTTGGCCTTGGTGAGAATACAGTGAGCAAGTACTTGCATAGTTTTGTTTTTTTACTCACTGAGGGTTTGGTCCTCAATACTTTCAACCGCAACAAAGGCGCTGTGTGATGTGCGCTGGCCTTTTTCCCAATGTGGCACAAGTGCAGCGCCAAAGTCATGCACGGGGCACGTGACGCGTTTGCAACTGGGTAGTATTGTATCGAAGATGAAAGCCAAATGTTTGTCTCCTTGGTGTGTAGAAATGCCAAATGCAGGTACCACATTTTTGTGAGCCGGCAGCGCGAACGTTGCGCGCCTCATCCTTCTAGCTTGAATTTTCGCCAAGGAAATGTGGCAATCTCAGTTTTCGAAGGATGCAGATTGCTTGGTTACATACCGGCTTCGGGTACCCAGCAACTGCTAGCGGCAATCGCGGCTAAGGAGTTTGCCGCCAACCATGGGTGGCTACTCTTTCATGACAAGGTGAAGACTTCCCAGGTCTACCTTCATGACACCACTCTTGTAGGCGCTGATTGGTGGACATTGGTGGTTTGTCATCGAGAGTTGAAACGGGTTGAAACCAACCAGATCCAATTGGAACCATTTGGATCCCTCTTCATGGTCTCTCTTTTTTTTCGAGTTTGTTGTAGCCATGCCTTGACGGCTGGGCATCAGGCTCCTTGCCGATCCTGTTGTTTGGTGGCGAGCTGAAGATCTTGTCCAAGGTGCAGTTTGTGGATTCCTTCCTTTTTGGATGTTTATCAGTTTGCATCTCTTTGCGGTGGTTGAATTGATATTAGGTGGTCAAATGGTGGTTACCCCCAAAGATGATGTTGATATATGAGCAACCGTAAAAACCCGGCAATACTAAATATGTATTTGACGGACATTGGCTTATGGAATTGATGGAAATTGTTAAAAACACGAGGTAAGCGATGGGACCTTCCCAAATTAGCGATACCCCTTTTCAAGGTTATGTCATCATATTTCTCTAATATCCACATTAGCGATACCCAAATATCACATATTATTCATAGTTCATCATATATATATAAATACAGCAGTTTCCTGCAAGCGATACCCCCCAAGTTTACCATATATCATTATTGTACAAACGTGTGGTAAGCGATGGGACCTTCCCAAATTTGTGAATGTCCTTTCCGTGAACCTAGGGTTTTCACATTCGCTCATATGTTGATAGAGTCATCGTTTATAAAAAACATACGAACAAATGAGGGCAAGCATGGAACCGAATTGGATTTTCTGGATGCCACTAGCCTGTCAGGAGCGGAAGTGTGTGACAGTCGATGGCATGGTCTTTGAGACCAAGGAGACTAGCCTGAAATTGGCAATGTGCATTCTCAACGCCATCACAATTTTATAGAAAGACACCCTGGTTCAATGACGTTCACTGGTCAAATTATTCATTTGGGCTGCATTTGGACCTCCTCATTGATGGTAATTCCTCAAGATTGGGGCCTGGGATTAGTTTCATTATTTGAGGTTTCAGGGCTTTGTGGCTGATGAGCTCTCTTATCTAAGGATGAAAAGGCGGCAGTTCTCTTTAAAGAGTTGCGCCGGGAGCTTGACCGTTTGTTGTCGCTTGGTTGCACAACGGTTGCACTGATTTGCTGATGCAGTTTTCAATTGTTTCCATAAGAAACAGCTTAAGGATGGTTACGGTTAGGGGTTGTTTCAGAAAGTGGCAATTTGAATCCCTTGATATCCCTTTGTATAACTCAAATCCACTGGATTCCAAGTTCTCTGAAGTTCCAGGCATTTCCAGGCCCCAGAAAAGGCATGAAAATGATTGGCTTCTGCGGTCATCAATGGCCGGAGGCTCCTTAAAGTTGCGAATCCATCGGAAGACTTGGCGACTTCAGCAGAGCCTTTGCTCCTGACAGTCGGGATCCCTATTTCTATAACAGTCATGGCTCGAAGTCAATCATAGATGTCATAGATCTTTGATATGCCATTGATATGCATGACTAATCATGACTATATGCTGGGATTGGGATGCTTTTGCAACAAGAGGCAGGATGCTGAAAGACAATCGATTATTTTTATTACATAAGCAGCACCTTTTCTGCTCTAGTAAAGCCAGGGCCATGAGTGACATCGTTTCGGGATTGCATAATATATATATAGGTGATTTGCTCACAGATGATCAGTGGTGAAACCCATTAACAGATTCTCGCAACCACCTCTTGCTGGGGTTCATCCTGAAGCTTCAGAATATGGATCCCTTCGTCCATGGAATCTTGGAACCAGCCAAACTTGAACTGTTGGAACATGTTGGAAGATGTTGAAACTCTGAAATTTTGGAATTGCGGCGGCTTGAAGGCTGTATTCAGCAAATTTCAGCAATATGCTTTTCAAATTGCCCGTTCTGCTTCAGTTAAAGGTCACCAAGCTTCTTCAGTGGGAGGATAGAGCTTCGAGTGGGAAAAAGCTTGAATTGCAAGACCTCTGCAGATGGTAAGGTCAACACATGCCAGCATAAGTTGCAGATGTAAGACTTCGCGTACTCGTGACCGCCAGCATTTGCCAAACATATGATGTGTCATTTTATCGCCATCGCCAATCTGGAACACAAAGTGATTTGGTGCCGTTTTGATGCTTCATGATGCTTCATTTTCGGTTCAACAGGCCCAGGTGTCTTCACATCTTACCCATCATGTCATCATGATGTACCGCTACATCAGACGCCCTGTCTGCGTTTGTGCTGTTTTGGTGCATGCTGCTTGTGGTGCCAAGCAGTATAATGAGCTGGGAGCAGCAGTGAAGGGCACTTCTGTGCTTCAGACCCAACATCAGGTAGCAACTTGGACGTGTGACATGCGTGCCATAGGTTTTGATTGATATTATATACTATATACTCTTGCTGTGTTTTGTTCATCTAGCGTTGCAAACAAACTTGCGGACGTGTGTTTGGACAGCACCTACTAGAGAGAGCCCCTAGACATCCCTTAACCCTTAACCCAGCGATATCCCGCAAAATCCTTGCGCCAAGGAAGTATCGCAGCAGGTGCAGAAGTCATCCTGCAATGAAAGCGAGGTCTTGTGCGAGGGCACCTTCTACAGCTTTTTCCCTTGGGACTACACCTGTGCATCGCACAAAGAAGGATGCCCAGTGTCCTGCCGGAGCGGCGAACATGTTTGCACCACGCCTCCCATGTGTGAGAACTGCGCAGCTGTGAATTACTGCTCTGGCCAACCCTGCCCAACGGTCGCTTGGATGTAGGGATGAGGTGGGTGAGGCTAGCCTCCATGGGAATGTCAGTAGCAAAATGAAGTACCTGATTTTGCAGATGAATTCCAGCAGCAAGATCACAGCACAAAATGCTGTCAGAAAATGAGATGATAAGAACCTCCTTCACCTCGGCCTGCACCTGGAATCCAATATTCAGCATTGTCCAATCTCTAATCTGATAAGGTCTGCGGCTACGATCAGCTGCTTTGCGATAGTCCTGGAAAGGGGACCGACCCATCCTGCGCCGACAAGGAGACAGGTTGCCCCGTGGTTTGTGCTGAGATTGACCCATGGCTGGCATGGAATTCTCACGAATTCTCTGGTGGAGGGAAGCCAAAAAACTTCCAAGGCATCAGTTTGTTGAGCCTGAGGGACCCAGCTGGAGCTAATACGTGTCATGAGTGTTCATGTTGGATCATTGTGGTGCAATTGTCCGAACACAAAATTGCGGTAGTAAGAGTTAGACATTATTTCAACATATTTCAACAATTTTCATCAATTTTCAACATATGTTCAGTGATTTAAGTGCATTCCATTCCACGAAACTGGTTGATTTTGCCGCATGGCACTGAGGATTACCAGTGCCATACGCCGCCAAGCTGCGAGGGCTGCACAGCTGTGAACTGGTGCTCGTCTGCGCCATGCCCTGCAAATTGCAAGGCGTCGGATCGGAGATCCGAACCTGCTCTGGCAATGATCTGCCCAACGGTCACATTTGTATATGATATGTGATTTATATATGTTATATATTGTTATATGATACTGTGTATATATATATATATGTATATTCTATATGTATGATTTACCCTCTGGTTATTTAACATAGCCATGGAAAATGGATGAAAATGGTACATTTATAGATGGTTTACCTATTAAGAATGGTGATTTTCCATGGCTATGTTAAATAACAAGAGGGTATATGATTCATCAAACAATATCCAATTTAATATGATGTCATATGTTGTTTCTCGCACAGTTACTATGGCGGGCCCACAACCACTCTGGTGATTGGACAGGACCATGAAATCTCCTGCTCGGCGCCTTCTGGCAGCTACTGTGCGGACTTTGATCAGGGATGTCCAGCTACCTGCAAGAACGAGGAGTACGAGTGCAAAAGAACCGGCCTAAAAGCTGGACAGGCGGACTCCCGATCCCGGCCTTGTGGTCGTGGTCAAGAGTTGAGAAGACTGAATAGTAACGAACATATCATGATAAAATTATACTTAATTATAAAACTTAAGTCTACTCTGTACTTCTGTGCATTCTGATGTGTCTCAATTCCTCCTTTAAAAGGTTCTCACATGTTAAATCATGTCAATCAGTCAATCAATTCCAACAATGTGGTGGCATCGTGGCCACAGAGTTTGGGCTGTCGACGCAACTTCGCCATCCTTCGCCTGTGAGGCAGGAGTCCATTATTGCTCTCCGGTCCCGTGCCCGCCAGTGTGCAATGAGACGGAAGTGCCCTGTGGGGACAGCGATGAGGTTGAATTCTGCATGCCAAAGGACGGAAGCATGAACCCATCATCAATCATTCAATCATCTCTTGTCTGTCCCTTTATTCTCCTCTGACTCTGGTCTGGCAATGCAGTTGGAAGAAAGAATTCACACTTGAGCCACTTGGTGCAGTATGTGCCTGCTTTGATTTAAAATTTAGAATGTTTTGAGTGAACCTGCCTCCTAGCTAGGATTCAAGGTGCGCCAATGTGGCTCTGATAGCTGATAGTGCCAGCAATGGATTGTCAACCAAAAGACTCTAATGATGGAACTAGAGCCAAAAAATCAGAAACGAAAGGGTGTCAGCTGAACCATTATTTGTGCTTAGTCCAGCAGATTCCAGAAGCCTAAGCCACTGTTTCTACACCACTACATGCCATTACAATCCATTACACCATATACGTGTTTGGTTTTGTCCCTATATACCCTCTCCTTTAAGCCTTAGGCCCGATAGTTTTTTTTTTTTTTGCCAGCTTCCAGGAGCAGGGTTGCCCAGTGAAATGTGCAGATTCCCAGTGATCCAGCCGCACAGAGGGACATTTTTGGAGCGTATGATGGGATTGGCATAGATTGGATATGATCGGATGCTTGCATAGATGGGCACAGTGAATCATAGTGAATTGGGATGAATTGGGCTTCTGCCATGTTTTGAAGATGAATGGATGGTGGTTGACTCCTTGGCAAGTATCGGTCAGAGAGTAGTTTTTTTAGCACCTGAATGGCTTTCCCATCGTTGCCGACTGCAGAGGTATACCTGTTCTTCACCGCCGGAGTGCGACAACTGCACTGGATTGAACTGGTGCTCTGTAGAAGCATGGATACAAAATTATGGAGTGAATGGCTATGAGTGGTTTTATGGTTATAAGTTATAAGATGTTATAAGATGATGGTTATAAGATGTTAAAATAAAAATATGAATGGTTATAAGATAAGTTATAAGTGGTTGATCCGAAGAGCCCTGGAAATCGAGGGGAAAAATATAAGGTCTTTGTGGTGTTGGATTTTCTATGAAACTGAGGCTCCGTGCCCAGTGCTGTGCAAGGTGCATGAGATTTCATGCAGCAGGCTCGCACATGCGCACCCTTTATAATGTATACTGTAGCTGTTGAGATACAGTAAACACGAGAGGTGCCAGCACAATGTACAACCCCCCTGAACAATTAACCTTAATAGGTAGACGGTAGTAGAGAATGGCAAATGGTATGCCATGGTTTGCTGGTCATTCCTGCAGTACCTTTTCCAATGTCAGGGGCAACGGCAGCAACTTCTGTGTGAACCGCACCGAAGGTTGCCCCGTGGACTGTAGTTCAGAGGACTGGCATGTCACATGAGGATTTGACTAAGCACATCTAAGCACACATAGCACACTGGCTGTTCCCAATTGGGTTATTGGTGGTCAGGAGTCAGGAGCAAAATATGACAAGTATTGACAAACTCAATTTTGAGGTTTGGTGTCTCATGTGCCGATAAATATTCAACCCACCTTCTTAGATTCAAAGTATGCTGCTAGCCACATCTAGCCACGGTTGTCATTGATCCTGGTCATAGCACCAACCAACAGAAATACAGAGTTTGCCACTTCTTTGAAAGCTCGCTTGCTCACCACATCTACCCAGCAGGAAACTGCATGCCACTGGCCTCCGCTGGCACCAAATCACCAGGGGATGAATTGGTGCTCCATGGAGCCATGCCCTATGACTTGCAATAGCAGTCAGTTGGCATGCCCGCAGGACAGGGTGAGAAAACGTGGGAAAACGTGAGAAATGTAGATGAGACACTGATGGGGCACTGATGAGACTGGGCCTGAGTTGGAATCCCTTTTGGAGTTCGACGAGATGATCGAGATGGGAAGGGCGCTGGGATGTGAATTCACTGCATGGCTGTTTCAACTTGCATCACAGTCTCCTTTTGCGAGAGGAGGACGGCAGCGGAGTGTGTGTTGATAAGGACTCTTGGCGGGAACCTGGTTTCTCATGGTTTATCAGGGTTTATCATGTGTTCATGATTTGTATTGATTTGGGTCATAACTTCCCCTTGTGTGCCGTGGTCTCCATTGCTTTGAATTCCCATCATCATCATCATCATCATCATCATCCAGAATCGTCGGCTTTTCCAATATCATCCAGCAGCAATTCCAGCAGTAATGTAGCAGCCTTCAGCCTCGTGGATTCCGAGGCAGAAGGCTGCCCGGCGAAGTGCCACGATGGCGAGTTCTCTTGTCATGCTCCGCCACCTGAGGAGGCTGAGATCCACAGCTTGGGAAGCCACCATCTTTGATGCGTAGAATATGGTAGAATCATGTTAAATCCATGATAATCCATGGTTTCTTGTAAATTTACCCTGAAACCAATCCATTGACGTAGATTTAGATTTCAGATGATTTCTATGGTTTTGTGCTTCTTCCCCTATCCAAACAGGCTTGGCCTGCTTGGATTTTGATGCTGGCCAGGGCGGCTACGGCAGCAACTGGTGCTCCACGGCACCGTGCCAGCCCAACTGCACCAAACATGAAGTGGCTTGTGGGAATGCCGACCACGTAGCTCGACAGCAGTGAGCCATGGCAATACAAGAGAGAGAGAAAGAGAGAGATCAATCGTTACCAATACCCCTGCGTACTGCTCTTCATTTGCATGAGATCATAGAGACCATATCAGATAATGAAAGACTGATCAAAACATGCAGATGTCTTCTCAGCTCGGGGGAGAGTTTCAGGTCTACACCTGCTTCGCCAAGTCAGATGGATGCCCGGTGAACTGCAGTCACGATGAACATGCTCCCTGGCTGGAGCATGAAGAATCAAGCCCACTCCATGACGACGGCTTTACCCCATCCCTTGGCACACAGCTTGACTGAGGCTTGCCACAGTGTTGCAGCTTGTAAGGGTTGCGTCGCTGTGTCTCGGCATTTGGTGGAACTCCAACTCAGCATCATTCTCACTTGTCCATTTGCCATCATTTGCCATTCTCAAAGCATATATCGAAGCTGTCACAGGGCTTTCACCGTTTGTTATGTTTGTTTCTAATGTTTCTGTTCGTTCTTCTGAGTGAAAAGATCAGCTTGGGACATGCTTGTGACACACGGGTCAACCCATCACCTCTGAGGTCAACTGGTGCTCGACGTCAACGTGTCCATCAGTTTGCGCTGAGGATGAGATTGCTTGCTCCATTTATGGCCAGAAAAAACATGGAAAAGGTGAAGGCGGTGAAGCTAAGCACAGTAGCTTGTCCAACCAGAACAAACTGTCTCAGATGGGTCACCTCAGCATTTGGGACATGGATTTGCTACAATTTGCTTGAAATCATCCACAAGGCTTGAACCCTTATCACTGTGAGACATCACTGACCTTTAATCACAAACATGTCTACATGTGATTGCGTGTGCCTTGGATTGCTCATGGTCATTTAGTGTTATATATTTACCTCAAATCATCCAGGGTACGATTCCTAGCACATCCTAGCACCTCACTTGTATGTGCTCCCCAGTTCTCCTGGATGTTCGGATGTGTGCTGAGCCTTGAACCGAGGCACGTTCGATTGCCGACCAAAGAAGGATGGTTGTCCAGTGGATTGTGGACACGACGAGAATGCCTGCTTCACTCCACCAGCTTGTGAAGGTGGCCGCTGCATTCATGGGTGTGATAATCTGGCAATATTTGGCATGGAGATGCATTGCCGCCTTGCCTGCCTAAGAAAAATTGTCAGCAAAAGGAATCACGCATCATCCAGGATCAAAGATCAGAAAGATCACCAAGGATCACCAAGGGTTCATTCATTGCTAATCTTGTTTTCAATTTGGAATGTATTCAGCCCCTGCCCCTCCCAAATTGTGTCACAGACTGCCTGGGCATGCACTGGTGTTCGAAAGAACCTTGCCCCCTCGTGTGCAATTCTACTGCGGCTTGGCTGCGATTGAAAGTGCACGGCCATTGTCTTCAACAGCTGCAGTTAATATCAGTTAATGCCTGCATTGTGTTTGTTCTGCCATGAATATGCTGCAGATGTTCGATCTGTCTCTCTTTACACTTTTTTTAAACTTGTGACATCTTGTGACTGGGTAAGTGGAACAGCTTTCAAACATCTCATCAGGATCTGCAGATGCGAATTTTTCAAGCAATGGCAGCTGTTGTTTGAATCATGTTGATTCACTTTGTATAATTAGCCATACAGATTCGGCAATTTGGCATGATTTTCTTTCCTGCTTCGTGAGGAAATGGGCTGCTTGTCGGCGAACGGCACCGAATTTTGTGTGGAAACCACGGCTGGTTGCCCGGTCAGCTGCAGAGATGAGGCGTGGTTTGGGATCCATGGGATCCATGATCCGATGGCTTTGGTAGGGGCTTCCATAGGCTATTGCCAAATGACCAGATGCCATCGGATCCAATGACCAACAACTTGTGGACTTCACTTACCCTCTGGTTATTTAACATAGCCATGGTATAGATGGCCCATAGAAATAGATGGTTTACCGAACTTGAAAATGGTGATTTTCCATGGCTATGTTAAATAACCAGATGGTATGTTTCTCTCATTTTCAGGAATATGTTTGCCACCTCCCACCGACGTGCGACGAGTGTGTGGGCACCAACTGGAGTCTTGGTCAGAAGGATCCAGGATACCTATGGGTAGGGAACAGTGTTCCTGCACCCTCGGAGGCCAAATTGTGTGTCATTTGTTTGGAGATGTTTCAAGTCTTGTCAAATCCCGGTTCCATTCCAGAAGCCTTCCCTCATCTTCCTTTTCATACTGTAGGTGCCTTTCGAGTGACGGATTAAACATGATTAAACGATATGCTCGGCCTGAGGAGTATCTTCATAGGATCTGCTCTGTTGCGAAAAAAGATCTCTGAGGTGCTCTGAGTCTCCGTGCGCTGCGACTCTGTCAGAACGGTGACTGGAGTCTGGAGAGCCTTCGGGCAGATGGATGAAACAAGAAAGGCCAAAAAAGACAAAGTGCAGATAAGTGCAGTGTTCACATTATGTGATCATGCTGAGTGAATCTGAGTGGTTTCCTGAATGTCATCATGTTTCAACGCACTTCTTCACGGCATTCTCTGGCTGGCTTGAGAAGACACCGGAAAATCTGCCGTTTGCAGAAGTATTTTGGCTTCAGTGATCATTATAGTTGGAATTTCCGGATTGAACGTGGTGACGCCATGGCACTCGGAGGTGGGAAGTTTATAGAAGTGAGTTCATTGCATGACCAGCTGCTATTCCTTCCGTAGCCGGGCATATGTCAAGCCTGGTTCAACCTTGTTCGTATGTCCCACTGCCGTGTACAGTAGTGGCATCGGATGGTATCGGTATCGTGTCTGTGGACACATTGTAGGCCCCGGAAAGAACATTGGGAACCTTTACATCATATTTTAATGTTCATCATGGCCATAGTTCATGCTTTCATGTGGCTTCAGGTGTCATAGACTTTCACCTGATTGTTCCGTATTCTTGGAGCAACTTGGAGGTCTTGCCGGAATCAACTGCCACTGCCAGTGGGGGCTGACTGGGCTTTTGGGTGGCATCGTCATCATGCTGGCTGCAGGTCAGGGTGTCCCAAAATCCGAAGGGGCGGCAAGTATCAGCAAGTTGTCCAACAGCTCTCTCGCTCACCTGAGAGAGAGAGAGAGAGTACGAGTCTCATTTCGAAACAAAAATCATGTATAATCTGTATAATCATGTTCATATTCATTCATTTTTGCTCGATCTTCATTCCTACTTTTTCTTCCATATAGACTGAGCATCCGGAAGCCTTCACGCATTTCTACCTAGACAGTGTCGGTCACACTAGAAGAATGGTGTGGAAGGTGCTACAAGTGCTGCAAGAATCAACGATGATTGCGATGTGGGTTCATTAAGCCATTCCCGCCACTACTCACTGCACCTCCCTACGCCCTCCCATGATGCTGCAAAGGCGTCTTCACTGCTTTGCCTGTCTTTTTTGGCTGGTTCTGCTACCAGTGGTACTACGCAACTTGGACAAACACAGGATCATTCATGACAATTCCAGATACTGTCATTCCATGCGTTTGAGGTCCTTTTGAAGTTTTGGGCAATGCTCACGTGTGACAATGAGGGACATCAGTGGGTTGTAGGGGCCTTAGCACATCTCGGCACTGCGATGCGAGGCCCTTTGCTGGTTCTGGTTCCTCCTCGGTGTTGCCATGACGGTCTTTGGAGCGTTCTACGAATGCTTCTGCTTCTCGCCAGTCTACAAGTCAGTGCAGGCACTGGAAAGATTGAAAATGATTGACATATGGTGTCTCTGCATGTCTCTGCATAATTTTGCAGAGATGCCATCATGGTCTTAAGCTGCAACTCCCGTCCATGCAGATGTGAGATAACGCGAGTTGAGTTTTGGACGAGAATGGCAGACATGGCTTCTCACAGTGTATCACCAGGCTATACCAGGCTATAGGCAAATATTGCGTTATATCGTGTCGGCCTTAGAGTCTGCAGGCCCGGGAGTGGGCGGAGGAAGATGGCTCTGGCCCAGCCTCTGCACCAACACCGTACATCATGATCCAGTGAGCCAGCGAGCCAGTGAGCTGGCCAGAGTTTCGCGACGTTTTTCTAGAGTGCTGAGTTGGTATAGGATGTGATTTGCTGTGCTGGGCGCCAAAGCCAGAAGGCCGTTGAACTGATCACTCAACAATATAACAATCCTAATGAAATACCGCAATATCTGCAATACATTGCAATAGGACGGGTAGGAGGGATCTGAAGCCTCGCACCCAGCTGAAGTCAGACGGTTGAATTAAATGAAGTAATGGAATCATGCATTCAATGTTAGTGAAAGTATTTGTCCTAGCGTCCTGCAAGAGTGTCTTCCAAGAGCGTCCAACAAGAGTGTCCGACACGAGGGTGTCTCAAGAGAGTCTTACAGAGTATTCCCCAAGAGTGTTTGCCGGGAGTCTCCCAAGTGTCCCACAGGAATGTGTTATATATTATAGTGTTTTACATGTTTGAACTGTTTGTCATGAGTTCCTCCTAAGGGTGGCATGGGCTATCCCAACGACATGCTAGCCATTTGGTCACAACAGTGTGCATGACAGGATTCTCAGATAAGTTGTTGTTAGCTTAGCTGCACTCATTCTTAAAATAGCTAAAGATTTAGACCTGGCTTTGTTGCCTGGCGATTCTCAAGCCAAAGTCGTCAGAGCTTCGGGCAGTGACCTAAGTGGCCACAGGCCTTTGCTTCAGAGACGAGTGCTGGCACCGAGACGTGTGTTGGTTTAAAAAAGTTGCCAATTTCCCTCATGTTATTTCTTTTCCAGTTCATTTCCATTCTATTCTGCTTTGCCGCTTTCTTGCCAAAACATGTCAAAACTATTCAAAACTTGATGTTGCGAGTTGCGTTTGAGTTCTTTGCTGATGTTTTTGTTCGGACATTGCTAGCGGTGTCCGTGAAGCGGCTGAAATCACACCTCCTCTCAAGGCATTTTTGCGGCCCCCAGTGATCATAGGAACTGGATTGAACTTGACGCCATGGCACTCGGAGGTGCCACAACGCTGTGATTCATGACCAGCTGCTATTCATGCCATAGAAATCCATCGAAGATGTGGGATTTCACAAAATATCACAGACTTTCACCTCATGTTTCCTTGGACTTGGAGGTCTTGCCGGAATCAACTGCCACTGCCAGTGGGGGCTGACTGGGCTTTTGGGTGGCATCGTCATCATGCTGGCCGCAGGTCAGGGTGTCCCAAAAACCAGCCGAGCAGCAAATTGTCGAACAATGACCCATCCCTTAAGCCTTAAACAATTATTCCAGGGTATCAGCTAGGTTATGGAATAATATTTGTTGGAATAATTTTCCTGGAATAATTTTTTCAAGGGGTAGGTATACGAGTATTATGCATCATTATTTTCAAAATCCCATATATCTCATTGAGTTCTTGGAATATTTTTTTTTGAAGTCAAGTTATGCCGGAATAATATTTTATTATTCTGAGGTATGTTGACGGGGGTATACCCTTAAGGCATCCCTCATGTCGAACGGCTCTCATTTGGGTACCTGAAACAGAGGTGCTGTGTGGTAGAAGACTATATTCTGCTCGGAATATCATCACACTGCATAGAGGTTTCTTTTACCTTCAATTTATATAGGTGCCCGACATGTCGCCTCATGGAGCACCTGATATATATATATATAATACTATGTATGTGTGACATTATATATCACATATATATAATATGTATTATATATATATATATATATAATTATACATATATTATATATTGTATAATATCTCTCCGTGTGTGTGTGTGTGTGTGATGTGACGCATTGTGACGCAACGCGATGCGATGCGATGAGATGTGATGTGATGATATGTGATTCATCATTGTTTTAGTATTTTATTCTTTCGAAAAGCGCGCACACACACACATATCGTACATAGGTGTTGATGAATTTATCTTCCACTATCTTGGGCCGACTTTTTCCACACTATTTGCTTACTGCAGGTGATTTTGTGCTGAATGGATTTACGACCTTCTGTGACGGGTCCTGAACCAAAACCCGACAACACATTTCAATATTGTTTCTCTTTTTTTGTTTTTCAAGAAATATTCTTTATATTGTTTCAGCAGTTGTTTCACATTTAAACATGTTTTCAGACATATTCTTTATACAATTGTTTTAAATCGTTGTTTCAAAAACATATTCTTTATTCAACAGTTGTTTTAAATTGAAACTATTGTTTGAACTATTGTTTCACATTGTTTCATGTTTGTGCCACATTCTTCGATCTTGGGACATTTACAAAAAATCAACTCTGCCACTTCGCATTGAAGAGTTTTTTTATTGGCAACTAGTTCAAAACCAAACAGCTGTTGGTCAAATATGGTCTCCACAAACCTGCATCTCTAGTTGGAAACAGCAACCGTGGAAGAGTTTCAAAGGGTTTAATTTCAGATTTCATGTTTGTTTTAGCTTGCTGCTGATGGGCTGGTGTGAGTGATGGCCACTGGCTGAAGTGTAGTGTATATATAATATTATATAATAATATAGGTATAAATAAATGAGCATGTATTAATATATAATTATATATATATAGATGTATAATTTGCAACTTTGACCGAAGTAGTAATCAGATAGGTTTCTGCTTATCTTGTCCCGGACAAGACGTCAGAATCAGTTTTGTCAGCGGAAATCTGCAGCAGCAAGAATCAGCAGTTGAAATAGACTGCATATAATGTGCATCCATACAGCCATTCCCGCCACTACTCACTGCACCTCACTACGCCCTCCCATGATGCTGCAAAGGCGTCTTCACTGCTTTGCCTGTCTTTTTTGGCTGGTTCTGCTACCAGTGGTACTACGCAACTTGGACAAACACAGGATCATTCATGACAATTCCAGATACTGTCATTCCATGCGTTTGAGGTCCTTTTGAAGTCTTGGGCAATGCTCACGTGTGACAGTGCAGTGGACATCAGTGGGCTGTAGTGGCCTTAGCACATCTCATCACTGCGATGCGAGGCCCTTTGCTGGTTCTGGTTCCTCCTCGGCGTTGCCATGACGGTCTTTGGAGCGTTCTACGAATGCTTCTGCTTCTCGCCAGTCTACAAGTCAGTGCAGGCACTGGAAAGATTGAAAATGATTGACATATGGTGTCTCTGCATGTCTGCATAATTTTGCAGAGATGCCATCATGGTCTTAAGCTGCAACTCCCGTCCATGCAGATGTGAGATAACGTGAGTTGAGTTTTGGACGAGAATGGCAGACATGGCTTCTCACAGTGTATCACAAGGCTAAGCGGCTATACCAGCCTAAAGGCTAGGCAAATATTGCGTTATATCGTGTCGGCCTTAGAGTCTGCAGGCCCGGGAGTGGGCGGAGGAAGATGGCTCTGGCCCAGCCTCTGCACCAACACCGTACATCATGATCCAGTGAGCCAGCGAGCCAGTGAGCTAGGCGGTCACTGGCATAAGTGGGCCAGAGTTTCGCAAAATTTTGCTAAGAGTGCCGCTGAGTAGAGTAGGATGGGGATTTGCTAGACGTGCCGGGTGTAGAGTCAAACAGCTGCAAGTGACACGTTTTGAGTTAAAAACAAAGGATTTTATAGGTTCGCTCACACGATACATGCTCGCCAACAGCAGATTGCCTGAACTTTTTGAAGAACCGCTCGTCCCCTCCCCAAGTTGGTTCCGGCCTGACTTGTGCTCTGTGGTAAGCCGCCCAGTGCAAGAAAGGCACAGAGTTATAGTCACAGTGCTGTTGGCACGTCAGTCTCGGAGAAACAAACGTTACAAGTGCTAGACACTGCCAGACACAGAGAAACAGGCCTAGCTTTTGATGCTGTTTTGGGTCACTGGATTTAGGACTTGTTTCTGGAAATTAATTTGGGGCAGTAGAAACTGATGCCGCGAAGTTCCAAACATGTGCATAGAAAAAGCGGCAATAGACAGAAACATACCGGACACATCTGGACACATATTTTATTCCTTTGAAGTGTAGGGCCTGGGGTTGGTGCTGGGACATTGGAAACCGTTCATTTGCTTGCTGCCTTCCCTTCTTGCTCAATCTGGCTCAGAATGTTCTACCACGATCTACTACTCCCAAAAATCCCTGAAGGCCTCCTTTGCCTCTTTGGAGGCGAAATAGTGGAGCTGTGTCAGCTGTGTGGCACAGCACGTGACCAGGCGCAGGCTGCCCAGGCTGCCCAGGCTTTTCATGTCGTGCCAGGCAAATCTACATCACAGGATGCGACTGGCAAGGTCGATCCAGAAAGCCAGTGCATTGGAGACGACACTTCGCCAGCACTGGGTGGCCGAAGTGGCATCGAAGTCGTGATTGGTTAGTGCCGTCCAGTCATGCCCAACCTGTCCAAGATGAGGCACTATCAGACCAAACATCCACTCCATTTGATGTACAAAGATGCTTGGCTTTCGCGTAAGTTGGTGCTGCTGTTTAGTACTCGTGCGGGACGCTCTATGGCGAGATTCTTTAAGGCTTCCATTCACGACTGTTCTACTGTAAGTAAATCACCTGTTACCTGGACACGAAGCACCTTCACCCGTCTTACAGTCCAACTGGATTAATGATTAATGACTCACTTTGACTTTGAGGATGTTCTAGATGAAGTGGCTGAAGCCAGGCAAGCCGTCAAACTGCAGGGTGTGGAAACTGTGAATCAGGTGGAAGGAAGACTCATGAAGACTCGCTTGCTCTGGATTGGATCATCCTGGATCATCCTGGATCATTCATCCTCATAGACTCACATCACATCATATCCTTTCAGCTGTTGACTGCTCCGATGCAGGAGCCATTTCGACCTGGCAAATGTTTGGTCAAATCTGGCACCATCAGGGAACATCTATCGGCTGAATGGCTTGGAACAGGCTTGGGACCTTGGGACCTTGGGACCCATGGCCCTGCTCAATGACTCAAAATCTATGTCAATTCCTATGATCAACAGTCGTTGCCATAGTTGCTCATGATTGTAGGTTGATTAATTCATGTTGTAGCTATTTCAAAATACTCTTAACATCTTTTTAACTAAGACTAATTATGGCCAAACATCTGAAGCCAATTTGCCAGCCCTGCACGTGCTTCCTGTTTTGGCTGATCGCAAATCTCCGCCTGTGCAGATGAGACTAGCCCATTGTGCTGACCTACAAGCACAGCTGAGAGATTTGGCAGAGGCTGCGGGAAGAGCACCCCCATACTGACCAAGTTTGGTGGACACAGTGACAATAGACAATTTCAGACAATTTCAACATACTTATCAAGATCTTTCAACATATTTCGACATACCTAAGGCATCCTAAGGCATCCTAAGGCATAGATCTTTAGCTTTGGATCGGTTTTTTCGTTGGCCAGGAGAGAGCTGACATCTTGGGCGATCGGCCTTTAGACGACCGCTGTGATGATTTGGTGAAAGCATTGCAGAAAACCAAGGCGCTGGTCTCGGTTCGGCAGAAAACCTCAATGGCGACTGAGTTTGGCCAGGTGGGACTTGCCCTTGGAAAGAGCGAAAAGGACCTGGTGGTTCCACAGATTCCGTCGCACAACACATTATATTACATTATAATTGTATTTATAGTTTAATAATGCTTACTTATATGATCTTATATGTATAATTATATGCATGTTTGTATATATATTTATATATTTATGTGCACATATATTTGGTATTGCTGTTTAGATCTGGATAAGGCAAAGGTTCAATAAACTATTCAAACAGAATTAAAGAGAGAGAGAGAGAGTAACATGCAGGGCTCCTTGGTTGATGATGATTTACATCCATTTGGTGACGCAGAATCATTGCAAAAGAACATGATCCGGAAAAATTGCATGGACACTCTCTCTCTCTCTCTTCTCACAGGCGTAGGAGCTAGAAGGCCTCATGCGTGTCCATCATGTTTGGCATTGGCCTTTCTTCGCCAGGACGAGGAGATTGGCTGGGACGATGATGTTCTTCAAACGGAAGGCTTTCCGGTCTTGGAGGAGTTCCTGGCCACATGGCTTAAGATGGCTGCACGGAAGGTATGTGGTCGCATTGGCAACATGACCCGGGTGCAGAAGCCAGCCAAAGAGTTCTATAGATATTTTTGAGGAAGTCTAGAAGTCAAACTTCCAGCTTATGGACAGATGCAGCAACAGTGGTGAGAGCAGTCAGAGAAGAGAAGAGTCAGAAGAGAAACAGACAGTGGAAAGAAGATCCAGGAGCTAGAAAAAGCAGAAAACAAAACACTGTGTTTTGCCAATGATTTGTGGCTCAGTATGGCTCAGTAGAGGCTCGCTACTACAGCGGCGGGTGCGGAGCCATCTGGTCAGATGAGAGCTCAAAAATTGAACGCTGTCGTGGCGCGAAGCACATTTCGAAGTCAAACTCTGAAAAGCACACCACGTTCGGACCACTTTTGGAAGTTCGGAGATAGATAGACAGAAAGATAGAAAGATAGAAAGATAGAAAGATCGATAGATCGATAGATCGATAGATCGATAGATAGACACATCGATAGATAGATACATCTATAGATAGATACATCGATAGATAGATACATAGACAGATAGATAGCTAGTCAGATAGATAAGTAAATAGATAGACAGACAGATAGATAGAAAGATAGATGTATAGATAAGTAGTGAGATAGTCAGATAGACAGATAGACCGACAGACCGACAGACAGATAGACAGATAGATAAACAGACAGACAGACAGACAGATAGAGAGAGAGAGAGACGCAGGCACCTTTCAGGACCATCAGTTCGCCCTGCCATCCATGAATCGCAACAACTCACCCCTCCTATAGGTTTCTTATCTTTGAAACTTCCGCCACCGCCCTGCGCGGCACTACTGGTAAGATGAATTAACAATGAAGTAACATGGATGGACAGAATATACACTGTCACATCATGTCAAGCTAATCTAAATTGCATGTGCTCAGGTGGGCAAAGTGTCGGTCGGCTGGCCAGTAGTGGTTCCTCTGACCCCAGTTGGATGGAGTGCTTGGTGGAACTCACAGCTGATTGGTTGCATAGCCACCTGGGCACGCTTTGTGCTCGAGCTGTTGTGAGTTCTGCACAGTGTCAGCGGTTGATGAGATCATTTGTATCAAAGGCAGGTCACCACAGCACTGCAGCAGCAACCAATGCAGAAGCATGCAGAAACTATGGAGCGGACTGAAGCCGATGTGATCTACTTCGCCAGGTCGCTTTTGTCCAAACCATCGGTCCAGTCCTGGTGGTTCTCAGCTTGTGGCAGGCCCGTACTTTTGAACTAAATCGGATCATTATGTGGCGACAGCCGTCCATCGTATCTAAAAGGTATCTATTCAGGCTTCAGAATGCTTCAAACTCTTCTAACTTAACATAGCATTTTATATTGCATATTGCATGGCATGGAGAGAGGCTGCTTGCCAGCAAATTCAGTTGTTGATGTTGACGAACTGCCTCCACTACCACATGCCCAGGGTCCTACCAACTATTTGCGCGATCCTTTGTCGACCTGGGAGCGGCTGACTCTTTCAAATACCTTCTGCGAGAGTCGTGCCCTCTCCGTGCCTCGTCAAAACAAAGAGGACCTCAATACATACTGCCTAAACATGGCAGTATGTAGAAGAAAGATGAAGAAAGGACGGCAATGGACAGCAGATCGCAGAAGGTCTCCATTTTCCAAGTTGTTACGATGCCGCAGAAACGATTCTGGTTTCTTTCGGTGCCTGGGTGATTTGAACGCTGTGAAATGCAGCCAAGGACTGGTGTACGGTCTTAATGGGTGTGATGTTCTCCTTTTTCGTCGTGGTGCAGCTGCTGAAGTGCGCTTGCATGTTTTTGTGCTGCAGCATTTCGCTGCTGAGAGTGGAAGTGTTTATCAATAACATATCAATAACATTCAATAACCAGATTCAGGGTTTGAAGTAGGCAGGCACGTTTTCTTCGTACGTTTGCGTGTGATTGCATGTTTACTTCCTCTGGCAGCCCCATTGGCGGCCATATCCACTCCAGTGACTTCGAGAACCATGGCTTATGGACTGACACACCCTTAATCTCTAGCCAAGGGGGTTAGGTGCAACAGGGTGCAACCCCTGTTGCAGCTGCATCGCGGCGGATGAATCACCTTTGGCCGATCCTATCTTGGTTGCCCACGTCTTTGAACGTGGTATTGTTACTTTTTTCCAACAGCTTGCCACTTCGTTCCACGTTCTTTTTTGCAACCTGACCTGCCATGCATGAGCCGCAGTGACGGTGCACCCGTTCCCCAATTTTGCCAGTTACGCTGCTTCGGAGCTGGATGTGCGGGGCCTTGAGCTGTGAAAATCTCGCACCTGCAAGCAGCTCCGCATCAACCCTGGGTTCTCCAAGGATGTGTACAAATTTGGTCGGTTGGCTGGGTGCACGTCTTTTTGGTCAGTGGCAGGCCAGGGGAAAAATATGAAAACATGGATTAAGTTTAAATGCAAACATGTTATAAAATGTTCAAGTCTGCCAGGTGCTTACATCAACATGTGGTGCGTTTGCGACTTAGTTTGCGGGGAAATCATGCTGCCAAGTACTTATTGCATCTTATTGCAAGAGTTACAACCCCTTCTATAACATTTTCAGTTTCCGTCATCATTTTGTCAAGCACGAGGTGCTTTGGAACATAGTTGCACTTCCTTTATCCTTTTGGCGAATGGAGCATGCTGTAGATGTAACTCGGCAAGGGCCTGGAACAGTTGCCTGCAAGTGAGTTCGGGTTTGAGCATGGAAGTTGGAAAGGTTCTGGCAGATGCAAGCTCCAGGTGTGAAGATTGTTTTAGCATTTTCCAATTTTCTTTATGCATGTATGTGGGTTTTTGTCCTTTGTAATTCTTTGTAGAAAGAAGATGAAAGAAATACCCTTGAATTTTCTGCAGCACATATCAAAGCCATACAATGCTATATATATATATTAGCAAATGGACGCATATCATATGGTACTCGTATCCTTTTGTGCTTCTTTCCGTCTCCACTTCATGGCCGATTGACACGGGCCTACAGGGCTGGCGTGTGCATCGGGGCCTAGGTGATCCTAGGCTCGTGGGGCCTATTGTTTATGTTCAATCTGGATGACCTGACTGGTGTTGCGGGCGAAATCTTGGGAAGTACTGATGACCAATTCCAGCGCTGTCTTTGCTGGAACTATGCATCTTGGGCTCAATTTGTGGTGTGGTGAGGGCATGTCAGGATTTCAGAATAGGAACGGAGATGTATTGGTAATTCAGCAGAGACACTTCAATCTCTTATAGCAACTGAGTAGATGGTGAGATCAGTGAGAAACCCTCGGTTTTCAGAAGAGTTCAACAGGCCAACTTGCTTGTCAAACATTGATCACTCTCGAACCTTGCTCACATCTCGCAGCCGTTTCGGCCACCCCTCGAGACCCGATAGTGAAATCAAAGAGAGAACTACCCCTTTCTAACTCATGTCATTTTGAGCTGTCCATATGCAGGCTGCGGCTTGGAAATCAATCCCCTGAATGGGAAAATCATTTACAAGTGGTGGATTTTCATTGATTTCCATGGTCATGACGTCATGTTTGATTACCAGAATACCTTCCGCCGCAGCTTGAACGCGTGCAAAGCTCCCGTCAGGCCAATTACGGAGCTGCGAGCAGCTCCAGGTTGGTACGCTCGAAGCATGCGTTCACGAGCATTCACGAGCATTCACGAGCATTCACGAGCATTGAAATCTTCATTTCATGCGGAACATTGCCGAACACTTGTTTCATCACCAGGCTCAGTAAGGATCCAGAGGAAGCCCGTTTCTTCAAGCGTGGAAATTCAGCGCCCCTCACTGCAACTGAGCAGCATTTAGGCCTCAAAAGCAGCCATGGCACTTCAAAATCATTTGATATCAACAACTTGTCAACAACCATGTGGAATTCCCTAACTAATAAGAACAATATTAAACGACTATCAAAAATGTTCTAAAACATTTCAAGACTACTACTCTAAAATCTATTAAAATCTAACATAAATAAGATATTATATTACTTATTCAATCTTATTCAATATTAATGTCGTTAATTATTCAACAACATGTTCATTGTTCGGAACTTGCAGCACCTGTCAACCAGGCTGGCCTTTTGATAGCTGATGTCGTTGGCGCTGGAGTTCTTGCCATGGGTTACTTGGAACAGACCTATTCGGAACAGAAGGGTTGGGTTGTCGTTAGGTGGCCAAGCAGCAGCTGCAGCTCAGGTCAAGCAGTTGCCCAGCTGGGATGGATGGTTGCGATTCCTGCCATCTTTTTGATGCTGGCCGCTTGCTTGGAATGAAATGGAATGAAACATGATGAAACTTGCAAGGGTTGATTCATGTTGATTCACAGAGCTCTGGACCAAGACCAGGATGTCCAGAATATGTCAGGGTGAGGGAATCATAGGTAATCCAGTTATATCCAGTTGACCAAGGCCATGAATGCTCACATTATGATCTTGGTATGGCGGGTGGCTTGACTTTCAGCAGATCAGTTCCACCCGCTGATGATCGTGTCCCTCGATGCACTGAAACTGGTGCCTGCTGAGGTCCAGAAAATTCACCCAGAGACTCAGCAGAAACGTTCCGTTGCGTCGTTTTGGACTGCATGATGCAATGATGCAATGTATTGCAAGGTATCCAAATATTCCTGACATATCCCTATATGTATTATTATGTATTTATGGATTTATGATTGATGCTGGGGAAATCATTGCTGCAGCATGTAGACGGATGAGTTGGCACAGCGACCCAAGTTGCAGGCCGCAAAGTCCTACAAAGATCTGGCATGCATGACCATGGAGCGTGCGCAACCGGAATTTCTGAACCTCGCGAAACGAGTAGTGACCCTTGGCATCACTATTCAGATCGACTTTCAGAACGTTTCAGAACGAAGATCGGAGGAATGCGCTTTTGAATGCTTGAATGATCTGGCATTTGCGTAATTATTTGAGAGTGAAAAGCTAGAAGAGAGTAAGAGAGACAGCTGAAAAGCACCTGACGTGCTGTTGTCGCACTTGCACTGGAAAAGTGAAGTAGCCTGGTGTCTCTCTTTCGATTTCTCAGGGTGGTTGGGCAGTACACCTTCATTTTTGCTACTTTATCGCTCTATACCCTCAGTATCGGGCAGGGACTCGGTATGCAGCTTGGCCGCAATCTGCGGGATCGAATTCAAACGCCTTTTCTGTTTTAAAGTTGTCAGTTTTTTTGGTCTTGATAACATCCAATTGACTACCCATCTTTCAGCTCCAATGGCTGCGAAACGCTGTAGAGGTTCTTCTATGATCTTCATAGTTGCCTTCCTATGGTGACTTTCATTGGCTGTATGCTGCTGCTTCCAATGAACACTTCTGCACGGTTCTTGGGCTCTTTCTCTGGCTCCGTGGTGTTCAACTGTCTTTGCACAGTTGGAACTGCACCTGGGCAGGATATGGCAGGATGGATCAGGATGGCAGATTCCATTTGGATCATTTGGGCTCTTGAACTGTTGGAATACTGTTGGATTTCATGGATGAAACACATTGAAACACATTGAAACAGAAGTCATTAAACATCATTAAACATCATCAAACCATGCAGCCAGTTTTTGATATCCAAGATGACCCAGCTCCAGTTGAGGTGCTGATCCCCATTCTTTGGTTGATGCATGAAGGCCGGGAAAAAAAAACATGGAAAAAGATGGAAAAATAACCATGGGAGTAAGGGCGCACTGTAGATGTTTGTATGTTAGATGATGTTAGATGTTATGGTGATAATCAATGTTCCTTACTGGTGATGTTCTTTTGGTGGGGTTTGGAGAGTATTGTCATGCCAAAGTGATGTTTGCTTTAGATGACAGGTATAATTGTTTGGACCGCTTGGGTTTTACGCTTGGGTTTGGGTCTCTGATGTTTATCCATGTTTATCCTTTCTCCCTTCCAAGTGTTCAATGACTGTTTTAATATGTTTTAATCATAGAAGCCTGTGCGCCTCGATCAGAAATCTGTGTCTCCCAATTACAGAAATCCTGTCTCCGTGTCTCCCGATCACAGAAACTCGTGTTCGCCAATCACAGAAACACCCGTTCTTCAAGCACAGGTTCTTGATGGTTCTTGTAACCTTGGACAGTCTATGATGCTGATATATAATTCAAACATGTTGATGAGATCGAGTCGAAAAGTTCAAAGTATGAGTTATATATGTGCTTGACCTCATTTTTGAAACAAACTCAAAACATCAAAGAGTTCATCAAACAATGTCATTTACTATTTCTCCAACCGTAGAGGAAGAGTCGACTGAATTCAGATCTTGCGAATTCAAACATGTATTCATTGGAGGTTTGCGTCAAACTTTGCTTCACGCTGATTTTTCCCACAGTTTGATAAGCGTGGTACAGATGGTAAAATCCAGTATGTGTCGGACAACCGTCACGGAGGAAAAATGCTTGATGCGGTGGATAATTGGTGTGATGAAAGCTATGACAGAGTGAAACTTGGAACACTCTACTTTCCAATAGAATTTTAGATTGACCGAAATACAATTAAGTGAATATGAGTGAAACTGATTGATTATTTCACAATATCTTAACAACATGTAGTGCTGTATAAAGTAATCACCCATCCAAACGCTCACACAAAGCAAAACAGCAATAACAATTAAGGCACCTCATCTATTCATTCCAAACATCACCATATCACTTTAGCATCAAACTATCCGCCACAACTCAATCTGAAAAAAACATCAAATTCACGAATAAAACATGATAAAACATGGAACCAACAGAAACCATAACAGACAACACATTAACATCTACGCCCTGAAACCCCAACTTGCATTTTTTCCTCCAGGACTCCCTTTGGCTTCAAACCCTAAGGGCTCTGAATGTTTGTTGATATTTGGCGCATATTTTCGTTCAATGCTCTTCATAGTGGTAGTTTTTGATTGTTTGTCACTTGCATCAGAGGAGAGGTTTTCATATTTGTAAGGCCATGCAACAGTCCCATTTTTAGACAATATTCGACAATTGTCAGAGTCACAATGTTCACTGGAAGGTGTGGAAGTCACAAGACCAGCACATAGCGAGTTTGTCGGGGTGGCCAGCCAGCTCTCTTTGAGCTCTTTGGTCACGTCTGCCAGGACCTTACAGGACCTTACCTGGGGGGTCCCTGGGGCCCAGATGCCAGGCATGGAGACATTGGTATCATGGGATGGTGACATAAGGCCAGTACCTTTGCCTTTGCTTTCAGCGGACAGCTCCGGAGCTGCATTTTTTTGGCATTTTGAAGATTTGACACGATCAACACGTGTTTCGGAACTGCTTTGACATGTGTGCTCGGTTTTAATGGAGAAACATGGAGAAACTATGAGAAACTGCACTCTGTGGTTGCCTTATGTTGCCTTCTGCCCTCAGGTTCCTGCTTTGTGAGATCATGTCAGAGATGGATGACCTCGAAGAGTTTCCCAAGGCCGCTGCATTGCTCCATGCGTAGAATTTTTCTAGGAGTGGTAGGACCTGGTAGGATTGTTTCTATGAATTCTTCATTGACAGTGGGGTGACATCAAGATGAGACGTCGCTACCGAGTTGCTTTGTGGCAGTGTTTCAAGATTTCATCGCCGTGGCTAGCAGCTCAGGCATACCTCGTCTACTCCCTGCCCTTTCAAGCAGCCGCTTTCCTGGGCGTTGGTCTTTCAGTCTATTACTTCCGAGGAGACCCGCTTGAGACCTCCGTGGAAGAAGCATTGCAGTGATGCTGTAGTGACACTTACACCTTTGGTATGCTTAAGTAGCGCGCTGGATACATCTGGATACACAATGATACACAGCGCTCATAGCGCTACCAGTACCATTCAGATGATTCAGTGCCTTTGGTGATGGGTCCATGTCCACATTGTCCACTGAATGTGATGCGGATCTGCCAGGAAGTGCAGCTTTGGGTATGATCGTTCAGGAGATTCCCTTTGGCTTCATTGAACGACTAGCTGCATCCTGCCTCGTGGGCCACATTCTCATCACTTATGTGGGCAGCTTACACACAAGACTATTGAAATCTATAGGATACCCAAATCAATCCAACGTTGTCCGAAGATCCAACATAATTAGATTATAAACGCTTCTGTTTAAACATTTTAAACCGTATTTCCACTTTCGTCATGTTGTATGGCCTTCTACGTCCCTTCGGTGCACTTTGAGACATCTTTGGAAATGGAACAGTGGCATTTGACCTTGTGCGATTTGCACCTGTGCAGCGCATTGCTTCCCTGGGAGGTGATCAAGAGCGTAGTGCTTTCCAAGGGCCTGCTAGAAGAATTTGAAAAAAGCAAGATCATTGCAAATGGAGACACCTGGCTTTCATGGTACTGCATGGCAGCTCGGTTGCAATCACTGTGTTGGACCTGATGGTGCACTGTTTGTCTCATGAGTTGCGAGTTTGGCGTTTGACATGCGTTTGAAACGGTTCGAACTTCAGCCCTCGGGCCCTGATGTTGGCTCAGATGGTTCTGATCGTGGGTGCTTCTTGGTTCATGGCCCAAATCGTGCCCTTCTTTGCGGACTTTGTAAGCTTGCTCGGCGCGACCCTGACGCCGTTGATTGCATTTATCGTACCACTTCTGCTGTATGGATTGTGTATCAGCACGAATGATGCTCACTTGCAGCAAAAGCCTATACCATAGCCAAGTGTCCCAGGGAGTTTGAAGGAACTCTTGGTATATTTTGTTGTGGCCCACTTTAGAGGAGATGCAAAAGGCATGGCCTTCCTAAAGCGCGGAGCATGTTGCTGAGCTGTTGCCATTTGTCGCCCCAGGATGCGAAAGCAAGTGTTTTGGAGAAGGCTGTCATGGCACTGGAGCTCCTTCTTTCCTGTGTCGTGTTGGTGTACGGTCACTTGGCCATGTTACCATCTCCTTGAAGTCTTCGGGAGCTTGGGATGATTGGGATGATTGGGATGGGAAGGGAATGATGGGCCTCGAGGCACTGCATCCACCTTGGTAAATATCTTCGAGAAATGGGATCAGTATGGATATCCCTTTGCCTGCCATTGCCAGAATCTTTGGCATCTTGGCTGCACTTTAAGGATGTTTAAGGATGTTTGGTTGGCTCATAAATCCAGCATCTCCGCATCTTTTTTTTGGAGGGCTCTTATTCAAACATGTTCGGACTACTTAGAGTAGTATGAAGAGTTCCCTCGGCCCTGTTCATCACAGCCAAGTGGGGCCTAAGGAGGACCTGCTCTTGCTCACCCAACAGGATGGAATGCCCAGCTTAAAGCTTTTGAAAGTGCAGCTGCCAGCTCAGACCCGAAGTTGTACCACGATTCTGATTTTAGAGCCATGGACTCTCTATACATCTTGATTGTATGTGCATGCACGCAGGAGACAATACCAGGCGTTTTCTTTGATGATACTACACGAGAGCCCTTGAGGTCCTAAAAGTATCCTGTGAGGGAATCCGAGTCTCTGTCCTCGTCATGGGCATGGCAGGATCAATATAAAGTTCACTTGAGTCTTATGACTTATGATGCTTTGAAGAAAAAGTGCTTCTGCAAAACAGCGGCTTGGGAGCAGCCAACTTTGTTGAGTTCGAGTGACTCCTGCTTTTAGTGGTCGATTAATGGAAGATGTAATTCAGGGAGAGGCCTACAGTAGTTTCCGCCATGCTGTACGGCATTCTTGAAGCAGGATTATATATGCATCAGCCGGAATTTTGAAATTTGAGGGGTTCACCACTGTTTGCACCAACCACTGCATGGGGGGGCCAAGCATTGGCAGATGATCCAACAACAAGAGCTGCACAGATGACTCAAACCTCCACCAGTGACCTGCCAAGCGGGAAATGATTTTGCAGTGGAGGTGGCACTCTTCGTCACACATTTCTGAACTCCAAGATCAACCTTGTAATATTAGCAATTTGTTCTCCCAATCAAGTGTGGTGATAGTATGGGCCCAATTCAAGACTATCCCATATATCAATATCAATATATATATATATCATTTATCCATATTTATCCCGCATTTTCAACCCATTTAATTGACATTTAATTAGCATTACTCATTTTGATCACTTGGGTGTTGGTTGAACCACCCTGGTCCTCGCCGCCGAGGCTTTGCTGTCGCAATGCCCGGTGGAGTTGAAGGATGTTGTAAACCCACAGGACGCCCGACCCGGAGCCATCTTGGGTGAAGAGCACTATCGGATATAATGTTATTACCCATAGGATCCATGTATGGTATATATGCTAACATTTGGGGTATATTGATGGTCAATGTTACCATATATAGCATACATGGATCCTATGGGTTATACATGATATAACTAAGCAACGAACATGATATATAGAACTATAATGGTATCTAGTGGCCACCAAATTTCTATTAAAATCTATTAAACTAACATATCATGATGCCTATGGCTTCGGAGAGACTTAGTGACTTGCATCAGCCAAAAACTCTGAGAGCTGCTCAGCTAGTGCCAGATGTGCCAGGCTTCCAGTGCGGACGACTTCTGGATCTTCACCCTGACAGACAAAGCGCATCTGGGACCCAGAACAGAGAGAGAGAGAGAGAGAGCAACTCCAGGTACAATCCCAGACACAGCCTGGTGCGTGAGAGCACTATCCAGTTGAAACCGTAAGTTCCGGCTTGTAGTGTGAAATCATCATACTGAGACCTATATTACTTATATTACTAACAATAATTGATGAAATGATGCCCAGTTGCGCAAGGGCACTCCAACCACCATGAGATCGCGGTGAAACTCTACCACTGGCAGGTTCCAACATGGGCTGCTGGAGCTGTTCTAGGATCAAAGCTTTGGAGCCACGCCGAGGGACAGGCTTCAACAAAAGCGGTTCATGCAGAATCAGAATGAATCAGAGGTTCTTTTAGAGGCACAGAGTGAGACCTGATACAGCAGTTACTCAGTAGTTTAGGTTTCTTGTTTCTTTTTGTATCATACTTTACCCCTTGAAATCGAAGTGATGTTTGACAAACATTCCGACTTGACATGGCATAGATGGCAGACCAGAGATTAGTTTCACAGGCCAGGGATGCCAGCTACATCCAGCTGCATGTTATGTGAATCTTATCGCCTCAGCACGGGCCATGGCCAGATTCAATGCGATTGATGGCGTTCGTTCGGCTTCTTGGACTTCGTGGTGCCGGTCGGGCCTTGGAGTGGGAAGGCCGTAGCGCTCTGTGCCGACGTGCCTGCCCTTTCAATTCAGCCTGGTTTGGAAAGTCGGTCGGAACGTCAGTCGAATTCCGATTTTTTGTTTGGTTTGCTTTTATTTTCTGCGCGTTACAAGTAAGATTCAAAGTGTAGTTTCAACGGGTGATTATAGAGTGGTTGGGGGCATTCGACTCTATCGCTGGTTAGGCCCTGGTAAAAGCACAGTCAATCAGAGTCAAACACTTCAGCAATCAATTATTTTTGAAACACATAGCGGTTTGTGACTCACTTCAATTGAGGTGCAGCCTCACAGGCCAAAAAAGTGAAGCCCAAAAGGCACCTAGATGAGTTCCCCAGTGGCTATCAACGGGAGAACCCCATGTCGTTTGATGATTCGAAAGAGATTCTGTTTGAAGACATCTTTGAAGCTGGCAATGGATCCGAGAGCTTCAACTCGGATCAGGATAGTCAGGAGGAATTCAAAACAGAGCCAGTGGAAAGCAAACCACCACCTTTGGAGGATGCAGAGCTTCCTAATGCCAATTTTCTAACTTTGGCAAAGGACGAGTTTGTTTGGGCTGTTGGTCGTGCTGCGACTCTGAAATTGTCACCTGAGTCCCGGGTATGGAAAGATCTGCCCCATGCAGTCCATGCCTTTGGTGGCCCTGGAGACTTCACACCTTCAGAGGTGTGCAGATTGCTACAGGCGCTTGCTTATGCTCCTGCAGATGCTCCAATCGACAAGAAACTCCTGCAGCGACTCTTCAAAGTATTCGCGTTAAGAGCGAAGGAGTTCTCAGATGAACGGCTCATGCGAATCATGTATGCCTACGGGAAGCTCTCGTCCAAAAGGGGCCTCTCGCTGCCACGCTTCATGGACTTCGCAACCAGTGAAGTTGTAGAGAGGAATGCTACACTGCGCTCCTGGCGAAAGGTGCGAATTTTGGAATCCGTGGGCTCCCTGCCAGAAGCTGGACGGGAGTTCAAGACCCTGTCACTTGGCCTGAGCAAATGCTCCGATATCTGATGGAGAGGTTCTCAATGTTCTCAGATGCTTCTTACATTGTCTAATGTGTTCCAAGGTGCAGCTAGTTGATGCTAACTATGCTAACTGCTGGTTGCAGGATGTTGCAGGTCAATTCGGTCGGCTAGAGGTTCCCAGATGTTCCCCTCACAAAATTCGGCGATATTTTACGGTTGCTAAGGCTCGTTGCTCACATCATGAAGATCGGAACTCAACAGCTCGACGCAGAGTGCTTTGCAAAATTTGTTCCAATGATTGTGGACACGAAGTACCATGAGCGTCCTGGAGCTGTTGAAAGGATCAATGCTGTGTACCGCCGCAAACTGAAGCACGTGCGCTTTAGCAATCCTGATGCTTTGGATTTGAGTTAGGCTTTTTTTTAAACCCCCTCGAGCCTCAAACTAGTCACAGAAAATGCAACGCCTCATACTCTGTATACCACAGGTGGAGGAAAATCGGGGGTCTTCAATCTGACTTAGTAAAAAACACCAAGTGATATAAGTGATGAATTATTGTTCTTGAAACTGCGGAATCTTGCTCCTGCTGTATATTTTTTCATTGTTGTAGGAGCATCCGCCTTATCCCACCATTTTTGATGTTGAGAGCTGGTGGTGCATGATGGCGCATGCGTGTGCGAACTCTCGTGATATCTCGTGCTTCACTTAGGAATTGATTCTGGCATCCGGCATGCCTCTCTTCCTCTTTGATTTGATGAAAACCTCTGTCTTAAGCCGATGGTTGGATCGCCTCTCACGCTTGCACTTGCCGCTCACTGCTGGTGCTACAGTCCAAAGTGGCTTGATTTTCGTGGCTGGTGCAAACCAGGATTGGCTGAAACCTGCAGATGCCGCAACTTGTTCAAATTGGTGCAGCCGCCAAATTGTTTGAGCTGATTTGTCTTTTGAAAGCTTCCACCCAGTGTGCAAGCAGCAAGGATGCCCTATCCTCCTTATGCCCTGTCTTCCAAGCAACCCCTGTAGATGCTGATCACCTCTGACTATTCTGAGTCATTGCTGCCAAGGGGCGTGCATCAAAAAACTTGGAAGCGCTGAAAATGGTAGACTTTGTGTTGCAACATGAGCGCCCCAGCAGCTTGGAAGTTCTGACCCCACAGGGACTGCAACTCTTGGCAAAAGCACGTGCTACTCCTTTGGAGCCACCTGATGACCATGCAATTTGTCAGCATAAAGCAATCTGTTTTCAGGTGTTGAGTATGAGGAAATCTCCGATCAGAGCAGGCTTCAGCCTTTTGTTTCAGGAGGTCACATCAAGCTGACATTACTAATCTTATATTAAATTACTGTAATTTGTCATTTAATCTTTGTGGGGCAAGCTCGATACCGTTGCCGGAAGGACATGCCCGAACTTCCACATGTTTATGCTGGCCTTTCCAAGCTCTTCCGGAAGCTCGGGGTGCTTTTGCATCCAACCACTTGTGGCCCATACCTGCTGGAACTGGCAGATCCTTTAGGCCAACTGGTGGTTGAATGGGATAGCAGCTGGACGTTGTATCCCCCCTGGCGCCAAGACAGGCACCGAGAGTTTGTCCAAAGGAAGCATTTCCATCTTCGAGCAGAGGGATGGAAATTGATAGTGATACCTTTGGACACTTTCTCAGCTCTAAGTTCTGACGAAAAACTTGGTTTTCTTGACACTTTCTGCAACGAACAGAAGCTGAACTACCTGCGTGTGGGCAACATGCCTGAAGCAGGCCAAGTAACCGAAGAAAAGCAGAGCGCTGGGGTGTGGGGTCACCGCTGAGCACACTGTCTTCAAATTTTGTCTTCAAGGCCTCCCTTCAGTAGTCTTATAATGTCTTATACAATATCTATTTGGTGCATACTGTAGCATAGCATAGAGAACATTTTGATTCCACTAATTCCACTCCAAGTAGAATTCATTGTAACTGCTTGGTATGTGTCAAAGCTTGCAGAAACACTTCACCTTCCAACCCAGAGATATTATATTGATGAATATAGATGATCTTGGATAAAATTGATAAAATGTTATGACATGTCATTATTTTTCAATATTTTTTGCATCTTATCTAACCTGCAGAAAGCAATTTCTCCCGCACCACCCCTGCCACGGGTGACTTCAATGCCGCGTCACAGCGCAGCGACTCAGGATTCGCTCGACCCGCTCCGAAGAGAAGGCGAACGCACTCACCAGGGTCGCCGCGTCCGAGCAGCGACTTGGAGAAGCTGCGGAAGTTAAAACACGGGCAGATGGTGGTTAATGATACTCTCACTCTCCATCGCCCTCTCCGGGAGGATACTATATATATGTAATTAATTATACTTGGCAGCATAATGGGTAGGTAAACATTACCAATGCATGCGAATGCCATAATGAGGTATATATAATATAATTATATATATATATATTTAGATACATCATGAAATGTGTTATATATATATATCATGAAACATCTCTGTGTAAGCCCAGTCCCAAACCAAAACAATCATGCCCGGTACATAGAATGCATAGAATATGTAGAATGCACGTTTGACTTCATGGCAAAGCCACGTCACCCTGCTCAGGACGCCACTGCTGGATTCTTGGTCGCATTGCTGCTGCATATGTTTCTTTGAATATTTCTAATGATGCATGCGTTCTTCGACATCCTCATCATCAATTGTCGTTTGTGCTGAATAATTATATATCTATAGTCTATATTAAAACTATTATGTTTTATTATTATATATGTAATGAATTAATTACGTATCACACATTTCTTTCTCCAAACTTTACGTTTGGATGCCGACAAGTGCATACATTGGGACAAGTGGCAAGCCTGAACACAGAACACACCCTGTCGCTAAATACTGCCGGTGGGCAACAAAAGACACTGTCTCGGTTTGAAACATGGTTGTGCGATGCTGTCGTGCGACCCTTGGTGCTTTGCATTGCTGTCAAGTGCCTCCTAAGACACAAGACGCTACAGTAGTGCGCTAGTTTGTCGAAATTCAAAGTAGAATTCCAGGCCAAAAGTGGTGGTGACCGAGCCAAAGCTGCAAGAAGACTGCCTGTCAACATGCGCCGAAATAAAAACATCGCAAAAGACCGCAGAGCTGTGGATGATGGATTCCTAAAGTGAAAGCAAGGTGATCTAATGCGATGCATTGTGGATTTGCTTACAACTTTATTGAACAAGAGAAGATGCTGAATTGAAACCGGGTTGAACAGGTCGGTTTCTCATGACATTTCATGGACCACCAAGCTCTCATCATAGACAACACTGATGTATTGATCCACCAGATTCCAGAAGCCTTTTGCTTCCAAGGGCTTCCATCAATGGACAGCATGCGGGGTGCTATGCGTTTCTCCCCTACTGGCTATGTGTACAACTTGCCCAGCGCCAACACTGTGACAGCGGTGGGCCGTGAAGTCAACTTATCCTCTTGTTATCTAACCTGGCAATGGAATTATTATCATGGAACATCCATGACTTCGATGCAAAGCAACATGTGCAAACTGATGAATTCTTTTTGCCATTTTCGATTGCCAGAGGATTTGGACCAGCATTTCATGGATGTAGAATTGGAACTGTATGGGATCTTCTTTGCATGTGTGCTGCTTCTCCTGACTCCTTACCCTATCTTACCATGTTTGTTGCTTGCAGTAAAAGAACAGGGTTTCGAACGATGTTACAAGCGCCACTTTTTGAGAGAACCATGCAGATGGGGGGTTAATAATGGATTAACAGCCGAATGCAATTGGGATCCGGTCCTCTTTGACTCTTTCCGCCGCGCTTGGCGAGGCAGCTCTATGGCGGATGATTGTATATGTGTTGCGGCTGATGCAAGTTCTGCTGCCTCTGCACCTTGACCAATGTCGGAAAAGTAAGATAGTAAGTGTCCGCCGGAGGGAAAGCCAGCTGATTGACCAGGTGTTGCTACAAGTTGCAATGTCCCAAGATGTCCCAAGATTTTCAGCACAAGTCACTTGACAAGTCCTTGTATCATACTGTATGACATTTTTTGCTTGTGCCTTGCCTGGCAAGATTCCCGGCCTGCGCATGAGATTGCATGAGTATGGAAAGCGATGGAAAGTGCAATCTTGGAAATCTCTGAGGTTCTTCGTCGTTAACAAGCCTTGCCTGCCAGACATCCCTCTGAAAAAGTGACTGTTCAGAACCGGCCTCGTCTCAGACGCCTTTGGAAAAAGTGCCGCAGTGCGTTCAGATTTGGTAATTGATTCAATTGAATGAACATGTGAAAAGATTGCACTTCAACTGCAACTCTTTTGCGACTTTTGTGTTTGTCCACTTGTGGTGTCTTGACATTTGCAGCGGCTAGCTCAGAGCTGCTTGCAACCACTTGTCCAGAAAAAATCCACAAAATATCACAAGGATCTCGGCCTAGGCAGCCCCAAGAAAAGATAAGCAAGTTAGAATGCTTTTATTGCAAAGCTCCCTTGGCCAGCTCGAGCCCTCCAGAAACATGCAAGTGACATGGGTGACATAGGAGTTTGAATGCAAAAGAGCTCCAAAAGCAGCCCGGATCGTCTACAGCGTTTTGAATTTGCCTTTAAAATACCTTGGCGCAACCAGCTGAATGGCGCTATGGCGAGCCTCGCTCTTTGGCTTGGGTGTTGATTTTTCAGGAGGGGGAACGGGACAATTGAACATGATAAACATGGTCTGAAAGCAGAGCGGCAGCTTCGTTCACATAAAATGCCGAGGAATTTGACCATAAATTGACCTATATTTTTGTATTTGCTTTTTGAATCAGAGAGAGAGAGAGAGAGAGAAAGAGATGTATATTATGAATATATACATATACATTATATATATATATATATATACATATTATACATAAACATACATAAACTTGGGGCCTTGCCGTGTTGCATCGCTGCTAATTAATTTTAAGATTTTTAACTCTAGACATTAGTCTCCTGTTAGAGGCCCTGAACAAGTGCAGGAGCCAATGCAGCTTCGACAGATCACGTGGAAGCTTGGTTTTTGACTTTGGCAAGCATTTTGAAGCGACATTCCATACATGGAATCTCCTAGGCACTTCTGGGCTGGGCTGTGTTTTGAGACCGTAGATGCGTAGCATCACTGCCAGGGCCGGAGCAGTGGTAGCTTGTGCTGCCGCAAGGTTTTGAGGCGGGCAGCCGGCAGCCTGCATATTATGCATAGAGTGCCCAAGAGCAGTATAGCGGGAATTTGACCATATTCACTTATCAAAGCTAGCGGCAGCAAACTTGTCTGAGCAAGTTCCCGAGAAGCGACTTAAAGTGACACCAGTTGAAGCGTCGTTGAAGCGTTGTTGAAGCCTCAAGCTCCAGCACTTTCCGGCACTTTCCGGCACTCTCCCTCCCTTCGCGGATCGTGGCGTTGCTCCATGGCACGACGCACCTTCGACCTGGCAGAACGCGATCCCAGGGAGGCCAGGGAGCACAGCCCCATTCGTAGCAGGGCCGAGCTGGAGGCCATGATCGTTCCGACGGAGTATGAACGCCGTTCCTGTGCTGGCACGGTACCACGGCTTCGTGCCATGGAGCTACGAGAAGCACGGAAAAATCCCAAGGTGCGATTGGGGGATGAGTTGTCAGCAGCGGCTGCGTCCAATGACGCTCGAAAGGTCCAGGCTTTGTTGGATCAAGGTGCTGATCCAAACTATATCAACTTCATGGTGAACTGTGACCATCCGTTGTGTCGTACCAAGAGTGCTGAAGTGGCGAAGGTTCTACTTGCCCACCCCAAAATCAATGTCAATGTAAAGGACATGAATGACTACAGCATTTTGAGTAACATGGTGCTCCACAATAGACACAATGTGGAGTTGGTGGCTGCCATTTTGCAGCACAAAGATTTGGATGTCCATGCAAGCTGCCCCATCCAGACAGCCGCACGCTTTGCAAGCGTGAACATGATCCAGAAATTGTTGGAACATCCCAACTTAGACATCAACGACCGCTGCGGCCTGCTCCATTGTGCCATGAAGCGCACAGATCCTGTGGCTGTAGATCTAGCAGCATGGCTTTTGCAGCATGACACTTTGGATCTGAATCTGCGCAGGGAGGATGGCACCACCGCCTTGATGCACCTCAGTGGTACGGACTCAATGACAATTGAAATTGGTGAGAATGAAACCGTGAAGCGCAAGAAGATCGCAGCACAACAAGTCCAGATGTTGAAGATGCTTTTGGTGAGACCTGACTTGGAGGTGAACGCCACGGACTCCAAACAGCTGACTGCTTTGCATCATTTCAGCATTGCTGGGCGAAGCGATTTGGTTGAGCTTTTGCTGCAGGATGCCAGGTGTCTCCCAAGCCTCCTTCAGCACGATGCCGAGGGGCGAACTCCACTGGACGCCGTGATGGCAGAGAAGAACCTGGAGCGCAAACCCTGGGCGCCGGCACCGAAACTGGCGAAGTATGATGAAGTCATTGCGCTGTTGACCAAGGCGATGGAACGGCACAAGGCGGAGTTGAAGAAACTTTGTCCTGCTGAACTGTCGAAACATCCAGGCACTTGGTCGATGGCAGTGGAATCCCTTATGACATGATGACTGAATGTTATCAAGCAGGACCATGTACAGTGAGTTGTCCTGTCTTTGCACTGGCTAAGAGCACGAATGATGCGAGAAAAGCGAATTTGCCAAGCTATACCAAGCTGATCCAGCTGCCATTTCTCGCCTCATTTGCCGCGCTCATACTGTCCTGCAGAGGCCCGGCTTTGTCCAGGACTATGCCAAGCGGCCAACCGAAGATCTTTGGCCACCTTCTTGAGCTGCTCTCAGCGTGCTTCAGCGTTGGGCTCGCCATGTCATCCAGAATTCTGCTGGAGATACTCCGTTTAAATTTTAGTTATTTAAAACCACGTAACGGCTTTCAAAAGGCAGATATCCAACTCATCAGTTTTCGTTATGGAATTCTGGATGGCCGGTGCCCACACGCTAAGGCCATTGGCAGAGGATACTCCTGTTGAGATTCTCGTCTCCTGAGACCTCTGATGAGGCTGACAGTAAGTGTATCTGCGTGTGTGTGTGTATGCATCATATTGCATACACGTTAATGGGACATCATTTGATGTACACCCTGCTTGAGCGATGGAACATGCAGTTTTTGGCTGTGTTTCTTGCTGCTGCCGTTCAGACAGACCTACGGCTGCTCCTGCAAATCTGTGAGACCTGGAAGCATCTTGGAGCCTTGGGCCGGAGTGTATTCTGTTTGACAGTTGAGTTAAGTTGACGTTCCTGATTCATGGTGAATTTCCATCATTGTTTCATGATGAATTTCCATCTTTCACTTGGAATTCGTGTTGAATTTCTTGGTGGATTACGTGCCATCACCCGAAACAGCTCCGAAACTGCACGAACCGTTTCGGCAATGCTGGGGCCATCTGGGGCCCAGGGCCGGAAGACGAGATCTTCACCCTGTCGGAGAAGAGCCGAGCACTTTCACCTTGGTGGAGGTCGATCTTGGAGCCTCTAGCAGACTTGCCAGAACCTGGTGCCTTGACAGAAGTGACCCAGGAGGTACCACGGCTTTTTGTCTTTGCTGATGGATATCAATGATTCAAATTGTCCTACAAATGATTGTATGGTGTTTTGAGATCCTCCGAATTCGTTGAGATGTCTTGACTGTCGCCATCTGTCGCTTCAAGACCCCACATTTGAGTGCCAAGGCTATGCTCAATTTGCCGCTGCTGTGGTCCAGCGAGTCATTTGCGACTGGTGGCACACGCAGGGGCAGATGGTGGTGGTTGCCTGGAGCCCAAGGTGTGGCTGGCCGCAATGGGAGGTGAGGATGGTCATGCAATGCCAGCTGATTAGCCTGTCATTAGGCTGTCAGGCAGTCTTGGACCGTTGGAATGTTTTGGAGGGGGCATATATAATATTATATAATCTGTGCAATCTGTATACACCTTGAAAAGCCTTGAACCCTCATGGCCAGGACTCGGAGTCCTGCGACTGTGCTGCTTTGCAGCGCGAGCATTTGCAGCTCCTCTTCCAGGTGAAGCGCTGCAGACCCACAGAACTGGTCACCAATGTGTATTCAAACATATTCAAACTTTAGAACGTACTAGTGCGCACATGTATCAACATGTGTGTGACCCATCCATTTTTGGGGGGGATTGCTGTGGGAAGAACGAGGTAGACCAGGTGGACAGTCTTGAGTTTTGAGCCATGTCCAGTATCAAATCGGTCGACTGGACTTTGCAGGCGGATGGAATGAATCGATCCTTCGTGGATGGGGGGTTCAACCGCAATCCCAATATCCATCAGCAACACTTGCCAAAATTGGCAGAGCGTGGCGAGAATATGGGGTGACTTGGGCCAAGTTCTTCTTAATCTCAGGTCTTCGGGGACGCGAGAACATGTTGGTCCGCCACGGACAGCCGTTATCATCACTTTGACTCTATCCCATGGTTTGTACACACCAAATGTATCCTGATTTCCAGGGGTGTTTGGTTGGACCCTTGTATGCACCGCCATTGCGTGGAATTTATATAACACATAAATATTTTGGGATGAACCCCAAATAAGGGTTTTTGTAGGGGTACAACCAGCGGACCCTTGATTGTGTTTTTATTTTTGCCGGACCAGTCTGCGAAAAGATGGGATGTAGAAACTGCTTTGAAATCATCCTTGAGGGCATGTGTGATGGAGGCACACGGGTGTGGGGCACTGCTCAGAGGCACTGCTCAGAGGCATGTAATAATTGTAAAGGGAGTTGTGAATTGTGTCTTGCGCCAAAGACTTCAGGATGATAGGATGCGAACATGACATGTTCATTTCCAGATCCACATCCTGTGCCTGGCAGATCCTGGCAGCTCAGGTGGGCCCGTTTCTTGATCCGTGCTCCCACCATCCATCGGCTAGATGCCACGTTTGCTGCCCAGGTTGCTCGGCTGTGGGATATTGCAAGCTACTGCAAGGAACGGAGGTCACAAGATCTAGGTCTCTATAGGTGCAAAGATTATCAAAGATGTGCGAAGATTCAATTAGCTTCCTTTGCAGGACCTCAAGTGAATGGGCAGCTGTTGTTTGAAGATTTTTTGAGGTGAATTTCGGAGAGCGGATGAAGACAGCAGCACTGAAGCTGGCGACGTGGATCAGCGAGACCAGTGACTTCAATATGACGGACCTGCTGGACCTTGCTGGCGAAGTGAGGACAGCAACAGCCAACGCGGCCAACGCCTGTGCAATCTGCCGCTGATCCAGCTGTCTTCTTGGCCTGTTCGGTTTCAAAAATGCCGGGAAAGGGCACGCAAGAGAATTACGAAATATCAGGCATTCAGAATTGCAGGCAACCAAGTCCGGTCACTCTTCGTTTATTCGCGATGCCCGCCAGTGACTTCCAGGAGCGAATCAACAGCAAAAGGCGAAGAGGCAAAAATTGGAGCCAGACGTCTCTTCCAGGAGACTCTTTGAACCAAGAGCAGCATTTTTTCTTCCTGTGGCAAGGAATTTCGTCATCACTACTACATGCTACAACTATAACCCTGCAATTTACGAAGGGCAACATGAGGTTTTTTGAGGATCTTAAAGTGATAAAGTCATGAGATGTTGCGAGCACAGTGCCAAGTCTGCTGGAAGGAGACGACAATTGGAAGCTCGGCCACATGAGGACATGAGGATGTGCAATTTCTATTTAGGACAAGTGTTGAATCCCAATCCGCGTTTGGCTCGGACCTGCAAGATGAAAAGATCTTATTAGATCTTATTAGCAGACAAGCTCCTGCAAAGAGGCCGGCCATATTTATTTCATATCATATGATTATTTCATATATTTCATATATGTTTGTTTAGATTTCCAACATTTTGTCCCTGAAATTCGAAGTAATAAATTAGTTCTACACCGTGATGTGCACCATGCAGCGATGGGTGAAGTATGGTGTGCATCGAATCTAAGGCATCTCAGTGTCCCCCATGCGTCGCTACGGCGCCTTCTGGCACCCGAAAACGCTCGCGGAGCCGTGGCCCAGCGGGCGAACTCAGTGACCCAGCAGCAACCACTTTTCTGGGGGAAGCCACTGGTATATGGTAGTTTATGGTAGCTTAACATAGTTGAGAAATGTTGGGAATGTTAATTTAATATAATTAGTTTTATAATCAATAATACTAACTTTGATTGCAAATGTCTACAAGCCGTGTTTTCTATCTCTCTCTTCGGCAGGGTTTTGTCAGTCTGAATTTCAAAAATTGAGATGTTCGGACCTGTCCTGATTGAGAAATTCATTTCCAAGTCTTAATCGGTCTACAGAGCTTCTCAGAGGTTTCTTGACATTTGGCATGCTTGAAAGTGCGACCTTTGTCAAAATTCCAAATCGCTCAAGAAGCACCTGTGTGAATGATTCAACCCAAGGGAGATCAATCGAGATCATTGCTGATCATTGTCATTGCTTTAAACTTTAAACATGGCCATGCATGGCCAAAGCCTCCTCCAAAGCCACCAGCTGTCCTCAGGATCTGTGAAGCCACAGTGACGTCAGTGCAGGTGGATGCCGAGTACTGCAGGATGGAGTTGAGACGTTTTGCTTGTGATGCCTTGAAAGGCTTGAGGCCATGCTGTCTAAGATTGTCGAAGGTTTGAGTCGCCATGGTGTGTCTGAAAACGGAGAAGATCCCAAAACCATGTTAGGGGTGAACATGATGATCAACTAGTGGATTTGGGGATATTTGGAGGTATACCCTATTTTCCGACGAACCCACATGCCAACACGCTGTAGATGTTGCGTGTTCATTTGTTACAGTCGATACTGTGGTTGGTACTGCAGACGGTTTGGTGCGAGCCGGCGATCCTGGCCTTTTCCTTCTGGCCGCCATGTTGTGATGGCCAGGACTGCTTTGACCATGCTGAACATCAGCAACAACTCCGAGCAGAATGCTTCAATGAAAGAGAGGCCGGAGATGGGTGAAGCATGGTGAAGCTGTGATTCCAGGGGTTGAAAGGCTCCTTAATTGGCCTTTGGCAGGCAAGCTGGCGTCTATCTCAATGACAGTTGTTTGGTTGTGCTGACACGCACCATTGGAGTCCCTGCACTGGATGGTTTGCTGCTGGGCTGGGAATCTTGGCTTGGGCATTCGTTTTGGCCGTATTTTTTGTTTTTTTTGATGATAGATAGCACTTCATCACGATGACAGCAGAAAGCATTGCAAACTCGAGCCGAAGAGTGGAGATTTGCATGATTTGCAGCACCAAGGACTGCTACACTTGGTATGGGCAAGAGTCTGCCCCGCACTTTGATAGGACAGGGCGGACAGGGGTGATCATGGATGTAATATGTTGATTATGTTGTAATGCATTCAGATGGGGTTGATGCGATGTCGAAGCTGCAGCTTCGGCTGCTGATTTGTTGCCACAGGATGTGGGGTGTGATTTTGCACAGCTCTGTCCTTGCAACAGATGTGGTCATCGGTTCACTGATGCAGGCGCTATCAGTCAAAGATTTCTTTTCTGTATTTCTATTTCCCCCCCCAGCATAGTTATCAAGTGGCAGATGCCATGTGTGATATTTAGAGATAGCTGTTTTTTTTGGCGCATAGTTGCATAAATTTGCTAACCATAGCTTGGCAAAATTTGGCAAAACAGAGGCGGAGGTGGCACGATATAGAGCAGCTATGAAATCCTTGGCTCCTTGGACAGGCGGTACCAATCGGCGCAATGACAGCTAGAAAGTCGAAACCAATCGAATCAAACACTCCTAGGTGGGATTCACTAAAGGTGCTACACAATTTTCATCAATTTTCATTGGCCTCCCATTTTCCTTAATTAACAACCTTCCATCATTTTCCATCACTTTCATTCACTTTCATTCACTTCCGTTCACTTTCTACTGGTACCCTCTGGTTATTTAACATAGACCCTGAAACTACTCGTAGCCTAGTTTTAATGGAAACTCATCTTCCAACCCCTATCTGGCAGGGTCTATGTTAATTTACTGGTGGGTATATGTTTCATTGACGTCTGAGGCCGACCTTGGCTGCAGGCTGCCTGCTTGGCCTCAGCCAACGTCCATGGCGTCCATGGCGTGGGCAGAGCTGCAGAGCAGCACTGCACGGCTGGCATGGCTAGGCGGTCACGAAATGTCATGACATGTCATGAAGTCGTGATATGTGTTGATATGTTTTGATGGGAAGATATGGGGAAATCAATGACATCCTCCCAACACTTTGGTATTTTGGTGTGGGGATGAGTTGATGAACAGGCTGCGAATGGTTGCGACACATAGGTTTTTCGCCAAGTAAATACGCGAACTCACCTCCAAAAGCACAGGGAACGGTATTTGCGTTGCAGTGGTTGTAGATGAACGGGGAGAGGAAGAGAGCAGGGGGGCATCGCGGTTGTTTTGGGACGAACAATCAAGCACATTGAGTTCTGTATTCATTGTGTTTGGAGTTGCTCCACCTCATTTGTTTTCATTGAGATTCCTTGCTCACTTGGAATTTGTGCACGCATGTTTGGAATTTGCGGTTTTGTGTGAGTCTCAAGAAAGAATGTTACCCTTGATTCGTGATTTGCCAACATTTCTGGTCTGTTGTTTTGAACAAATACCCAAAAATCACGTCAAAAAATCACGACCCAGAGGAGGTTCGTGGTTCTTTCGGTACAGGTTTTAATGCGATGCCTTACAAGCGAGGAAACCCATCAACAGTGCCTTTCCTTGCATCATGAGTCAGCTGGTGAGATACAGTTGCGCCATGTTATGCCAGATTTGCAGTGGTTTTGAGGTTGCCACGGTCAAGTTATCTGAAATTTGTGCGCAACTCTTTCCAAACCGCTGGGTGATATTTTGTTCCCACGTTGTCCCGCGTCAGGCAAAATATGGGTGTTTAAGACTAGAACACCTCTAAATCCACAGGTTTATCACAATTGTCCTTATTAAACATAGCAGTTTTAATGCAATTTTAGTGTTTACCATGGTTTACCCCATTTTCAGACACACCCCTGACATCCCCTAAGTGCCATAAAACGTCTTGCGGAGCGTTGGCTCCTTTGCTCTCCATGAGGTGCTGATGATTCACCATGCACTGTGGTTGGCGCTCTTCCCTGAGGGTCGAGACTTGGTCCTGGCGAAGTGTTTGCCACGGCTGCGTCAAGGCCCACGGGTGTGACAGGCTGACAGGCAGGGACACTCACTGGTCTAAGGTGAAACACGCCAAGATAAAGTATGATTAAAGTATGATAAAGTAAATTAGAATCAATATCAATATAGCACGGAGATTGGTGTAATGTGGTGTAATTAATTGTAATTATATGTTTCAGGATTTTGTGACAGATGGGTCAGGCCTGCTGCCTGACTTGGAAGCGTTCAGTGTCGACCTTGAAACCTTCGCCCAGGACGTGTGGCCTAGCTGCAAGGATCGTCGCTCACTAGTCACTAGTGCTGATTTATGGGAATTTATTGATGATTTTTAATTAATGATTTTTATGGATTTATATAGGATTTATTATTATTATTTTTTTTTAATATATATATATATAACAACACCAATTGTTGAACATTTGCGGGACCGTTCTCTGGGGTTGAGCTCGGACAGGTGGTGGAAAGCCTTTGAAGGTGAAGGGGACTGGCTTGAATGTTTGATTGAGAGCTATAATTCTATGAGCCGCGGCAGCCGCGGCACAGCTGGAAAAGGTAGCGGATGTTGCACGTATGCTGCTGTGTGCAGATCAAAGAAAAGCAAACTGTTCACAAACTATCAGCAAATGTCTCTTGAGCCACGGCATGGCATCTAATTGTTTCCTATCTGCATTCAAAGGTTGTGATTCCACTTTTATCATTTATCCACTTCTCGTGTTTGGCTCCAGAATCTCACTGCAAGCTCCGGCACTGCAAAGCACAGGTGGCCATGACAAGTTGGCCAGGCCTGCAGTGCTCACCTGTGGCCCCTTCACCAGCCCAAGCTAGGAGGAAGCCGAGGAGAGCAAAGGCTCAACCTCAACAACTCATTGAGGCGCACTTGAAGGATCCTAACTTTCTCCTGGCTTTGCTTCGCCATTCGCCCACAGCAGACTTTTTGGCAGAAACTTTGAAGAGAAGGGCTTCCCAGGATGAAGTCTTTGCTGATTTGGTGGTGCAGTGTTGTATGCCAAGGACCCCCAAGATTACAAAAACTCCCTCTACCCCATGCAAGCGGAGTGCATCAACCATGAAGTCCCGAGTCAAGAGCGAAAGCACGGCAATTTGGCAGAGCGTTGCCCCCCGCTCGCTCCTAGCAGCTTTCGAGGAGTCCCCAGAGTGTCCTGCCAAAGCTGCCAGGCTTCTAGATGTTGAAGCAAGCGTCTTGGATCCTTTGCCTTCAGTGCTGGTTGCACAAGTGTCATCCTATCTGAAGCTCCGTGAAAAAGTGCAATTGTTGGGCAGCAACAGGCAAGCCCGCAGTCTGCGGCAGCTGCAGTGCACCTGGCAACCCCTTGTCCTGGAGGCTGAGGATTGTGCCTACATCCTTCGGAGGATAAGAAAGTGTGATCCCCAAGGCCATTTGGAGCCCAAGTTTTACCCAGGACCAGCTTGTCCAGCCTGGACCGAAGTGACAGATGTTACAGTGGAACTAATGGAGCCGGACCGAGCTGATGAAAATGGTGAGCCTCTAACATCTTTTCGGAAAGCCTCCTCCATGGCCAAATACATTCTGGATCCCATCCATGAGTTTGCCAGGCGCCTCTCAGCTGGTTGGTTTGCTGGTGCTTGGCACTTGCGCCTCTCAAACATTGAGGCGAATTGCATGGATTCCGGCTTCCTGGATTTCCGCCTCACTGCTTTCCGAGATTACAGTCAGTTGAAGTTGGAACAGGATGGCCTTGATCCCACGAAATATTGCTTGCGTGCCTCACGGGCAATATCTCGTCCGCCCAGCATCAGCGATGGATTTGCAATGGTGCAACAGCGCTTCCCACAAAGCGCTGGGATCAATCTATTGCTGAACTCGCCTGAAGAGATCACGGAGTCTGAGGCGCTGTTTTTGCAAGAGCACACTTTGATGTTCAAAACCGGCCATACTTTTCGCAGCGTCGAACGTTTGTGGCATGTCATTGCTGAGAGTGAGGTTTGTGAACTATACGACTCGCTTCATGCACAGCTAATGCACGGACTTCAGATGCCTGAAAGGGCAGGAGTGATTGCAGTGTAATGGTTTGACAAAGCTCCTATTTGTGAATGTGGGTATGGGCCAAACTTTTGTGCATAGCTCCCATAATAGGGAGCTTTATGCCAACATCTCAAGCTAAGCCGCGAACTAAATCTTACGCAATTAAAATAAAGTAGACGCAGTCAACACACTTTCTCTTGCACCATTTGACATATTATGCCTTGTGCTGAAACCACCTTTATCAAACAATAGTTGCCCATACCTGCCAGTTGCTAGTTCCAATCAACTCGAATGTTGCAGTTGGATGTCACTTCAGATTTGTTTCTTTGGCCTTGCTGCATTAGATTCGGATATTGGTTTGCTTCCTTTGTTGGAAGTGCTGAAGTGGCGTTCAGCGGTGCCACATGCCAACGTCATTGACGAATGTGCCAAATGCTGCGCGAGTTTACGCCTAAAAATCAGAGACTGCACCAAAATTCGGCGGCCAGAATTTCAGAAACTTTGCAGGTGGTTTCAGGATTGTTGAGCTCAGCATTTGTACAAGCATCATGTGTGCTTGTGTTGCTCGCAGCTTTGCACGCCGTGCATTTAAATTTAGAGCTCGCGCAGCCATAAGATTGCAATAACAAAGGAAAAGATCACGCAGCATAGACACCAAGGAGGCCTGCAAGATCCGAAATGAACAGGCATGTATATATATATATATATTATATATATATATATATTATATCGTTTAATTTGATCTATGGCACTCGTCTTCTTTGCTGGAAGCCCGCATGTATCATGTAATTTCATTGTCAGAGGCAGGAACAGCAAAGGATAGCAAACTTCAAACTTATCCAGAGCATTCCGGAGCAGATTCCCAAGTCAAAGTCCAATGACAAGGACCTTGCTTGCGCAGATCTCTCCATGGCAATCGTAGCTGTCATCGCTGGCCATGGCAAGGAAGGCCCATGGACTTCTAGGCTTGGCATTGGTGCTGGGGCCATGCTTCTGCAACCTGCGGTGCGGAACTGAGCCATTGGGTTTGGTGTAAGGTCCATTATGGATCATCATGGTATATTATGGTGCATTAGGATGCATTGATCAGAGCTAATGCTTGGAGAATCATAAGGATTCTGCTGCAATACTTTTACACACCTATGCAGCCTGCAGTCAAGCCTCATGCCTGTGGAGCCACTTGAGGCCCTATGTCCGATCAACAGAAGAGTATGAAAAGTTGACCGTGCCCAGATTGCAAAAGTGAAACAATCTGGGCTAGCAAAGACAACGTAAGCCAACGTCTTTGATGTTCTCATTCCATGCAAGAAAGACTATCGAGAAGGAAAGTGCAGAAACATTGAAAACTAGATGGATCATGATGGACACATTATAATGACATATAATGACAATACTCGTACATCATAATATATCATAATATGACGTATTACAAAAAATATAAACAAAATCAATGATTTGCATGTCGAAATGAGCTTGGCAGTCAACACAGTCCTGGTCTGTGGCATTGTAGCGTGGCCTGAGGCGCAACAGCTGCGAGATCGCTTGAAGGCCTTGGGACTTCCAACCAGTGGCCGAAAGGCCCAGTTGAGGAGGCGCTTGGCCGGCAGAGAACATCGAGTCGAGGCAGGTCCTGTGTTGGAGTTGAGCCACTGAGACCGGGTGGATTTTAGTGGTTTCCCCTTGGCAGAAAAGTATCCAATGCATCCAGGAACCTTGAACAATCTGCAGCATATTACAGCATCCAGCACTCATTTATTGGCTCTCGCTAGCAGCTTTTCATGTGCCCCAAGATCTAGAGGCTCAGCCTTTGTCCAACCGCAAGCGTCTTCGTGTGCGTTGGGCTTTGAAGGTGCCGATGAGTTTTGCTGCAATTGTTACAATAGTTGTTGGACTAGACTGGTGGCCATGGCAGCAGAAACCGTGCTCGTAGTAGTGTCGTGGAATATAATTGGAAACGTGTCACCATAATTTTGCACTGCCACTTATTTTCCTTGGCCCGGATATGCCCGGATGAACATCTTTTTGAAAATTGCCAGGAGGGGAAGTGGAACCTGACCGTAGCAAAGCACTACGTGCACCCGCCCCAAAGTTTGGGCAGGGGATCTCGAAACCCGCTGTGTGATTTGGGAGAATGCGGAGACATCAATTGTGCAGCCCCCAGTCACAGAGGTTGCAAGTCGGGCTAATTGTTTGACTGGGGATGTCCCATTGATACACCGGTGCATTCATTGGAAATGATGTGGGAAAATGCGGAACACATCATCTACAACATCCCGGAGAAAACAACTCACAACTCACTACTCGTATCTTTTTTGGGCTTGCTACACTTCAAAAACTCACAGCCGTGGTAATTAAGTGTATGCCCTTTGGTGACCTTAGTGGTTGTGAACCAGGTACCAGCCAGGATTCACAACGCATCCCCCGCTTGGCTCAGGTGCGCTTTACCGCTTCAGGGCTGGAAGTGAAACTGTGCGGAGTGACTTCCTGAAGTTTTGCTACAAACACATCGAGGAGCATTTCATCAAATGCAAAGACGATGGCCTCGTGTCACTCGGATGCGTTCTTCGTATTTCACCATTCATCACCTTTTTTTAATGCCCAAAGGATCCAAAGTCATTTGGACCCCTCATGGAGGAAGGGACCCTCGGGGTCAAACTGGTGAGGGTTCAGGCCTGGCTGGGGGACTGCCTTGGCTCAAACAAGCCGTTTTTCCACGCGCTGAAATGCGCAGCTCTTGTGACGTTCGGTGCCCAAGAATGTTGAATGTCTAGGTAAAGGATAACTAATCTTGTATCACCTTTTAAATAGTTTAGTTTCAACATGCCTGGGTTTCATCCTCCCGCAACTGCTTTGAAAGCTCTGCTAACTTTAGGGCCATCTTTGCAGCCCATCTATCCAAAGTTCGCCTGGACACTGTGCTCCTGTGGCATGCCCGGGCTATTCGCCCAATTTCACCCACAAACGACTCGGCAGATAGGAGCAAACTGTTTTTGGGGTTGATCAAAGTTTCCAGCGTGTCAAAAGCTAGGTGCCACAAATGGTGGAGCTTTGGCAGCAGCAGCCAGCACCTTCTCCCAGGCATCTGCCGTGGAGCATGCATCGACATCCCATGTTGGTGGAGCCAAATGTAAGCACGCAAGTGCCTCATAGTGCACCCATGGAAGTCTGCCGCCTCACTCTCAGTCATGATGTGGTTCGCCCCATCCATGATCTGAATCATCCTGAAGTATGAATACAAGCAAATGGACATGACACGGTCAGCTTTCGTCGCACCAGGACGTTGAGCAAATTGAACTGCTCTATTGCTAAGCCAACAAGTGATCACTTTGCTCGCCACAGCTTTCGATTGCAGCGCAGGGAAACCTCAGCCATACAAAGCAAACCAGCAAAAACCAGGCCCCATCAAAACCCGCAGATGGGCATTTACTTTCCCAAAAAAAAAGGTGGATGTCTCTTGCAGTCCTCCTACTGTGGCCTTCTTTGAGCTTCGGGAACAGTTCCAAGACTACAAAAAAGTTTGCCCACAAGCTAAAGGGCTGGTCTGGAGCTTTCGGTTCAGTCTGGCCGGTGTGAAGCGCGGCTGGCTGCAACTAAGCTTTTCGAGTTTCTTGAAAAACAAAAAGTCTCGATGGGCTCGGCGAAGTACTGGCGCAAGACGGTCTTCGTACTTTCCAGCACGGTACATCATTGGCCCCCAGTAGCCCGCTTCAGCCATGTAAATCAAAGCGGCTCCTGAACGGCAAATCTGGTCCTAGAAGCAACACAACAAATCCTTTACATGTTTGCCCCGGGGCTCAAACTTAAAATAAATAAATCAATGCAGACCAAAGCCAAGGAACCATTTGTTGTTTTTCCTGTGCCAAGAAATTGACTGTGTGCCACATCGTGCATCACGCGGCTGAGGCACATTCCAGGGAGCCCCAGGAGCGGGGAAAAGGCTTGCAGTTGCTCTGAAGAGTAGGTGCGAACTGCGTGTGTGTCTGGATCATCACCCATGTTCGGCAAGGTCAACGCTGGGTTTGGATCATTCTTCACACATTCACAACGGCTGCAAAAGTCGTTGCGCCTATAGTTATGTAAACCACCCATGCGGGAATTTATCCATTTCAGGTCGCCCTGGCAGAAAGTGTAGGCCATCAGATATCCAGCATCCGTCCAAGGCCAAGTCTCGGATGTGTCAGACAATCGGCGCCATCGTGGGAGCAAGTGTTGTTCCAGGTCTCCATACGTAAACTCGGACTCGCAGTGCTCTGACCAAATAGCGATCGGGTAGTATCTCAGAAGAGGAATGTTGTCAGTGCAAAACTCTGATGTCCAGGCCGTCACACTGACCACCCCACACTCACTGTTTCTGTAGCATTGGATCTCGTCTCCATACATTCCAAGGCTTGCCACCTTCCTCTGCCACTTCCAACCAGACGCTGGGTGTGTTGAAACCCACTGGCAATGCTTCTTCATGTGCTTCCAAATCTGACGTATCTCATCTTCGGTCTTCATGCCGAAAAGGCAATATCGGAAAACATCTTCACCAGCTTCCCAAAAAGCCTCGATCAAAGCATCGGGAAACAGCACCGGCAACGGTTCCCAACCAATCTCCAGGGTCGACGGGTTCACCATCCGAACCTGAACGGTTTCATGCTTTGCAGCAAGGGACAGCGACACTCTTTGCAGAAGCCGATGAAGATCACGCTCAGCATTGTTCTGATGAAGGCCTCCGGCACCAACAGCAGAAATTCTAGCAACCATGTCCGTTTTGGTTGTGCTGCCACCGTGCTTGTGCAGCCAGCGCAGTGCTGAGGATGCAGTCCTCTGAACCTTCAGCGGGCCACAGTGAAACCCAGGCATGTTGTCATATATATATATATACAGTATGGGTTATCTGTTGATGTTTGGTTCTTAAGATATAATGTATATGTAGACCGAAGGATGGAAACAACATCGGCATGTGCGATCAAAAAAACTATTTCAAAGTCCGGCACTTGAAACAATGTTTTCGAACCGGGGAGCGCGAGACGCACTTGATGCTCCTGATGAAAATTCATCCACTAATAGCTCAGCCAGATTAGGCTGTGGAGTAGCCCGTTTACGTTGTTGGAGTTGTTCCTCAGTGGGTGACCCCATATATCTGTTTAACCGTGGGTTATACAATTATATATACCATTATTTTCGCATTGGGACATGTGGGATATGAATATTAAACTTCGCGGGTTATATCGACAACTTTTGAATTGGAAGACTATATGGCAATTACACATATACTTGGGAGCGTTGTTCCAACTATAAAGGAATACTGATTATGATAGTGAGGGGGTTTGCCAAAGGTAATATTCATTTTGTTTAAACATGGATCGAGGATATAATTATCCCATGGCAGCTGTTTAACCATGTATTTTCCAGTGCACCTCAAGATAAGGGTCAACATTTTTTGGGCACCGCCACGAAAATACGTCAAATTGAAACTTTTCCAAATTCAGAAAATGTTTGATCAAACTGCAAGTTGTTGATATATTCTTTTTGTAGGTTTCCCAAAACAGGTATATCCCAAATCAATGTAGACTTGAATACCTTTCATCAACCCATGGTTTTGGCGATCCCTAATTTTCAACGGCATTTGTTGGCACCATATCGAAAAACAAAAGGCACTATAGTTGTTTCATATTATGGGAAGTTCAAGATCTTAAAGTGAAGGTACAAAATTCATTGGCCATATATTGTGGTGATATTACCATTAGTTACATACCTTCAGATAGGTTTTATATATGGAAATATGGTAGGTACCAGTTTAGGTTCCTGACATGGCTGTTGATTGTTGGACCCCAAAATCAACACAGTACCAAGGTTCTAAAGCATCCTTGGCCTGGGGCAGGACGTATGGCCGCAGCTGTACCCGAGGCACTACGGATGGCTGGCCAGAAGTGACATTCTGTTCCTGCGATGTGCGAGGCCGACCCAAGTGGAGGTTTGGCAAAGGGATGGCATCTGTGGGCGTGTGCAAACAATATTTTTTCTCTATATATAGGCATGTAAGTTTTGGTTTGTACATGGCCCATATGTATAGCCTTTCAACACATATAAAGAACATTGGGTGACTGCATTGTCCTGGTCACGGCGTGGACGTTTGTCATCCCGATGTCGATGTTCCTCATGGCGTAGCAATCCTGCGACAAGAGATGGATGCGATACACTTGGCAATGGTGCTAATGTTCTTACAATTTCCAATGCCAGTGTTGGAACCACCCCACTGGCACCATGAGTTGCCACTGACAGCCTGTATTGTGATTTGATTGTGGGTGAGCACAATTGCACCCTTTTGACTTGCTTGGCCGCTGAGGATTTTGATTTCACGTATCCATGCGTACGTATTCGCACGCTTGGCTCTCCAGTGCATGGTATGCATCACATGATCAACTAGCCTCTCCAGTCAAAAATGAAAATGAAATTCATGGTATATATATTATATGGGTTGGCTAGTGTCATTCTAAGATGCCCACGCATTACCCATGACATGATGTAAACGAAGGCTCGTGCCATTTTTTTTGGCATGGCCCGTGATGACATTTCCCCAAGTCATCGAAGTCACGAACCCGAACTGTCGCTGCACTGCCCAGCTCATGCATCAGGCTGGAACTCATCATCGGCCTTGCCGGGTAAAGGAGCTGATTGGTTGGATGAGATCGTATGGGCAGGGCTGTGATATCTTGATTGCTTGGAAACTCCCCCCAGCCGAAAGACAATAAAATCTGAATGCCCTATATAGCGTGAACTGCCCCATAATTATGCAGTTTGATTTTATTGGCTTTCAGCCGTGAAATTGTCTCATGTGTTGGGGCCTTCTTCCTTCTACCACCTTTCGGTTTGCAAAGTTGGTGTGCCATCGCAGCTGATTCCAAATACGCCGCACGAAGATTCACAGCAATACCCAGCCAAGTCCCAAGGTCAGGGAATGCATGAGATTCTGCATCCTGGAACATGAGGAAAGTCTGGGGAATGAACAGTATAACAGGAAACACTTGATCGGGGAATTATAGGATCCATGTTGGATGACGAGAATCTATATTGACGATGTGATGCATGATATACAAGATCGATCAAATCTTATTCAAAATTTCACCGGTCCTTGGGGATCTGATCCGCAACTGCCTTCAGTTGGAAGTATGAGCTCTCCAGGTCCCTGGCGTGCTCCATCAAAGTTGTGCCTCAGTGTTTGACCGCACATAGGCACTATATATATGTTGAAATTGAATGTTACTTTCACATTGCTTGGTTGTCGATTTCTCATGGGCTGATTCAAAACCCAAGTATAACATAGATAAGCCACAAGCTTTTACCTTGACCATCAAAACTCATGATGTTTTAGCCAAAGAACGCAACCCATCCTGATGTTTCATATTGGCCATCTTAATGGGAAGCACCTTTGCGGTCTGCAAATCCTTCAGAAGTTGGTCCACCAACCAATGGGTAGCGGCAATCGGCATCTCATTGTAGTCAGGCATCCTTGGGAGTGGAACTAAATTTGGGGGAATCCAGATTATATATTTTGGTCGAACCACATCTATAAATCAATATATGACGAGGATCTCTTTGTCCTTTTTACGTGGGACATCCTCACCATTACCGATCCTCCTGTTTCCTGCTTTGGGTTTGGCTTTGGCCCTGGGCACTCTCCCATTCCCGACATCCACTTCAGGAGTGGGCTTGCGGTACGAGGCCGGACGCTCCAGCCGGCCACTTGGCCTAAGGACCTGGGAGTGGTCCAAGCCAGCGGTCAACTTCAGGGCGGCCTGAGGTGACGGGTGGCAAACGGAATTGTTATTGTTGAGGGAAATCATAGTCGGGATTGAAACATAACCAGTACATGCATGAAATATAACCAGGCCTCACCACCATTGTTGATATTTGCAGAACTGCCATACTTGAAATGATCTGCCACTTCCTCCTCTTCCTTCTTTCCAATTTCTATGCGCACCTTAGAGGGTTTATAACTTGAGTTTCTAGAGGTTCAACCGGAATCATCCCACAGCAAAAGCAACTCACAAAAGTAGTGAGTATATATATATATATATATATATTATTATATTTAAGGGCTGCCGCCCCTGCCGCCGACCCCGGAAGAAGTGGCAAGGAAGCAAAGCTGGCAGAAAAACGCTTCGGTGCGTTGCACCTTGAGGTTCTCGACCTTTTTGCTATGTACATCCTTGTGAAATATATTTGATAGGTTTGAATTTTCATGTGTAAATGGGTTTTTCATTTGAGTGCATGTTAATACTCTGATCTTATGGTTTTATGGGTTCATGGATCTAAGTAACAGTATAATAGTTAGATATATATATATATACACAATATTTTTGGCCCTATTATTATACAGCTAATGTTGCGCCGCACAGGTGCATGGTTGCGCCGCACAGGTGCATGATATTTTATGAAAGTATATGAGGGCGTTGTTTTTTTTGATCCCCCACCTTGTTTGTTTGACTTCCCCCGTGTTTTTTTGACCCCTCATGAACGAAATCTGAAATGAAACTCTAAAGAAACTCTCAAGAAACCCACATGAATGTTTGAAAACTTTGACAAGATTTTCTGATAAGAAATTCACATAACACTCGAAATTAAACGCGAAAGGAAATCGGAAAGAATCCCTAAATGAAACCCTACATGAAACCCGACAGAAACGCAAAAGAAACTCGAAATAAAACCCTTAAGAGATGTAAATATCAAGAGAATTCCTACATGAAATTGAAATCCTACTTTTTTTGTTTTATTCTTTCCTGTTTGTATCTTAAATGAAAGTTTAAACACCGTAGGTGAAACTGTGAAACCGAAAGAAACCCGAATGAATTGCTGCCAGAAACCCCTACATGAAACACAAAATGAACCCTAAAGAAATCATAAATTGACCTAAAGAAACTATAAATGAAAGCCTGCAATTCAATGCAATGCAATGCACTGCAATGCAATGCAAGGCAATGCAATGCAATGCAAGGTAATGCAATGCAATGTACTGCAATGCAATGCAATGTAATGGAATGCAATGTAATGCAATGCAATGCAATGTAATGTAGTGCAATGCAATGTACTGCACTGCAATGCAATGTAATGCAATGCAATGAAATGCAATGCAATGCAATGTAATGCCATGCAATGTACTGCAATGCAATGCAATGTAAGGCAATGTAATGCAATGCAATGCAATGTAATGCAATGCAATGTACTGCAATGCAATGTAATGGAATGCAATGTAATGCAATTGAATGCAATGTAATGCAATGTAATGCCAAGCAATGTAATGCAATGCAATGCATTGCAATGAAAAGCAATGAAATGTAATGCAATGCAATGCAATGCAGTGAAATGTAATGCAATGCCATGTAATGCAATGTAATGCCATGCAATGTAATGCAATGCAATGCCCTGCATTGCAATGAAGAGCAACGAAAGGTAATGCAAAGCAATGCAATGAAGTGTAATGCAACGCAATGTAAGGCAATGTAATGTTATGCAATGCAATGTAATGCAATGCAATGCATTGCAATGTAACGCAATGAAATGTATCGCACCTTGAAGCGCAGCAATCTTGTTATCTAGACTTGGAACAGCAGAGGACGCAGCAAAAGTACTTGGGCAGAGTTGGGTGCCCACTTGGGATGGCTGGAAAGAATTGCAAACAAGCACGACAGAGGCTCACTGCGTTGCAGTTGCGGACCGTCTGTGTGACATCGCGCAGGTAAATGCTCCTGGCCGAAGCATGACTGATACCCAAGCTTTAAAGGCTTTGGCAGCTGAAGGGTTCAGGTGGCAGCAGGCGCTGTCACACGGCGTCAACAATTGCCTAATCGATTCCTTGATGCTGTGCTTAGCGTATGAAGGTCTTTTGCCAAGCAACTTGGGCGCAGATGTTGCAGCAAGACGACGCAGTGCAGTTGCATGCAGAAAGCATTTGGTTCAAGCGGTTGGGCAAGCAGTACTTCCAAGCGCGAAGGGATTCTTTCCATATTTAGATGCGCACCGCGATGGCCCGCACATTGTGACATTTCTGTTGCAACGATTTCGGGCTGTTGCGCGCGCTAACATGATAATTCGTGTGCACGACCGATTTGGTGAGTGCACGGCAGACCCAGATCGGAACAAGATTCTTGTCCATCTTGGGTTCGAGCACCCCGAGCATCATGCCTTACAGCTGCATATATACAATCACACCTCTGTGCAAGGCAGGGGATATCATTTTGATAGTCTGTTGCGCCAAACCACTGTGCGTGAAACTGAACCAACCGTAGAGACGGACAGCACGAGGACAAGCGCCAACATAGACAGAACAGAAAAAGACGTAGATCGAAGAGCAGAAGCAGTATTTGCCAAGCTGGCATGGCGCCTTTGCGGTTCTAGTTTTGATATCCCCTGGCTTGAAGCATTGCTATTGAATTTGCTTTTTCATGGATACCTTTCTATGGGACCTTCTGTGATGGCATCGCAGAAAGCACGACATCAACTATGCAGATCATGCCAAAGACAGCTAAAATTGGAGCCAAAGCCGGACGAGGCAGAAGCACAGACTTTCGACTTGCAAAGCCACCTTGCGGCCGCAATATTTTTTCTTCTGGGCACCAGCTACAAGAGTGTGAATGCTGATGTATATGTTCATGATGCAAGTACAACTGACTTGAATGTACCACGAGACAGTTACAGGATTGGTCCACCCGACAGTTTGCTAGTGCCAATTTTCCGACTCTACTGTTTTCAAAATGGTCAGTATGCCGCGTTATTGCCTCTGCCTCTGCTGCCTGCTGCTGCCTGCTGCTGCTGACTGCCTGCGGCTGCCTGCAGCTGCTGCTGCTGCCTGCTGCTCCCTGCTGCTGCCTGCTGCTGGTGCTGCTGCTGGTGGCTGCTGCTGCTGCTACTGTGGTGCTGCTGTGGTGCTGCTGCAATCAAACAGCCTCCAAAGCAAGAAACAAACAGCCAGACACCCTTTTCGAAACACATCCGAAACAGCAAAACACAACCTAATTTCGTACCCAAAACGTAGCAAAGGAACCCCAAAAAAGGGCCTAACGTCACTTCTGAAACCCTACTTAAAATTGCAACTTTGCCGCTGCCTGCCGCTACCTGCCGCTGCCTGCTGCTGCCTGCTGCTGCCTCTGCTGGTGTCTGCTGCTGCCTGCTGCTGCCTGCTGCTGCCTGCTGCTGCCTGCTGCTGCCTGCTGCTACCTGCTGCTGCCTGCTGCTGCCTGCCTGCTGCTCCTTGCTGCTGCCTGCTGCTGGTGCTGCTGCTGGTGGCTGCTGCTGCTGCTGGGGTGCTGCTGCAATCAAACAGCCTCCAAAGCAAGAAACAAACAGCCAGACACCCTTTTCGAAACACATCCGAAACAGCAAAACACCACCTAATTTCGTACCCAAAACGTAGCAAAGGAACCCCAAAAAAGGGCTTAACGTCACTTCTGAAACCCTACTATATAAATAAAATTGCAACTTTGCCGCTGCCTGCCGCTGCCTGCCGCTGCCTGCTGCTGCCTGCTGCTGCTTCTGCTGGTGTCTGCTGCTGCCTGCTGCTGCCTGCTGCTACCTGCTGCTGCCTGCCTGCTGCTCCTTGCTGCTGCCTGCTGCTGGTGCTGCTGCTGGTGGCTGCTGCTGCTGCTGTGGTGCTGCTGCAATCAAACAGCCTCCAAAGCAAGAAACAAACAGCCAGACACCCTTTTCGAAACATATCCGAAACAGCAAAACACCACCTAATGTCGTGCCCAAAACGTAGCAAAGGAACCCCAAAAAAGGGCCTAACGTCACTTCTGAAACCCTACTATAAAATTGCAACTTTGCCGCTGCCTGCCGCTGCCTGCTGCTGCTTGCTGCTGCCTGCTGCTGCCTCTGCTGGTGTCTGCTGGTGTCTGCTGCTGCCTGCTGCTGCCTCTGCTGGTGTCCGCTGCTGCCTGCTGCTGCCTGCTGCTGCCTGCAGCTGCCTGCGGCTGCCTGCGGCTGCCTGCCTGCTGCTCCCTGCTGCTGCCTGCTGCTGGTGCTGCTGCTGGCTGCTGCTGGCTGCTGCTGCTGCTGCTGCTGCTGTGGTGCTGCTGTGGTGCTGCTGTGGTGCTGCTGCAATCAAACAGCCCTCAAAACGTAGCAAAGGAACCCCAAAAAAGGGCGTCACTTCTGAAACCCTACTTAAAATTGCAACTTTGCCGCTGCCTGCCGCTGCCTGCTGCTGCCTCTGCTGGTGTCTGCTGCTGCCTGCTGCTGCCTGCCTGCTGCTCCTTGCTGCTGCCTGCTGCTGGTGCTGCTGCTGGTGGCTGCTGCTGCTGGTGGCTGCTGCTGCTGCTGTGGTGCTGCTGCAATCAAACAGCCTCCAAAGCAAGAAACAAACAGCCAGACACCCTTTTCGAAACACATCCGAAACAGCAAAACACCATCTAATTTCGTGCCCAAAACGTAGCAAAGGAACCCCAAAAAAGGGCCTAACGTCACTTCTGAAACCCTACTATATAAAATTGTAACTTTGCCGCTGCCTGCCGCTGCCTGCCGCTGCCTGCTGCTGCTTGCTGCTGCCTGCTGCTGCCTCTGCTGGTGTCTGCTGTGCCGCTGCCTGCTGCTGCCTCTGCTGGTGTCTGCTGCTGCCTGCTGCTGCCTGCTGCTGCCTGCAGCTGCCTCCGGCTGCCTGCGGCTGCCTGCTGCTACCTGCTGCTGTCTGCTGCTGCCTGCCTGCTGCTCCTTGCTGCTGCCTGCTGCTGGTGCTGCTGATGGTGGCTGCTGCTGCTGCTGTGGTGCTGCTGCAATCAAACAGCCTCCAAAGCAAGAAACAAACAGCCAGACCCCCTTTTCGAAACACATCCGAAACAGCAAACACCACCTAATTTCGTGCCCAAAACGTAGCAAAGGAACCCCAAAAAAGGGCCTAACGTCACTTCTGAAACCCTACTATAAAATTGCAACTTTGCCGCTGCCTGCCGCTGCCTGCCGCTGCTTGCTGCTGCCTGCTGCTGCCTCTGC